TCGAAGGTATCCGGTTCTCGGACTTTGACTTTAGGATCACCGGATCCGGAGGATTGGCGGTTGTTACGCGCCAGGTTGTTGATGGCTTGGGATAGCCGGAGGAAGACCAAGTCTTGTGGACCTAGACCTTCGTTTTCATCGTCAGTCGGGTCTTCCGGAGGTTCATCATCCGGATCTCCGCCACCTCCTCCTGGCGGGTTACCGCCTAGGGCAAGTTCATCGTCGGAATCATTGTGCAGAAGATTTCCGGCGGGTGTGGGGGTGGGGGTAGACGGATGTGGGCGATTCATGAGTTGTGAGATGCTGGAGGCAGCGCCTTGTGCACTAGCGCGACGCTGTGAGAAACTGAGGAAGGCATCGACTATGGGAGTAGAGTCGTGTCGGGCGGTTACTACACCCACTGCATTGAGAGCGGTCTGCACCCGTGTAGGTGCCATGAAGTCAGATGTAAATATACTCGGTAAGGTGTGAGTTCGAATATACTGTTAAGAACGTGCTCAAGGGTCGGATCCGAAGGGCTTGGCTTCAGCTCGTGCGCTGCGCCCCTTACCCGAGTACGTGCCCCTAACTTCCGAGGGTTGTCGAACAATGTCTGAAGGTTACCGGACGATGTCCGGAGGGCGTCGGGCGATGTCCGGAGTCCGATGTCCGATGCGCGGGAATTCCGGCGGACGTTCGGAAACAAGAGATAAGACTAATCCGGACGAAGTCCGAACTAGAAAGGAAACAGCGGAGGACTACCAGAGGTAGAGGCGGAGGTGACAAGTCTATAGGAGTCGATCCTAAGACGAGTGGAGGTCGACGAGAGAGAAACTCAAGTCGGACGGAGGAGAGAATGAGCAGAGTCTAATATGATATTCGAACTAAGGATGTACATAGATTCTACAGGGTTTATATACTACTGAGGACTTATCGGAGAACAGAGATGCGCAGTCCGAAGCTATACGAAGCTGTGGACGGAGCGTATAGAAAAGTCAAACGCTAGTCTATCAGAAAATAGTAAATGAACCCGGAGATTAGAACAGATGAAAATAAAGGCGGAAATGAAATGAGGTACGGAAAATGATATGGTCTAACTGGAGTAGGAATGTACAAAGGGATAAGGCACGGAAGTTAGATGCGGGTCGGATCCGGACATTGATAGACGTCGGCCGGATCCGGACTTCCAGAAATGATGTGTGTGATAGGTCCGGGTCCGGAACGCGGGATATGACACTCTCCAACAACCTGTGGACGAGGTAAAATCCCCCTCGCAACTTCAACTGGAGTATCTGGTCCATCCCGCATCTCAAACACGAAGTTCTTCACCAGAACAGATAAAATCGTCTGTATCACAGTGAATAACATCCAAAGTTACTAATTCACATCACTCACCTTGAATTCCGTGATCGCAAAATCTTTTCCAAGACACGTCCTCGGGCCATCAACAAATGTCAGCAGATGCCTATGACCTTGGACTTCCTTGGCCTTTCCACTGATGCCGTCTTCAGTCAGTCAACGGTCAGGCTTGAATTCCTTTGCGTGAGGTCGCAAATATCGAGCGGAAGCCTATTGAGGCTTGAAGCTTAAATTGAGCTTGAATGTGCGTGATACTATGTATGTGTGGCCGCAAGGACTAGCACGCACATAACCTTCTCCGGAGATAAGTACCGTTAACTTTTCGTGCCGCAGCCACAGTGCTGTATGTCCCCCACGCTCGGTGGCAGGTTACTACAGCATGTCCGAGGTGCGCGGAAGAAAGTGAACGACAAACTGGTTGGTCTCGTCTATTCTGCAGAGGTTAGTTATTGGGAGGATGGATGTCACTGTATGGAATGCAGAAAGCGTAAGGATGCCCTCATTACCAGTCCCACTAGTACATTGCAAAGCCCCAAGAGAACCCATCATGTGGCACGTGCACAATTTCTTTTGAAGAATTCATGGTCAAACATGCTTGGTCCGACATCAATCACTCCAAGATTCCCATTTCCCTCCACTTTTCCCAAAGCATGCCAGCGCTAACAGGTGAGTTAGCAGCGCCCTTCACGTCTTTGATGTCCAACAGTTCATATTCTGGCCCAAATGCGAGAAAATGGGCAAAGAGGGAGTTGAAATGCGGCTCTGAACGCAGATGGAGGATTTGAGGGTAATGCGCATGATAGATATGTGCGAATACGCGAAGGAGTTGACGGTACACGTGTTTGACCATCGAGGGAAATGATGAGGGAAGTCGTATCCTGTCATGATTATAGAGGGAGGCGAGGTAAAGTCATTACTCGTTGGTCTTTGTCTGAGGTACATGTGTCACTCGGCTCTGCTTGGCCACGCTCCACGTCAGCCTCTTAAATTTTTAGTATTACGGCCATGAAAGGCTACCTGATGGAGGGATGCCCGGAGGGCCATGGTGAATGTTCGTAGGGCCATGGGGAATGTCCGTCACCTATTGAATCCGGTAAGTTCCGCTCGTACTTTCCCCACTCCCGTGGGGCGCACGTGCTTTCATCAAACTCAAATGTGTTTCATCTCCTAAAACCTCTGCCGACTCTACCCGTTTTCAAGTTCTTCAGCGCAGGATCCCAAGTTACTAGGGTTCAGCATTACCGACTTTCAACGGCACTTGCTCCGTTGCATGTGTTGCTGTTTCCTTTTTAATGTTTTGATTTGGCCGATGAATTACAGGCGAAGGTGTGTTTGTACAAGATGCATCAGGAAAATACCATTTGACTACAGGTGGCTATATATAGTCGCTGTAGTACCTGTAGTCCCATTTGTCAAGTCCCTTCTACATGTGGCTATATAGCCACACGGCTCGCTATGAGAGTCACTGGTAGCTCGTCATAGCAAGCTACAGGAGGCTACAGGCTACTAACACTAGTAGGACCTGATAGTTACGAGGCCAAAAGAAATGTCACCAGTGCTCACATCAGATGATTTTCACACATTATAATGTACAATTGGTAGGAATTGAACCCGACACCTTGAACAATTATAAGTGCATCATTTTTACAACTAGGCTACAAGACTACTTGTATATTCTTACAATAATAGAAATATATACCAATGCAATATGACAATATTGCGAAAATTCCATCAAGTCAATTATCACACGGTTCAACGAGTCCAAAATGGTGGCACGTTAGAGCACCTTCCTTTCTATTGCAACAAGTCCTCGCTCGACACGCCAACTCCACCGCAAGGTGGCAAGTGATTTTTATTTTAACGAGTTCAGATATTGACGGCAAGATGTTTGGTGTGTCTGTCATAAGTAGTTTGTAGACAGGTTAATATCACACGAGCGCTGTCACGGTAGCTGCCTGGAGTGACCTGTAGCAAATATTTCTCCAGCTGACTCCTGTAGTAGCGGTGACTTTGGCAGCTGGCTATATAGTTGTATGTAGCTTGAAGGGTGCCTACATAGCACTACTGTGGCTACAGTAGCTTGAAGGGTGCCTATATAGTGCTACTGTGCCTATATAGCTCTATGTAGCTGTCACCAGGGCTACGGCATTTTGAGTTTTTTACTGATGTGTATCTCAACATCTACTGTGGTTCTGAAGTATGTAGTATGTTCGCAATAACATAGAGGTGACCGAGCAAACAATAATACCATGACCTCCTGACCTATCGTTGTGACGCATTTTTATAAGGGCTCAGAACACCCCTCCAACTTGAAGTGGAGCCAGCCATGATTATGTCTGTCTATTTGGCCGCTAAGTCATGTTGATCTACTGCGCTAATACCCTTTCATCAAATGCATGAACACGTCGACACTCGAAAGGAAACTGGTTCGGGTCTCTACTATCAATTCAATGGAGGAAATAGTCGAAGTCAAAGATAGGATTCACCCTGCATAAGGAACGATATAGTATCTTCATTGATCCTAACGCGTGACATCAACACTCCAATAATCAGCAGCTAGTTGGAAATGCGAATATTCAGCAGTTCCACACTTGCCAATAGACCTTCTCCAAGTGCTGGCGATATCCATGGGGTTTCATGTGGTGCTCACTGCTGGCATCAATTGTAGATATACATCCATTTGAAGGCACATCCACGCAACAAGAATTTCAAAGAACAATACTATAAAACCCAGCCGTCTTCCTCCTGTCGCCTTCAGAATTACCTGATCACATACACACCAGTCACAAGCAATGCGTTTCTCCTCTACAATTGTCCTCGCTGTTGCTGTTGCTTTAGCATCATCAATCTCTGCCATGCGGCCCATGCCCACTACCGGTGACGCAGCTAGCGCAAACAAATGTGCCAAGGGTTGCTGGCATAACGCACAATGCGGCAATCCAGAATGCAGATGGAAGGAATGTGTGAGTATCAATATTTTCTCGGACTTGATGGCATGACTCACCTGCATGGCAGGGCCTGTTGTTTTTCTGCATAGTGAGTCGTATTTTTTTCACATCGACGGAGTACGGCTGTTGACACTGGCGCGCGAGTTACTAGTGATTTGTAGAGTTGATCAACGTACATCAGGAAAAAATTGGCCCACTTGTAGCTCTTTGTATATTGGAATTGACGTGAAATTCTTGTGAAATATAGGTCACATATGTTAGTAGACTAAGATAAGACGCACGAAGATACTATCAATTGCAAGGGGCAGTCCACAGCGCAGCCTCACATTGACGGTGTGGTATAGACGGGCTTCAAGTTAAGCATGTATGCGCACGATGGACCTGATTAAAACGCACCTAGATCCTGCATATTTTACAGCTATTTAGTCCCACTTTCAACAACGCTCGAGTCTCGACAAGATCCAAATAGGCATGCATTGGGCATGCAATATGATATCTGAACGGAAAGCTACTTCAATACATATTTTCTAATCAAATTGTGAGCATCTTGAATGAACTATTGGATATCGTTGAACTGTCCCGGCAGATCAAATATTCCTGGTCCCATTAAGCCGCGGCCCGCAGCGGGAACGCCAAACTGGGTCGAGGCAGAGACTTGTATTGGAACTTCAAGCTTCAGTACTAGAGCCTAGCATGATCTGCCTGTTTGGCCTGTTTAACTTACATACGCATCGATCTACTTGATCTTGAAGCTAATGGAAAAAGTGAGCATGCATCGTGCGACAATGGAGTCGGAGTTGAGTCGGAGACTAGTAGGCGCGTCACGTAGCTATCAGGCTATACTGTTAATATTAAGCATAATACTCACTTGTGAGAAACAGTCAGGTTTTGTAAGTTCGTCTCTTAGGGCTTCAGTGCCAATGGTGATGCTTAACGCATTCACACGATGCTTAACGCTTCAGACACCTCGTTTTGGCGATATTTGACCAATCTAGGACGAAATACCAATTCTTGGGGTTCCTTTGATTTGTTCCTGTAGCCAGCAGATCTATGCATCTAGATCGTGGTTCTGGTGGTTCCTACATCGGGTCAGGATCTTGCGGTCGAAATTTCACTAAGTCATTTGTGAGTCTTGCGGTCGAAATTTCACTAAGTCATTTTCGAGTCGATCAAAGGAAACGAGCTTCAATGGCTTACCTTTCAAAGGTAAGCCATTGAAGCTCGTTTCCTTTGTGTAGTGAGAGGGAATGTACACTTGCATGATTCAAGTCTGGTTCACTCAATAAGATATCTCTTAAGTCAGTTTGCAATTTGCGAGTACGGCGTTGAATTTCGTATGTCATTAATGAACAAGGGCAAGAAAAATTTAACATATGTACTACCACTATTATATGACGACATGTATATGAAAAATGAGGGACGAGAACACAATAAGTCACAATTATCATATCATTATGATATCAAACAGAAGGTACTGAAAATGGTGCGAGAAATGTGTCAGTAGACGATTCAATGCATTGAGCAAGCGTGGACTCACTTTTAATAGTCCTATCTCCGAGTTCTCGATCGCTTGTTGATTTGGCCAATTTGGTTCGCCTGCGCCATACGGGTGGACTCCTGCCGAATACGACCAGTCTTTCACAGTGTATTTGGATCAGCGGACTCGACAACCTCCATGACCGTGTCGACAGCCTTTGACGCTCGCTTTCGTTTTACCTTGAGTGTTTTCTCTGGTGCGCTATGCTGCACGTCTCCGTTTTGTGGAGTCTCCGCTGCAGGAGGCGCAGGAGGTACGGAAGGGAGAACTGGGGAAGGGAGAACCGGGGCAAGGAGAATTGGGGCAGGGAGAACCGGGGAAGGGAGAACCGGGGCAAGGAGAATTGGGGCAGGGAGAACCGGGGAAGGGAGAACCGGGGCAGGGAGAACCGGGGCAGGGAGAACTGGGGCAGGGAGAACTGGGGCAGGGAGAACTGGGGCAGGGAGAACCGGGGCAGGGAGAACTGGGGAGTGACGTGGAAGGGAGTGGGAAGGGAGTGATGGGGAAGGGAGCGACGGGAACATGAATTGCGGGGTTGCTATAGGTGGCAAAGAAGGTAGCGAGTGCGATGCTGCCGATTGGGTAAACGAATGTGGTGTGATTGGGGACAACTGTAGTGCAGGGGGGAAAGAGTTTGATGAAGACAGGAATGAGCGCAGTGCAGGTGGCGTCCTCCAGGTGGAAGAGCCTATAGATCCATTGGGCATGCTTGGAGATCCGTCGAGTAAGGGGCGGAGAAGAGGCGGTGGATTTTCCCAATTCGGTGCGTCAAATGAGGCCTTTGTTGTGAATGAGACGTCTTGGATGTTGTATCCGTTGGATGACTGCAGACCGGCATCGGGGAAGAAAGAAACAGATGGGTCATGGAGGCCGTAGCGCTCAGTGGAAGCAGGGGGTGCAGATAGAACCAGAGGCGGTGATTGAAAGGATGTTGTAGCCGGAGGTGTTGTGGTAAGTGCGTCTGGCTGAGAGCAACCAGAATCAAGTGACTGGGAAGCGGATGGGGCGGATGGCGTACTACTAGATGCTGAAGCATCATAGTCGAGTGCACGTGTCTTCCTGATGTGCGGTGCTATATTTGAAGTTGCAAACATTAATATTGAACATTGAGTCTTTGCTAGTATGAGGAAAACACTTACGAAAAACTGTGCTAATGAAGTCAACATACGCCTTCAAGTGTGTCTCGTTGAAGTGTGGTGTCGCTTGTTTCCAATTGAGACCAGTTGCATTCACACCTGAATGGTAACTGCAGTGCCTGTGAGATTCCCGCGCTCGCAAATCAACAACAACATCTTATCTACCTCATAGCATTTATATTTCCGTCCAAACGTGGGTCTGGTCCAGCGCCAATCAGACTCCATTCCCAACCCGTCATGTCTTTAATGACTTGCATGAATTGTGAAATCGGACCCATACACTCGGTAAGTGCCCTATGAAATCACCCATTGAGCAACTTAAAGCGGGAGTGTTGTAGAATGGTTCGTACCTAGCGTATTGCGCATTGGTAGGGGCCCCATCTGTCTTCTTGAGGACTTCTGATGCCTTGGCATCCCGTTCTGCCTGAACCTTTGCCCGACACAAGGCCTTAACATCCTCACTCGCGTCCTCATAAGCTGTGCGTGTCATTAATTTCACAGCTCCCAACTTTTCACTCTTGGTAAGGCTGCCTGAAGCGATGCTCTCCTTCACTTGCGCCTGAACATCATCCGCATACCTCAACTTCGAGAATACCTCAGCCTCTGTGTGGATTCGTGTGCCCTTGGCTTTGTTGGTGAGCATCTGCCGAATTGTTTTGCCCATTGCATTTACAGCAGAGCGGCCGCTTTTCTGAGAACGGTAGTTAAACCAATTCTTGATTTTCTTATGAAACGGTAAGCGGGTCTAATTGATTCTCATGAAATGATAAACTCACCTTTTGCCTGAGTTCAACAGCTGCGCCTTTCGCCTCTTTTTGCTCTTCTGACAAGACTTCTGGCGCTTCGCCAAAAATTGCAAGTTCCTCAGGAAACCTTCTGAACCACTCCGAGAACACAGGGCCCCAGAATTGCGTAACAGACGCCCCGACTTGTGCCTTCAAAAAATCGTTGTACTTCGACTCAAGAAAAGCTTTCTGGTCCGGTGTTGTCCATTCTGCAGGCGGCATCTGCCCCGCCGCATCAGTGTCATTTTAATTTAATTTATGAAATGTATGTCATGGCTTACCTCGGTCTTTTTGACAGTCGTGTCCCAAGTTGGAGAGTTTGCGCCCACCAACCCAAAATTAAAGTTCAAATGCACACGAGGTCAGTCAGTTGTCCAATCACAATGCATCGGAGCTAAAATTAGGCTCATATAATCATGCTATAATCATCCTCGGTTGAAATTTTCACTCCCGCTTGCTCCAAATGACGGACCCTGACACTGCCAACTCATACAATGTACCTGAAAATGGATACTTTGGGCCAGTGTTTACCACGAGCGAGCTCACAGCAGCACTACAATTAATTTGTGACCAAGGTATGTTACGCACACAGATACCTGCCAGCTCACGTACTTGAAATTCACAGTCCATGACTCCCCCGGCTCATCTGAAACTGGATACTATGGGCCAGTATTTGCTATGAGCGAGCTCGCATCAGCGCTTCAATTGATTCACGACCAAGATGGTATGTAATTACCTACTAGATCTGCATTATGTATTGACCGATGACACCAAGCAATGACAAAAGCTCACGATGGCTACTCACTTGCCGACGCACCCTTACCATCACCTGGTTTGCAAGGCTGTCCTGCTTGCATCTTCCGTACTCATCGTCAGACTTGTTATGTCTGCCGCGCACATATTTCTGCATGTCACGCATCATCCTCCACTGAGTCTATGTCACTCACAACAAACGCTACAGCAAACGACAACTGTGAAAATGACACTGTACGTGTTGATTCAGTACGACATATCTGAAACTGACGCGGGGATCTTGATCATATCAGGTTTTAACATTGCAGCAACGAAAATTCACTTAGGGAGAGTTTAATGGAGTATCTCGTACATACATGTTCACTTATGTACACCGTGTTAAGCTTGAACTTGAGCGCTTGAGCAATAAGACACCATAAATTCATTATAACACGTCATATCTTGAGCACGCAGGTTTCGGTCTGACCACAAAGCATTGGTGTAGTAGTACCATATCAATTAAGCACGGGTTTCGGTCTGACCAAAAGTGTTAATTGATCCATTCATGAGGGTCTTATTATTTCTCTACAAATGTTAAGAGTATACACAGTCCTACGGACTGTGTATACACGTTTGTAGAGAAATAAGACCCTCATGAATGGATCAATTAACACTTTTGGTCAGACCGAAACCCGTGCTTAATTGATATGGTACTACTACACCAATGCTTTGTGGTCAGACCGAAACCCGCGTGCTCAAGATATGACGTCGGACTGTGTATACTCATAATGTTTGTAGAGAAATAAGACCCTCATTCAAATGGATCAATTAATACTTTTGGTCAGTGTATTGCGAGAATTGTATTACATGTAGTTTTGGTCTGACCATTGCGCAAGTAGCTTTGGTTCAATTGAGTTATGGTCTGACCAGAACCTTTGCGCTTCTTTTCAACCAACTAAAGTTACATCTCACACCATGCCACGTCCTCCTACACATAAAACAAATGAGGCTAAACTACAAGCCGTTCGTGAAAAGAACCAGCGCCACTATGCGAAGTACGTTTCTTTAATTAACTGTGTGCGGTGCGATGTTCCTGACTGGGCAACCAATTGAAGAAACAGAGACCGTATACTCAAAAGACGACGAGAACTTCGTGTTGAAAAAACAAAGCCATCGCGGGAGATCCGACAGTTTGAGAAGGCAGTTGCGAGAGCCTTGAAAAGCCGTGACGATGAAGATGAGAGTGACACTGAGCTGTCGGAGACTGATGAATCCAGCGATGATGAGAATGACACACCGTATGTTTTATAAATAGATACTGATATGACGAACATAAAATTAACAATTGACATTCAACAGATCAGATCTTCCTGGGTGCCTCCTTGCTCTCAAAGGTATCAAGGACGAGATGTTGTCATTGACCGATGATTAGGGATCTGCACGGGTACGGGTAACCCGCGCGGGTCACGGGTACGGGTACTACTGGGGTACGGGTATGGGTCGGGATTCTAAGACCCGCGCTCTTACCCGTACCCCAGCTATACCCGTGCCTTCCATAAATGGTAGCACCTCCTGCATCAGTAATAGCGGACGCCATACTTCCCGCGTGCACGCTACAACCGGCACCACCACCAACACCGGCACCTAACGCGCCTTCCCAAGTCCACCAACTCCACGTTCACAGCGCGCGCGCCCGAAACGCGTCAACAAGTGTTGACGCGATGCAAACACACGCGGACGACACGCGAAGACGAAAGGACAAGAGAATCGAGGAAGGGAGAAGGGATGGTATAGAGATGAAGGAGGAAAGAGGAACTCGAGGAGACGAGACTTTGGGCACGCTGAAAGTGAGTACTCACATTGAAGACTCTACCCCCAGCAACAACAACGACGTCATACGCGTCACGTCGCCAGCGCCTATCTTTGTGCGCCCAGCACTCGCACCACCACCAGCTTTCACGCCAACGCCACCATCCACGACGCCAACGCCACCATCCACGATGCCGACGCCACCATCCTCGACCGTGCCTCCACTCCTCCTTCTTGTGCCATCCACATATGTTCGAGTCACGTCAGCATTCGCTGACGTGTGCTGGACATATGTGCTAAGCACTGGTGGTGATACCTATGGTACCTGCGGGTAAACCCTGCACGGGTGTGGGTACGGGTCTGAGCTTGTTGTACCCGCCGAAAACCCGTACCCGTCAGAGCGGGTACGGGTTTTTGCCGGGTGCGGGTGCGGGTCAGGTCCCCGACACCCCAGGGTATACCCGTGCGGATCCCTACCGATGATTGTGAACCACAGAAATTTGTCGAGGACAAATTCCTTCAATACGTCAAAAGCATCAAATACACCGATGACCGTGGTAATAATGGTGATGTCACCATTATCTCAAACACGATGCTCAAGGTTCAAGATATTCTAAATCGCACGATTCGTGTGCAAGATCAAATCCTTAATTTTTGTGGCCCAATCTCGGACGAGTTTCGTGCAGCTAACTTAGTGTCTCGATTTCTCAGCACCGTAGTTGCATATCTTGAAGATATTGATTATTTGATTCACTGGGGGGGAGTTTCGGAACTTTGCATTGCTCACTCGTCAGGGGAGTTAATGTATCAGAAAAACCTCCGTGTTTGAGTCACGTTCACACGGATGTACTAGCGTATGACCGACTTGTGTTTGCCTCATGTTTACTAGCAATACATCTACCCACCACATTCCAACGATCATGGTTAGCAAACGTCGACGACAATACGACAAAGACATGCGGGAGAAATCTTATGTTCTTAATCAAGAACTTGAACAGTCTCGTCAACTTGCCTCAGCCACGACAGAGAGAGAGGAAGTTTGTCAGCCGTCAACCTCCAAGCACAAACACACTTCATTCACTCAGACCCAGGATACGAGTTGCAGTAGACTATCTGCACGAGTCGAATATTTTGAAGGTTCAGCATCCACAAGCACGGAACATCAAGTTTTACCAGTGTGTGATCCTCAATCTTTCAATGACTTGGATTTCAACATCGTGGATGGTGCGCATGAAAACTACTTAGAAGATACCAACATCGAGCCTACTAGAAAGCGAAAACGCACTGCAGGGGTAAGTCACAAGCGCACTGAAAATTTGGATTTGTGAATTAATTTTGTGCAGGATTATCCACTCGCATCATGGCTTCCCGAACGAGATGCCTTTATCCTGGAGATGTTAAGATTGGAAGGACGCGGAGACTTCATATCTCAAGCCACTTGCCGTGGAACTTATGGCTGCTCTTTGCCAGCTGAATTTCATTGCGAGGATTGTTTTGGCACCGAGCTATACTGTCAGTCATGCACTGTGGAGAGGCACCATGAGCATCCATTGCACAGGATTAAGGTAAGCCGCTTGAACGATTTCACAAAAATTATCATTGAACATCTCTTAGCATTGGAAGGACGCGTTTTTTCACGATGTCACACTCAAATCTCTCGGACTGTGAATTCAACTGGGACACCCCACCCAAGAGCGCTGCTACAACCCAGCTGCTTGCCAGGATTTCGTCGTACTCCACGTGAATGGCATTCATGAAGTCAGTTTAGACTTCTGCGGGTGCGAGACCGCTCAAAGTCCCACCACCCAGCTGCTTCGCATTCGATGGTTCCCTGCAACAGTCCTAGAGCCAAAAACCGCAGCAACATTCAAGCTTCTTCAACATTTTCACATTCTCTCATTCGAATCTAAGGTCTCCACGTTCGAATATTGGCAGACCTTAACGCGTCTTACTCACAATAGAGGTGTGGTCATTGTGAAAGTAAGATAACTTTTATTTGCGGTTTTGTAAATATCTGACACTCAATGATAGGATTGTTATGACGCTCTACTTCGAATGATACGGGAATGGCGAAACATTACTTTGCTCAAACGCTTTGGACGGGGACACGATCCCACAGGTACTGGAGCAACAGAGCAAGGCTCATGTGCCGTCTTGTGTCCGGCTTGTCCTCAGCCTGGTAAGAATCTTCCTGAGAACTGGGAGAGTGCCCCGTCAGAAACTCGGTATGGGCTTCAACCTGTATTGTTAGAATTGCGCTGATCAACGTTATCCAGCTGGTTATACGCCTTGTTTCTTGTGATTGACGCCAACTTCCGTCTGGCACGCAAGAATGTTTCTTCGGATCAAATGGACCCTGGGCTCAACCGTGGCTGGGCGTACTTCGTGGAGGAACAACAATACAAGACATTTCTTACTGATGTCGGGAGATGTCCGCAGGAGGTGAAGTCATTCAATTTAAACGAGAATCCTGTCTGACAGCTACTTAGAAAAGCACATGCGCAAGCCATAACGCAGTCAACTTAGCGGAAACGAAAAACTCTCGGGGCCTGGCAGCCACTGGAGCAGGAACCGTTGACTGCTCGCGACACAATTTCAAACGGCCCTGTGGTGTCGGTGACTTGCAAAAAGGCGAAAAGTACGTAGTCGATGACATGCCTGATTTAACTCTGTTACTGATGCTTGCTTTTTTATAGGTACATGAACATGGATTATCTCTTCTTTTCGACCATGCAACACACGGGGGATGTCGCGGTCCTGAACATATCTTACGACATTGCTTGTCAATGGAGTACGAATTTGTGGCAGCGCATGCATCGATACCCATCTATGATACATCTCTGCCACCACGATAACAAGACCATCACATTTCTTGTGCCGAAATTCCATCTTCCTGCGCACATTGAAATTTGCCAGATTACTTACTCTCACAACCTTCTCAAAGGCATGGGGCGGACAGATGGAGAGGCACCCGAGCGTGGCTGGGCCAACATCAATCCAGTCGCTACGAGCACTCGCGAGATGGGCCCAGGATCATGCCGCGATACTCTGGACGACCATTTTGGTGATTTTAATTGGAAGAAGGTCACTAATATGGGTAAGTCATTCAATATGTCTTCGTTTAACTACATCTGACTCGTTATTTAGGTGTCAGTCTATCACGAAAGCTTAAAGCTGCTGTTCCTGAACGCGACCAGCATGTACGTGATTTCGAAGACTTCAACAACGCACTTGAACACGAGAGACCCGAACAGGTGGCGGAATGGAGGTTGGCAGTGGAACGATGGGAATCGGATTCGTCGCAAGAGAATCCTTTTGCGCTTACAGGCAAACGTATGTTACTAAATTGTTCGAGGAATGCGAAACACTCACTTTCTTCTAGCACTAACGCAAGCAGCTGTACGACTCAGTCTCTCTCAGCAAGAAGCTGACAACCTCGAGCATGGTATGGACGACTCACTGCATGAGGAAGTCTCGCGCAGCGTGTTAATCTCCTCAGGAATGGAGATCGAGGATCAGCAGTAAGTCTTCGATTGTCGAAGTTTCATATATATGTTGAGGCTATTTTGCAGGTGTCGGCTTGCGAGAGATATCGAGCTTCTGGGAGGGCATCCAACTGACTTACAGCACACGAAGCTTCAAGAACGGGGCAACATTCTACGACGCAAAATAGAACAATGGAGCAAGGTCCAACTTTTGTACATGCCGGTCGTTGCTCGCCTTCGTGCATCGGATATGCCAACAAGCAGGACCCATTCGACTGAAGAGAAGGCTCATGAGATCGAACTGTGGCTTCCCTCCAAGATCTACGGAGATGCAACAGACCCAGTGCATCAATGTGATGCCACACTGAGTCAGTATGAGTGGGAGCTTCGCAGGGCCCAGGCATATGATGCGCTGGATGACCTCCGACGTCACCTGCGCCTACGCGCACATCTTTACAAGTTCAAAGATACCCATATTCATGGCCAGCGAGCTAACACACACGCGTCAGCCATCATTGACAAAGTCGAGTCGAATGTGTCCGTCGCTGCTGCAAGGTATCGCAGAGCATGGTCTGCACTCAAACATCTCTCCCCTGCTCTGTCTCGCACTACGTGGAAGGAGGAGTTCCCGAAACTGGAGAATGACGACATCCGCGGGATGTCTCAAGGCAAGCAAGGCCAATCGTCTGGCAACCGTACATTGTCCTGGATATGGAAGGCACGCGGCATAGCTAGTGACACTCCTGAAGGGGAGACGGTGCTCAACGAATGTAGGTCATGTTTTCTTTTATTATTTTGCAATTTCTGGTACCTAAATATTACTAGCATTAAGAATTGAATGGTGCAAGTCTCGCGCACGAGCTACACGTTGGGTCGAAGAGGTGCAACTTCTTCAAGAGGAGATGAGGCGTGTCGCGGCATACCTCTTGTGGCATGCTACGTGGTGGGATGTGCAAGCAGATCGTCGCACAGGGCTCGCGCTTGCAGAGGTTGAAGGTATCAGAGGATATGCAAAGCGTCAGGCAGCCGTGCGGCGGGATCTCCATAATACATTCCTTTCAAAGTGGGGTGCTGTGAATGGCACTTTTTAATTTAAACTGTGATCTATTTACAATGTTCTGACGAAGCAATCAAATTCATTGGTGACGCACTCCGGTCCTAAAAATACAAACATTTCCAGTACGGTCCTAAAAATACTAACATTTCCAGTAGCATCGAGATCACAAGAGAGATCCCGATCTTTAGAACCACTGAGGCATCGTGCCTGGTATCATTCGAGTGACATGGGTGATGTGCTGTTGAGGACATTAAGCTTCATGAAGCTTCATGTTGGTAGCTCAGAAACAAACTTACAAAATGTACTGTGTATTATTGGACATGGTTAAGTATCACCCTGCCATGAACAGGTGTAGCTATGTAGCGCCGTTACCCAGCGCTAAGTACTTTATGTACCTCCGCCAGTGCCAAGTTACTACACGAGTCATGTCAACACGCTGATTGGATAGGAATCTACTGCCGGAACATTCCCGTTTCACTCAAAATCTCCGAGTCATCTCCGAGTCTCCGTATGAGCTAAAAACCTCATTACTGGCACTGGCCGGGCATTACTACTCAATACTGGTTGCAGCTGGACATTAACCATTGGAATGTATGAGCAAGAACCCATCACACTCATTATCAACGATTGATATGATAACGACGTATCCAACGTACTCGTGTGCACGTATACGAATGTATGTTCTACAGGTGCATGTATTCTAGCCGATGATCAGAAACAGCTGCTCCGTTAACATCGTGTTTATCCAGATCTTGTCGGCCGTCTTCAGAAACAATCAGAGTCAAAAGTCGAAGTAAGGAGTTGTATGAAGGACCTAGGTGTGTTTTCATTCAACGCCGATACTTATAAATATAATTGTACGACCTGTAGGCCCATATCCGTCACGGCGATCTAGCAGGAGCAAAGTCACTATGCGCCGTAGACTGATTTGTATATTCTGTACGGCAAAGAGTATTATCCCTACACGTCTAATCTAGCATTTCCCAATCGAACGAAATCACACCTACTCCACCGATGTTTTCCTGACGGCGCGTTGATCAACTCTTCTCTTGTGCCATTGACTTTGAGCTTCGCGAGCTAAATAGTCACTGTCACAACTGTGCAGAAAGGAAAGTACTGTCATGCCATTCTGAGGGCAGACCTTGCATTGATTGCTATACAAGCAAAACGTGGGACAGTGCTCAGCGCCAGCCTCAATTGGGGTGGCGGAGCTTGATGGCGCCAAAGCAGTAGTGATGGCGAGGACAATCACAAAGGAGAAACGCATTGTGTGTGAGTATGTGATATGGGAGAAAATAAATCTGAAAGGTCAGTAGGAAGACGGCTTGCTTCTTTATGCTGAATATCGTTCCTTATGGCGAACCTATCCGCCGTTGATACACCAGAATCCCTTCGATAGCCTCGCATCTGACCATATACTAATAGCTGCAATGCCAGCAGACTGTCTTTTGTCAATTTGGTGTGGATCCAACGAGTGGAACTCCCTTCGCCGATGTGAACATCGAATCCTAGTATCCCCATACATCGCATCATGATTGAAATGAGGACATCTCGATCCCAGAATATCCACACTTCCTACCATTCGAACATCCAAATCCTATCTGCGCCAGCACAGCCGCCGCCCCCATGCACCACGATATATCATATCAAATTGAATGATGGAATCAAATCGCATAACGCTAACGCTCGCAGTACCTCGCAGGTCCTCGCTATGTGCAACCGCGTTCCACCCAACGCTCAGGATATCTCCAACATGGATAAGCACCAATAGCCGGCGGCTCAGTGTGTCCACCCCGTTATAATGTGCTGCGTATTTGCAATGCATTTGCGTGCCCTGCTTTTCCCCACCTGCAAGTGGCTCTTCCATTTTAATTCCACGACACTATCAGCCGTACTACCTGCACTTTCCATGTCGTAGTCCGAGTCGGTATCAATGAGATCAAACACTATCGGAAATACAACAGTTAAAACTACTGTATTCCACGTATCATGTTTGCTTTTCATTCTTATCGCTTGAGTTGGACAAAAAATCAATAATGACTGCCAAAATCTCTCGCTCTCTCGCACAGTTCTGGATCTCGGAACCGATCTTTTTGCTCACAATTAACTATATAATTGCATTGTTCCGTGTGTGCTTATTTTCAAAAGTGAATGAGGAGAAAGAGAGTTCAAATATAGTGTACAAATGTCTGCTTTTGTAGTGGAATGACATGAGTGTGCACGTAAAAAGTAACGACCGAAGGTCGCCGCTTGTCTTAAATAAATACCACGACGCATCCTCAACCAAATTTCTCCTCCCTCCAGGCCACTCGGCAAGTCCCTACACAGTACTGCTAGTTGATATCTGTATACGCTCCTGGAAGGCAATTGAATTTATGCTATTTTCTGTGTCGAAGCCAGCCACTAGTTTGGCGTGATGTTCTCGAATGCTAAGGATGAGCCGTAGTCCCAACACAAACACCTGCACGACCGATAAAATTTGAACAGCACCATTGAGTATCGATATCTACAGAGATGATGAGCAGTGGATACAAGCAGATATCAGAGAAAGGTCAACGCACCAGGTGTGATTGAGAGAGACTAGCAAGCTGAAACAAAGAGACACCAACAAAGCTAACATGTGCGGAACTTAAGCAGAAAATATGGCCTTCACATTACAAGCTCACCTTGCAAAATAAAGCATGTGAGCTTTTATCAGCACTCTGAAACAGTCCTCGGCGGTCGATCCTGTCGATGGGCCGAGTCGCCGCAGGTCACGGAAGTATTTCACAGCAATCCAGACTGAAAGACAGAGTGCGAGAACCTCCCAAACAATGTAGAGTATCCAATACGTTAAAAACAGAAGCTGGACGTCCCCTTCATATTCATAATCGCACATGTACGTGCCAGAGAGTATCAGCTCCTCTAGCGTTCGTTCAATGAGCTGTGTTCTTCAAGTCAAACAGTAAAGCTTACCCCCTACAATATGCTCGAGTGCTATTGCCACGAGGACTCCGCAGGTAATGGTAACAGTCAGAAAGATAATGACAAGGAAGATGAGCATCATTCTAGATCCCTGATACATGACATGCAAGCGAGTAATCATGATAACTTGCATTGTGTTTCAGTCGAGTCAAATATCACAGAGGTATTGAGGCTAGCGAACTCACCGCCCAACATAGTGTATAGGACCACAGCCATCCCATTCTGTATGCAGTAGGTAATATAGCCTGAAATGCCCAGTTAGTGAACACCCTCATACTGGTATCAAAAGCTCCAACTCACACCTATTGAGTCATATGTTGAGCCAAGTTCAATGGTTGGAATCTCACTGCTCACCCCTAGAAATGCGTGTATTCATTTGGATGGGAATGAGATGGTTGCGTAATGCTCACTACATCTGTCAGCGAGATGAATGGCGCAAATGCTGTGTACTACCGGTCAGAAGGATCGAACACAGTGCATATGAGACATACTGAAAATATTGGCACTAATTGTCATAGATGAGTTATTAGCACAGTGTCGATGTTTGGCCTCGACATACACAAAATATAATGTTCCAAAATAGCGTATCTAGAACATTGGAGAGTCAGTACGATTTGCCAAGCACCCTATAGGACAACATGAGGTACGAACAGCCAAATACAGCACAGTCATGAGAGACCAACGTTGCATCTGTCGCGAATTCATTGCATTCTCCTGCTTTTCTTCTGATACGGAACTCTTGTTACTCACCCAGATCAGTTCAATCTATGATACCTTTCTTAGCGAGTTGGCTGCTCCGACGATAACATCGACCTACCTCTCGTCCTAGTGTTAGTACTGGAAATATCATAAGAATATCAGCGGTTTTCGAACACTGTCCTAGGCCCGCTCACCCCAATCGTATACCATCACGACACCGGCAGCAACTGCAAAACTGCAAGTCAGTGTTAGAACTAGACATCTTCAAGCAACAAACCCATCCAATAGCTAGAAAAGATATTTGAGTTGATTATTGGCCACCAACTAGAATCGTTGAAAACTGTGGTCATATTTGAGGGATAGGTGTGAACGAGTGGGGTATGTTAGTGGTGTATAGCGATACTCTCATGCTAGATATAGCACCGTTCAACGCTTTCACTGCCAAAATCTATATTGCAGTGAGAAACCAAGCAAAAAGAGGAAGGTATCGGTAATCAAAGTTTTGCAAACCAGTATTATTGCGCATGACACTAAGATAGACCGCAGTCATCGGTGGTATTAACACAGTATTTTGGTTGCAAGCTTGGAGAGTCCTACGTCATCGATCTAACACAGGTCAAAGCGTGCAAGTAGTACACTCACTTCGGCCTCGCTGGCTGAGCCGGATGTGCAACAGCCCTCCAATCACCCTCATGGAACGAGGGTTATAACACCAGAAAAGTCAAACAAACCGTGACACAGAGTGGGTCGAACACACACTAGCCTCCGTACTGTTCCGTACTCAACGGCTGATCTACTCCCAACCTTCCCTTGCACCACCCTAGTCCACGAAACACCCATGAACAATACGTAACTCTGCGCAAGTACTGACCCTGCGATGTTCGCCAGCTGAGGAATGTGGAATGCGTGATCTGCAGTGGGACGGACTGAAAGTCAACCCACGTAAAATAGACAAAAAGAACACGTCAACAAGATGGCCCACAGATGATTGAATAACGCACACTCAGAGCTACTCTTGCGCATGTTGATTTCCATAATTTTCAGTGTAGGTTTCCCTGCCATCCTTCGGAATCCTCGCTGTCGTCATTCTGTTGCTCATTTGCTGTCAGTAGATCAGAAATTCGCGGATGGTACCTAGAGCTTAACTTACCAATAGCTTGTCACTGAAATAATAGCGATCCAAGGACACTTGCGGCTCCCCACATGCAACATTATGTTTTGGAAACTTCCAGTATCCTGTGGTCGCTTCTGCCAGTGGATGTTGCGGTTGTGGGACGACTTCATGGAGCCATTCTCGTACTACGATGAGTTCTGTGAGGAGCACAGAGGAGTGCATGATTACCTGTGCTAATGTTGACGTGGGTGTGCACGGATTGTTGGCAAGGAATGTCTGGATATGGCCATGCGGTGCTGGTTCGGTTTTGCGTGCACTGCAGCACTTGTTTTGAGTTAAGAACCAGCAGTAAGACACGTCCACTCACGGCATTGCAGCCTGCAGAAGGCCTCACGTATTAGCCTCCATGCAAAATAAGTCGAGCTCCTTTTGAGAGACATCAGAAGATGCGCTATGCTCTGCCTCTGTTATCCTGGTAAGTGTGTAAATCACAAACCTTGCGACCTGCTTATGCGATGACATTCAATGGATCCCAAGACTGATGGATGAAGCTTGAAGATTCTGCCCAACTTTATGCAAGTGCTAGCCGCCCTACTTTTCATTAGCTTCTCCGGCTAGTCGACGTTCTCTTCTCCGCTTAACATCCCAATTATAAACTCTAGCAGTGTTGACTTCCATCACCGTCAGTTGCTCTCGTAGAAACTCCAAGTCTTCAATCGTAGCCTTCAAGCTTGCCTCTGCAAGATCCAATTTGGATCGCAGGAGCGACGCAGCCTCTGACAATTTGTACGATAACATAACATTCGCCTTATACGAATCAGATACCATCGGAAAACTGGCAATGGACAACTAAACTCACCCCTAGCCATAAATAGACGGTGTCGGTATCCTCAAGTTCTGCTTCCGCGAATAGCGTGTCATTTAATTCGAACGTTGTAGTAAGCGGCTTTTCGGGATTGTCAGAGTTTTCCTCATCACTGAGATCATCCTCCAAATCGTCGTTCTTGTCCCTGTCTTCCTACATGATCGTCGCATAATGTTGCCGCACGTGGTCGTAGTGATGGACTCACTCTTTTTTCTTGCAGGAACTCCACCATATGCAACGTCTTTCTGATGTCAGGGATCTTGTCCTCCAGACCTTTTCGTCGTTGTGTTAGGTTGGCATCCATATATCGGTACTTCCTGGACTTCCTTAGGTTTAAGATCATTACAGTGTATAAATCAACTCAAACATACGCGATAGCATCCTGGAAATTCTTTAGGGGAGTCTCAACCGCACCATCTGGGCCTCCCAGATATTCTTCAACATTTGCCTAGATTAGTAAGCATGAGCAGAAGACATTTGAGATACTTTTGTAGATACGCACGATGAATGGAGCTTTTGGAATACCCCGTGGATTTTTCTCCTCTTGAAATACCAACTTGGCAGACATGGTCGTACGTATTGAACACCCCGCTTCCAATCATGACGTCCGGTCGGAGTTAGAATTGGAGTTTACAGGATAGACAGCAAAATTTGATTCATTTGACTCCACAAACGCCGAAGGTAGCGCCGCGAGCTTTGATTAAAATTTAGACAAGCGGCCGCGAACACATGGAGACCCCTTGGTGCGCGAATGCAAACACTTGACGGATTATTCATTCGCTTGAGCCTTGATTCATCGCCGTGCTTTGGTGTTGCCACAGGTAAGTATATCATAGATTCATGTATCCAACACTCCTCACTGATCTGCGCCCACACAGGATGGACCTACACTGGAATTCCGGAGCCAAGACAGCGACTACGGTCGGACTGCAACAGTCGAGCTTCTCAAACGAAAGAATATCAACATCAAAACTCAAGGGAAACACCTAACAATAACAATATCTGTGCATTTGAAGTGCTCGGAGAAGACCACAGCTCATTGGACAAACACCAGAGGAGCTGATACTGTCTGGCACGTATATATGCTATTATGGAATTGAGTGGGACGAACAGCTCCTGATTGCAATGTTTTGGATGCTCAACATTGCTTGGGAGGTCCTCGCACTGTGCCTTTCGGTCTGGGTTGCTGAGAAACACTTCCATGACCTGCAACGACTCGGCACATCAACAGGATCGACCATCGGGGACTGTTTCAGAGTGCTGATACAATCTCACGTTCTTTATTTTGCAAGGTGAGCTTGTGATGTGAATTGAACAGGGTAGTATTTTTTCCGCTCAAGTTCCGCACATGTTAGCTTTGTTGGTACCTCTTGCCTCCATCTTGCTATTCTCTCTCCAGAAATCTCGGTGCGCTGACCTGTTGCTGATATCTGCGTGCAACCCCTGCTCATCATTTCTGTAGAATTCCTATTGGAGCTCAGATGTTCGGAGGTGCTCTCGGTCGTGCAGATGTTTGTGCTGGGACCACGCCTCATTCTTAGGATTCGAGAATACCACGCCGAACTCGTGGCATACTCCGACGCAGAAACCAGCATGAATTCGATTGTTTTCCAGGAGCGTATACATGTATCGACTAGCAGTACTATATAGGGAAATGCTTGTCGAGTGGTCTGCAGGGAGGAGAAATTTGGAGGAGGATCCGTCGTGTATTTATTTAACATATGGTATTTCGAGCCATATTTGAAAGGTCTAGGCAAAGCTATTTCTTGTTGTATCACTACCGGAACAAGGTACGCGCGCTTGAACCAAGTGGTAAGCTGAAATTATATGGAACGTAACCTGGTCCTTGATGACCGATGTTAAATACAACCAGAATCAGTAAAAGTGCCTTGACAGCTGATATTGCGTGTTGGTGTTCCACTGTCTGGACATATAGATGCTGCGAATCGTGAAGCCAGATAGCTGATAACTCATTGGTGCTCGAATGCGATTTCCTCCATGCGATGGGCCACGGAGAATGGAAAGAATGAAGCGAATGAGCATGACAAGGATATGGGGTCTGCCGAGTGATGAGTGGAGAACCTGAGGCAAAGGAGAGATATGGGTAGTCAGAGAGTTGGCCGAAGGCCTCGATGAAGGTACTCGTAGTGGTCAGAACTAATGAGAGTGATTACGGTCGGCAAGAAAACTTGAAGGAAAGGCACGATTCGGAACCATAATGCATTACGGATCTCTGTCGTATATGTACCTTATATGTCTCATTGGTGGACCTAGAATATTATCGCCATCGGGCAGCTTCTCATCCAAACTTGTGCCGTCAGTGCACGGGTTTGTTTGTTTGTTAATCATACTACGTATTCGAATTCCCCATACCCTTTCCGAAAGGTACACCATGAACTCAAACGCCCTTGTTCTTCAGCTTGAATTCTTCTAATATAGAGGTTACAAGCAACAACGGCGAGGACGACTTGGAAGGAGAGACGCATCATTTGTGAGATGTGATATGGATGGAATCTTAGAGATAAATATAAAGGGGGGACGGTAGGAAGACGGTTTGCTTATTATATCCTGAATACTATTCTGTGCAGACGCTACCCACCTGAAATCCACCTTCAAACAGATGACATTTGCAATGCCAACGGATCGCCAGCAGACCTCGACAGTGATTTTTTTTTTTCAGAAGTAAGCATTTCTGCAACAAGCTACTTACTACGTGTGGTGTCATTAACCACGTTGCACCAATGAGAAAGCAAAAGCATGACTCACTGTAGCTCATTCAACCTCCGAACACACATATGTGTACTCTCCTATCTATCACGCCCGAGCCAGTGAGTCCACAAATCCTGGATGAAACCACTCATGCTCACCTCGTCACGCTCTGGGAGCGCTATTGGCACGCATTTATAGCCACGGCAGCAATCGTGGTTCGTGGTGCAAAGGCCGCCAGCTGTGTGGCATTCGCTGTCAGCGCTATCAGCCATGGACGCTGTCAAAGCAGTAACAACGGCAAGGACGACTCGGAAGGAGAGACGCATTATTTGTGATATGTGATTGTGAAAATAGATTGGTAGGAAGACAGGTTGCTTTTACTGGCGCTGATTTTATTTTTCATGACAGTTCGTGCAAAAGCTTCCGAAATAAATCGGGTTTTAAGAGGTTTTAAACGAGTTGGATCAACGCTCGCACTCGGCTCTGGCCGAGTCTTAGTTCTGCAAATAAAATGAACAAGCAACACGTTCGGCACGCACATAGCAGGGCTTGAGATCAGCTAAGCGAGGCGCAGGGGTTTCGACTGTGCTCATCGGTGCAGGCGTCGTTGAAACACGTTCACGCTACCATGGCAGATGGTTTAACGTCTCTCGACATCATCTTACTGGCTGATGCAGAGACACCGGATGACCAACTATTTGCAGCAACGATTGCACTGCAAGCAACGCGGAACGACGAGGCGCTAATTAGTGCACTTTCTTGCTGGTCCATGTTGGCATCTTGTTTGCACTCAGCGGTCAGCACTAGAGTACTGGTGCGTTGATCTCACCCAGTCGGCATTTCGGCAGCTCTCTCTCATATCAAACTTCGTACTCGATACAGTATGCCAAGTGCGAAATAAAATGGCAAATGAAATGGCTCCGTGCCTATTTTATTTGTTGACTGTCATCATAGACTATGAGATTACGTACAACAGATGGCATTTGCCATGCCAGCAAATTGTTTGTGAAGCACTTCATACAGCGCAATTAACTACTTACGTGTGGTTCCGTCACTGGCTCCTAGTCTTTGAATCGAACGGGGTTAACAACACATTTTTCGATCTTCGTGTCCAATTAGTACACTTCAAGTTGTATCCGCCTGATGCGATTTTGTTGAATATGCAGTGGAACATAGTTGTCACGGTCACGTTTCGATCGGGCTCACCTTCAAGCACTTTACCGTATTGTTTGCAATGGTGCGTTGGTGTACACTTGCACTGCTACATAGAAGGTGCATTTGGGAGGAGCTTTCGAGATCGACATTGCTTGGAATTCACATCTATAGTAGATGCACGACGTCTAGGGGATGTGGAGACCAGGTACTATTGGTGCCACCCGAAGTAGTACACGTGGGAGTACATAGACTCGGAGGTTCAAGGAGTCGCTCTCACAGGTTTCTACTGCGGCTTCCTTGCTCGGATTTCTATGTGCGTGCGCATTGCGATCCAAACTTATTAACTGGATTTTGTGCCGATGAAAGGATAACTTGACAGTATTTGCCGTCTTGGCTCACTTGCGCTCTTCGGCTCCATTTACCCAACAGTCCTCGTGTAACTTGATTGTGTTAATTTATAGCATGGCAGATGATGTAGAACAGTGTCGAGCAGCTTTGAAGAGATGGCCCCACAGTCATTCTGATCAACCACAGTCTCTCAACAATCTTGCCATCTGCCTTCGAGACAGATTCATGCAGCAGGGCGTCCCGTCTGACATTGACGAGTCCATTGAGCTCCACCGGGCTGCACTACTCCTTCATCCCTCCGGTCATTCTGATCGGCCAAAGTCTCTCCACAATCTTGCCGTCAGCCTTCAAGACAGATTCACACAGCGGGGCGTCCCATGACCTTGATGAGTCAATCGAGCTAGATCGGGCTGCGCTATTCCTTTGTAGCCCAGATCATTCTGATTGATCGTGGTCGCTCCACAATCTCGCCAAAAGCCTTTGAGAGATTCGCGTGGCAAGGCGTTCCGTCTGACCCATCGAGCTCAATCAGGCTGCACTACGCCTTCTTCCTCCCGGCCATTCTCTTCAGTCATCGTCTCTCAGAGGCCTTGCCAACAGCCTTCGAGACGGATTCCAGCAGCGGGGCGTCCCGTCTGACTTTGCTGAAACATTTAGCCTATTCTCACAACTCTCCCACATATCTCACGTAGTCTCTTGTACGGATGGGCCACTTCTACTAACTTGAAGGAGACGAACCATGGCTCTGTATTGGAAACTGCATCAAAATTCCATTGGCTTGTCACTTTTTGTCGCCTACGTCATGTTATCTTGATGTGATGATGACCACGGTTTTGTTTGCTGTGGATGCTTTATCGTACAGCATTCGTGATGCGCACTGACAAACAAAACTGTTATAGAACTGGTGGAGCAAGGCCGTGCAGTATTCTGGACCCAGTTGGCCCGCTTTCGCACATTCCTCGATGAACTTTCCATGGCTCAAAACACCGGCGCAACCTTGGCAGAAGGGATCCCACTTGCTTATTATTCACCTGAAAGGATCATACTTCACATCTTGTATCCTCTTCAATATGTCCATCTTATCCGTCGAGTCATAGCCTAGCGTCTTCTATTTCACACTATCCTCAGGTCAGGGTTAATTCATTTTCCAAGCATAAATAGCAAGTACATAACATGATAGCAAGTTGCGGGATGACCACCCATCGGTCAAGGGTAATAAGAAACATGCATGCATGACGTTTCATAATTTTGCATTCGCTTTCACCTGTTTTTCATAACCCTCAACCAACACCCTTCTCAACACCTTCCCAGTTGGCAACTTCGGAATCTATCCAAGGACTCAATTAACTCGCCCCCAAAAACAAAATGAGGAAAAAACCTACCGTCTCCACAATCTCAATGCCCCCTCTCAACCACTTGAACCGACTCAGGCGTTCCTGCACCCACGCATTGAGTCGTCTCACGACCTCTTTCTCACCCAACGCTACGCCCGCGGGGGATAACACGATCCAAGCACGCGGTATGCGTTCGTCCGAGGTACGCCCACCCGAAACACCCGCGACGCTCACATCAGTGATGAGCTTGTCGGGCTGCGCCAGGATGGTGTCCTCGATTTCGACAGGAGAGACTTGCACCCCTGAGATCTTAAGCGTGTCCTGTAAGGACCGAGGTCAATACAATACGAAACGAGTTATGTTTATGGATGGTGCAGCTTACCTTGGTGCGGTCTTCGAAACTGCAAACAGGACAGGTCAACTTTAGTACAAGTGTGTATATCGTACTCGTTGAAGCAACTTACAAAAGCACCTCGTCCTCATCTATCCGTATCCGGTCGCCCGTACGCAACCATCCATCAACAAACGTTTCCCGAGTGGCCTTGTCGTTTCCTTTGTATCCCAGCGTCACAGCACCTCCGCGAACGAAAAGTTCGCCCGCCTCGTTCGGGCCCGCTAAGGACCCGTCAGGACGGACAACGCGGACTTCGACACCGGGGACGAGCATTCCGGCAGAACCAGGCTTGTTTTTGGCGCGTCCATCGAGCATGCCAGGAATGGGCTTCATGGCGATGGCCATTGTCTATCTCAGGCCATGACGTCAGCGAGCTGGAAGGAGCAATGGGGAGACCACTTACGAATTCGGACATGCCATAACCTTTTGAAGGTTGACAGTAGCACCAGGGGTTTGCACACGATACGTGGAGAACGCACCTTCAGTAACTCTTGGTATGTCTGTGAAACGGGCGCGAGCCTGGTCGGCGAGCTGGGGCGGGAGGTATGCGCCGCCGCTTCCGATTGACTTAACCGAGGTCATGTCAGTGGTTTTGAAGCGTGGATGGTGAACGAGCTGGTGTACAAGGGAAGGAACGAGGACTAGGGTCGTGATATGGTATCTACAAGCTCAAAATGAGTACCAGACGTAATACAGGACATGCTAAATGCTCTTGCCATTCACTTACTTAGGAATGATGTCAAAGAATACATTGATGTCCCATTTCGGGAGTATAACAGTCGTGCCGGGATGGAAGAAGTTGAAGAAAGTGGTCATGTAAAGGCCGATAGAGTGATAGAGCGGAAGGACAGCGAAGGTCACTTGTAGCCCATCAGGGGTGTTCCATATTGATGGCTAGCAGGGGAGTCAGGGAGACCAAAAAAGTAGCACCGGAAGACATACAGCTTGAACTTTAGCCATTTCCATACCGTTTACCATTGTCGAGAGGGTGACAGCAGTGATATTTCCATGGGATACCATGACGGCTGTACAATATATAGTCAGACGGTGTTCATGTTTCTGCAATTCGAAAACGAGACCGGTGGCGAAAGGAGACACATACCTTTAGGAGGACCGCTTGTTCCACTGGAATAGATCAGGTAGGCCAGAGTGTCCTTGGTAGCATGACGGACTGGCAAACGTGGAATACCATTCTTTCGAGCAGAGGATATCAGCTGATCGTAGCTTGTATAACCTGCATTCTCTCCTTGTAGGAGGTGAATCCGATCTGCTGGGAGACCCAAAGTTAACGCGAGTTGCAGTAACGAGGGAGTGGTAAAGATCCTAGTCGCCTGCGCAAGCGAATTGGCGTGTTTGAGCTCGTGCGGCGTTGAAAAGGATGAGAACAACGCAAAGGGGACAGTGATAGCCAGTAGGGAATGCAGCAATGTTGCATAGTCCTGAAAATAAAGCCTTATCAATTCACAGTCTCGACTGAACAATGGGATGCAACGCACCAGGCAGTTCTCGCTCAAAACGCCTACAATATCTCCATTCTCTGGACGAAGACCCAAACCACCTTGCGTCACATCAGCGCCCAGTGCAGTAGCGCCATCGTGGACACGCTCGACAAACTCCCTGAACGAACGCCGCTGGCCAGTAGCTGCATTCACGAACAATGTGAAATCTGGCCACTCCTGCTGGTCAGGCCGGTTCAAGAGCAGGTGGTGAACATTAGATTCTGGGACCTTCGGCAGGTCAGGGAAAAGCGACTTGTGGTACATCTTTCAACAGCTGATGGGGATACGCGACCGTTCAGCGCTGTACTGCGGCTGAAAATATTAAAGGTCCTATAATTGGCCTGGCTTTTTATACGATGGCATGATGAAGCCGAACTTGTACGTTTGTGGTTAGAAGTTGTCCGGGTTACAAGCGCCGCCATCAAGCCAGAATGGATGTCGAGTCTCGACAGAATCAGCGCGGACCAAACAAATATTATGCGTGAGGCAAGGCGGTTACGTGTTACAACTTACAACTGAGCCGACCAACCGGCGACTCGATGAAACCAATCACGTTCAAGCTCAATGCATTGCAATCCGGAGTGCAAGTGCCAGTGCACATGATTACACTCATCTTCACATGTATGTTCTGGATGTTGGATGTCGCAGTTGAAAGTACCTTTTATTTGAAATCTGACATCCTACAAAAGTACCCTCACAGTCTCGCCTTCGCCTTCGCCTCCCTTACGTACTCATCCACCAGTAACCGCCTCAACACTTTTCCAGTTGGCGACTTTGGAATCTACCAAAGCATTCAATCAACCCAAAAGAAAAGAAAGACAAACAACGCCCACCGTCTTCACACACGCGATTCCCCCCCTCAACCACTTATACCGACTTAGCCGCCCCTGCACCCATGCATCAAGCCGTGCCATAACCTCTTTCTCACCAAGCGCCACGCCTGCCGGGGAAAGCACGATCCATGCTCGCGGGACGTGTTCATCTGAGGTACGCCCGCCTGAAACGCCTGCGACAGTTACATCGATGATCAGCTTGTCTGGCTGCGCCAGAAGCGTGTCCTCGATTTCAACAGGGGAAACTTGCACCCCCGAAATTTTGAGTGTGTCCTGTGACAGCTCAATATAGCGCCAATAGTAACATGTAGTGGGTGCAACTTGAAGCTTGCCTTGGTGCGGTCCTCAAAGCTATAAAAGGGTATATTAGCGTCATATGGTAATGAGCGTGCAGGTCGTTGTCAAATTGACTCACAAAAGCACTCCGTCCTCATCAATGCGCATCTGGTCGCCCGTACGCAGCCACCCATCGACGAATGTCTCCCGTGTGGCCTTGTCATTTTCCTTGTATCCAAGTACCATGGCAGCCCCACGTACATAGAGTTCACCTGCCTCGTTTGGGCCCGCGAGAGACCCATCAGGACGGAGAATGCGAGCGTGAACGCCAGAGAGTAGAATTCCGGCGGAGCCAGGTTTGTTCTTGGCCCGTCCATCAAGCATGCCGGGAAGGGGTTTCAGAGCTACCGATATCTATCCCCAGACAGTGGAGTTGAAGTTTGTAACGGGTAATGGATAATCACTTACGAATTCGGACAATCCATAACCTGTGTAAGTGGGTAGTAGCAAAATGATGTATAAAGGAGTGGGGAACGCACCTTCGGAAACTCTCTTCATGTCTGGCACGCGGGCACAAAGCTGAGCAGCGAGCTGAGGTGGGAGATATGCAGCGGCACTGTTTATGCCTTGAATCGAACTCAAATCGGTAGTTTCGAAGCGGGGATGGTGAACGACCTGGTGTACAAGTGATGGGACGAGGCCTATCGTCGTGATATGGTATCTAGTTACGACTCAATAAAATATCAGTAGCACAGCCGCTATGAACTATACTTACTTCGGAATACTGTCGAAAAATAAATTGACGTCCCACTTCGGTAGCATGACTGTCGTAGAGGGTCTGAGGAAGTTGTAAAAACTGGTCATGTAGAGGCCATACGAGTGGTAGACGGGAAGGACACAGAGGCGGACTTCAAGCCCATCAGGGGTGTCCCATACCGTTGGCTAGTGAAGGGTTGAGATAACAAGAAAGTAACGTCGGATGAATACATACCTCTTGGATTTTAACTGATTCCATACCGTATGCCATTATTCCTAGGGCGGCATGGATGATATTCCCATGCGATACCATCAGGGCTGTATGACGAAGTCAGAAATGCCACGTATGATGTGCCCATGCTTCTGCGATAAAAACCAGACATGCCTTTAGGCGGACCACTCGTCCCGCTGGAAAAGATCAGGCAGGCTAGAGTATCCTTGCTAGCACAACGGACCGGCAGCCGTGGAATGTTATTCTTGCGAGCAGAGGAGACGAGCTGGTCATAACTTGTGTAACCTTTACATTCCCCTTCTAGGATGTAGATCCTGTCTTCAGGGAGACCCGAGGTTAAGGCGAGTGGCAGCAATGAGGGACTGGTAAAAATCCTAGTTGCCTGCACGAGCGACTTGGCGAGCTCAAACTCGTAAGGCGTAGAGTACGATGAGAACAGTGCAAATGGAACTGTGATAACTAGCAGCGAATGCACCAACGCGATATAATCCTGAAAGACGAGCTTATTTGGTTTATACACTCAGTGCAGGAAGATGCAACACACTAAGCAGTTCTCGCTCAAAATGCCTACAAGCTCTCCATTCTCTGGACGAAGACCTAGGCCACCTTGCGTCATATCAGTGCCCAGTGCCGTAGCACCATCACGGACACGCTCGACAAACTCCCTGAATGAACGTCGCTGGCCGGTAGCCACATTCACGAATAATGTGTAATCTTGCCAATCTTGCTGCTCAGGCCGGTCGAAGAAAAAGTGGTGAAGGTTTGATTCTGGAACTTTTGGCGGGTCAGGGAAGAGTGACTTGTAGTACATACTTGACCACCGATATAGCACAAATCTTCAGTAGCGCCACGACTCCCTCTTGAGGATAAGAAAAAGAGCTATGAATGGCCTAGCCATTTATTTGTACGGTAGATGTTCGGAACTGTGTATGGTAGCCGCATCACGAAAGTCACCACCTCCGGGGCTATTCCACGTAGACTCTGGGGCCGTTGCATCCGAGCGGAGTTGCAATAAATATTGATGCGCTCATCCTTTCATCAGCAGGTGATTTCTGACTCGGCCCGGAATATAGTTACCGGCGGGCCCTACTTAATTACGATTTTATTTTGTCATTTATTTACCCCCGTCGCAGGCCTGTTTGAGTTTGGTAATATTAAAGTTACAATGGAGTTACGCGGTAACTAGTGAAAACCAGATTCACGTGTATACCTGCATCATGCTGCCATGCCCATATCGTCCAATGATGCGATCTATGTAATAAAACAACTTGAGCCTCTGAGGGCACCAAATTGCGCGTTGTAGGGAGCATGCAACCCAAGTCCCGTTAGATATAGTGAAGGAATAATGTTGTCTTCCTATAGTTTGGCCATAACTTGTGCCTTCTGCCCGCGCTCATATTTGTCTACCAATTGTCTCCTTAATACCTTCCCCGTGGGCGATTTTGGAATCTGATGGTCTGCATGAACACATGAACGCTTTTGAAATAAAACCGGTAACGTACCATATCGACCACTTCGATCCCTCCGCGGAGCCATTTATATTTACTCAACGATTCGCGCACCCACGCGTCGAGCTTTGCTATTGTTGCAGCAGCTCCCAATCTGCGACCCTCAGCAGACAATACGACCCACGCCCGGGGTATCCGCTCGTCAATAGTCCGTCCACCACTCACACCCGCGACTGATGCGTCAATAATAAGTTTATCTGGATGCACCAGCAGTGTGTTTTCGATCTCCACAGGAGAGACCTGCAATCCTGAGACCTTGAGTGTATCCTATAACCATGTCGGGTGAGTAAATGAGAGCGATTTATTTCCTCAGTAGCTCGTACCTTTGCTCTATCCTCGAAGCTGCGCCGCAATCAGAAGGGTTTTCATCGGTGTTTCAAGACACTCACAATAAAACGCCGTCTTCATCAATTCGTATCCTATCACCGGTGCGAAGCCATCCATCGACGAATGTTTCCTTCGTTGCTTTTGGATTATTACTGTATCCAAGCGCAACACATCCCGAGCGAACGTGTAGCTCTCCCGGTTCGTTCACTCCAGCAAGCGTTCCGTCCTCACGCATTACTTTAACCTCAATCCCAGGAAGCAAGACGCCCGTGGAGCCTGGCTTGTTTTTCGCCCGCCCGTTAAGCAAGCCGGGAACGGGTTTGTTAGCAATAGATATTGTCTGAAAAGTCAGGAGCCGAATGTCATTACCACAGAAAGTGATTGGTCAGGCGACAGAACTCACGCTTTCAGACATCCCATACCCTATCAGAGATTAGCAAAGTGTAAAGCCAAAATAAAATTTGCAGCACACCTTCACCTATCCGCTCGAGGTTCGGAAAACGAGACAGCAGTGCTTCTGAAAGCGACGTAGGCAAATAGGCAGCTCCGCAATTCACAACTTGGACAGTGCTCAAATCGGCAGCCTTGAACTCAGGGCGATGTACGAGTTGATGGACTAAGGAAGGAACAAGGTATAAGGTGGTAGCGCGATACCTGAAACGAATGAGATATCATGCAGATGTGCGTTGAGGAATTTACGCACTTCGGAATGGCATTGAGGAAGGCTTTGGCGTCCCATTTCGGGAGCAAGACGACGGTGAGTGGCGAAAAGAACACCCGAAAACACGATATGTGCAAGCCATACGTATGATGTATCGGGAGAACGTTAAATAGAACCTGCATGCCATTGGGGCCATTCCATACAGGTGGCTAGCTCGTCCATTAAGCCTATTTCTGAATAAGAGGAAATGGAGAAATTACTTTCTGGAATTTGTTCACTTCTTCTGTTACAACCTTAACCTGAAGCAATGAATTCGTTAGGTTTCCATGAGATATCATGACCGCTGTTGAACGGAGAATTGATCAGGGTCTATTTTCAAATATAAAAACCAATGCAGCACGCATACCTTTGGGAAGGCCACTTGTTCCGCTCGAGAAAACCAGATATGCTAAAGTGTCTCGCGCGGCATGCTTTACAGGCAAGCGGGGTATGCGATGGCGTCGAGTGCGGTTGACAAGATCGTCGTAGCTCAAGCGACCTTCGATGTCACCTTCCAGCACGTAAATCCGATCATCTGGCAGACCCGATGTCAAAGCGAGGGGTAGTAACGAAGGGCTAACGAAGATCCGGGTCGCCTGCGACAGTGTCACAGCATGTTTGAATTCGAAAGGAGTCGAGTACCCAGAAATCATTGCGAAAGGCACTGTAATTGCCATCAGAGAGTGCAATAATGCAATATAGTCCTGAGTCTGTGCATATAGATTGATAATACATTGGTAACTGAGGAAGAGGCATACCAAGCAGTTTTCACTTAAGATCCCGACGATCTCACCATTGCCAAGAGAGATACCAAGGCCACCTTGCTCGACGTCAGCTCCGAGAGCGGTAGCCCCATCGCGTACACGCTCAACGAACTGGCGGAAAGACCACCGTTTACCAGTGGTTGCATTCACGTACAACGTGTAATCTGGCCAGGATTTCTGCTCTGGTCGGTTAAAGAGCAAGTGATGAACATTGGTCTCTGGCACAACAGGGAGGTCGGGGAACATGGACTTGTGGTACATCCTGCCAAGTCGTTTGGGGGATGGGGAGAGACTAATAATTAGTGCGTGCTCAAAGATGATCCATCTTATGAAAGTTTCTGCTGCTTTTTATCCGAAGCAACTCAACTGAAGTTTTGAGGTGTTCGGGACAGTGGCTATTGGTATAGCCGGAGTCGTGGGGCCTGGGAAATGGGTGGAAGTTTTTACGATTTGCTCGAACTGCTAAGTGTTGACTTACCTCTCGGCAAGCCTGGATCTAACGGAAGCGCTTATCTTCCGCGGCCCATGATTCCATCTTCTTGGATGTTTTTTGGCATCCAGAAGCAACCATCCATATATACTAGAACGTCCCAATTTTGCGGGTGGCCTGAAGTACCGATCAGCAAATTAATCCACATGTCAGTTCACGCCGTAGTCACTTGGTGAGTAAGAACCGGGTACAGAATTTTTTTTTAGAAATCATAACCGGTCAGAGGCTCGTCCTTAAGCTTCCATAGCTCCTTGTAGGGGCCATTCAAAGCACCTTTTACGCTTATGCACCCGTTCTTTGGGAAGTCCGGTCTCTTTCTATCGCGATAACACTCCCTTGAATCTTGATACTCCCTCTTATTCCCTGATAAGGCCCCCGCAAATCATTCAGTTGGTATCCACTCAGCTTTTCCGCCACTGAAGTCACAAAACGCCATCGGGTCGCATTGCAGAGTAGATCTTCCACGGAGTTGTCGGTCCTCTTATCTGCCACGGTAGCTCCTGGGGATTGATCGTGACGGCTGAGCCTATGTGCTGTCCATGTTTGAACTTCCACTTGTTGAAGAGAGTGCCTGATACCAGCCGTTTGGCGTGATGGCGTCCCAGTGCTACGTCAGTTGTGTGAGCGGTGCATCAGAAATCATCATCAGAACTTGAGGTTCTATCGGTGTGTCATTTCTCTGCATATCGATTGGCTGTGATCAAATTCAAATCTTTTCGATGCGTCCCGGTTAGGCTGTCTTCTTAAATGTCGTGATTGATGCTTGATATCATTACGAAGGGAGCAAAGTTTGACTGCTTGCACCGCCTGCTTAGCCGTTTTGATGCCGCCCGTGCCTCATCCGGACCCGTCCTCATCCTCAGGTTGGTCAATCACTGTTTCTTCACTTCCGATAGAATGTGTCCGCTTATTGATGCTTATGTCGTGAATAGACCTATACACATGCTTGCGACTGAACGCCGCCGGACCCGGACGCCGAAGATAACACCTGAGCAAGGAGCATAAAACATTTCGGAGCATTGGGACGTTTCAATCTCGATGTCCATCTGGATCTAGTTGCACCATTCAGGAGAAGCTGCTAGCCGGTTATAGGATGAACCGGTTCTTGTCATACATATTACGGCCCCAAGACTACCAAGTTGGACCCATGCCCAATAATGTTTACCCCCCTTGCTACTATTCGAGAGGTATAGGGGGTCCCGAGATATCTCAGTTCTTTTTGCGGATCAAACGATGCCAAAACTCGGTCGAACGCTGTTTAGGTATTCGAATCAATTCATGGATGTAGAGTTGCTCGCGGACACGCCAGTTATTGATATTTGTACGACAATCTGCTCCGTCTACACGGACATCTTTCGAGGTCAACGACCAAAAGACCTGCCATCAACTTATTCTTACAATCAAATTACTACAGACTGCTACTTGTCCGGGACGTGATACCGGAAAGGCTCGTACCATGTCGTATAAGGAATTGACAAACGACAAGGCACCATGGTTTTCTGGAAGGGTGGCCTTCCATTTCCTCTTATATGAATGCATTATCGATATCAGGCTCCCGGAAGCTCCTACCAAGTTCCATCCGTCCAACCTGAAAACGGCCTCAGAAATGCAATTCCATCATGATGTCAAAAATCACATGGTGTGACCTACTATGACTCGGACTTCCAACCAATGTGACGTACGTTGACGCTGACGACGGCGACGGAGGCAATGTCATATATGGCATCTCAATTAAATGTAACAAGTTTACTGGAATAGATCAGCCACTATCATTTCTTCGTCTCTTGTGGCCCCTCGCTGGAATCTTGCTGGTAAGCAGCAATTTTAAAACAACACATTTGAGAGACAGTCGAGAGTGTTGCCCAGCGAGCACTTGTTCCAGCAGTCAAGGTCAGATGACTACAGAGCTGCTGCGCGAATGGATTGCTATTGAGGTGGTAAGTGGTAATTAGTTGCTCGAATATCTTGGGAACACGCGAGAGCAGTGGAAGGTTCTGAGTCAACTGGTGCCATCCAAGTCATTGTAAGCTGCATCCGGAACTACTGTATTCACGAATGATAACCAATCAGCAGGTGGCCACAGGGGATGCAATATCTTGCACATTTTTGCTGGAAGTCCTGTTACGTACAATTAATCGGCGTTAATCGACACTGTGAAGCCGCAGGCGTTTGAGAGGAGCGTGTAATGGAGTTGGGAGTCGGACAGGTCAGAATAAGGTTCACGGAGTACCTTCAAGTTGGGTGCACCACTTGACGAGTGTCCTATGAAATGTAATAGCCGGATTACTGCTCACCAAGTAAATATATCTCGTTTTGGCGGTGCCGGCGAGTTTCCGACTATCCGATGGCATTACGTAACAAAAAAACACGCAGTCATTCATTCCTCGAATCAGCCCATGATACCAAGACGGGCCACTCACTCTTCCATCTATATGTAATGGCTTGCCATTCGTTTGCCAACCTCCTCGGTTCCAGATAACGTTCATGACCGGCGCCTCAAGTACTCAACGACTGTAGATACTTCCTTGCGGGAAGGACTCGTGCCGGAGTTGATGTCAGACGGGCTGACTCTTATGCCGTGTCGTATAAATTGAATTCTAGATTCAGAGTCTCGACCAGTGTTAGCCCATTTCAAGCTTGGCCTCGATTCATGATACACTAAGAGGTCTAGTGTCCGTGACGATAGGGAACACAATTATCGACTCATGGATAGGACCATGTCATGCTCCGTCTTGGGTCCGCATCGCCCAATCCAAATTACCATACGAGCACTGCCAGCCTCGGGGACTAGCACCGCAGCCCGAATCCTCGCCCGAGAGCAACACGTCAAGCTCAACGATCCTTAACCTGAGTATTTATTAATCTGGACGTTGCCTTGTCACTGAGTGAATACAACGCGCCCATGAAACTAGCAGTGAGGCGAGTGTTGCCTTGCATAGACATTTCCTTTATGGTGCTATATCTGATTGCTTTTCGCCGTGGTTACATTCATCAGTTTCAGAGTCGTAGATGGGTATATTACTAGACTGGCCCACCTGCAACGTCTAGACTTCCGAGTCATATTGGAGTATACTTTTAGTAGCTAGTGACCTTGTCCATTATTCATTATTAGACTGCCTACTGTTATCGTTATTCTTGTTCACTACGCAGTAACTAGGTTGCGCTCCTATAGGGTACAAACATAACAGAGTACCTGCGGATATAATAATAGTATCAGGCACCGTATGGCAACAACGTTTCACCATCGTTGACAAGAACTCTGAACAGACAACACACACCCGCCTCGTTGGCAAGAGTCAGCTCAGCTGTAGTCCCTTTCAGCTTCTTCTCTGTACTATCTCAACCTGTAACAACGTTTCCTCAAGATGCCGCCCAGTTTGAAACAAAGACTTGCTGCTCTTTCACTTGCCGCATCTTCTCCAACTTCTCCTCTTGGATCTGACTCAGGTCCTCATTCTATCAGTCGAAGAAAAGTATTCAATCCACAGTGGAGGCGAACCCCAGGTGCTACGGGATGTGAACCGGGAGCAAGGGATAAAGTACAAGAGGTTATGGGCAAAGTTATTTTCCAGGCCGGCGTTGATTTTGAGTGAGTGCAGTACATGGTCATCAGCCACTGTCAAGCTATTCATAGCACCTTTCCTCCCTAGGACTAGACCTATGTAAGTTCTCCTCGGCCTTGGTGACGGATACTAGCACGCTCTAATTGACGGCTAATTCGGCCTATAGTGTCATTATTAGTGCATCAGCATTACCAGATCCACAAGAGGTCTCCTATGATCTGCTTTTGCAGTACGTGTCTGTGCAAATCGCAACCAGTTATCATCCTCATCCCGTATCAGGCGAATTCTGTCATACCTTGATCTCTTTGGTTCGTTCACTTTCAGTGCTATGACTATCTACTGGTCTCACCAGACTCACCTCGTTCTCTCCAGTTGAATCCGATTACACTGTAGTATTCTTTGCAGCAGGCAATCGTTACGCTCCTCACTGGAACTGGGTTTGGAAGGCATATCGAAGCCTGAGTAGGAAGTATCGCAAGAACTTGAAACGCCTGGTCAGTGATACTTCACTTACTCACGATGCAAGCAACTGAATGTTCAGCGCAGCTCATTGTACACTCTTCTCTCTTCTCGAAAAGTAGGTGAAATTATGCATTCGGTCGGGCAGTCCATTTACCTACTTTCCGCAGTGCTTTTCTCGTTGGCAGGTGCTGTCGTCAGGTCTTTCAGGTTTCGCTGTCATGGTTTTCGATCGTGCTGAACATTTCCGCAGCCCCAAGTTCTTTCGCAAAATAGCCTACGTCGACACTCTGTCGGATCTTGCTACACAGGTTCCATTGACTCAAATTGACATTCCACCTGCGGTGTATAAGTAAGCGCACTTTAACCTGTTCAACACTTCTGGTAACACATCTATAGAGAGAATTTGAAACAGGAGAGGCATATTGTATTACCGAGTCCCATTTCCTCTAGCATCTTTGGTGTGCCCTTAGAAGAACTCATGGGTCATGACGGCGAAAAGGGTAGCATTCCGCGGGTTCTGAAAGATTCCATCCAAGACCTTTTGAGCTCTGGTGAGTGTCGAGGATGACTGTTATTTTACTTGAACTCATCAAACATATATAGGGCTGAACGAGGAAGGGATTTTCAGGCGCTCGCCGAGTTCCGTATTACTCAAACAGGTTCAAGAAGCATACGACAGAGGTATTTTTCTACGTCGACACTGAATCGCATATTGTGACACTTCACCAGGCCAAGTTGTTTCCCTCCAAAGCTTTAATGACCCCCATCTCGCAGCTGTGCTATTGAAGAAGTATCTCCGCGACCTTCCCAGCCCCCCATTTCCAGACTCTCTGTATTCTGATATACGTCGATGTCCGACACCATCGAATGACAGCATCCTTGCTATGGCATATATTCGCGACACACTCCTGCCACAGCTGATGCCATGCATGTACATCTTATTGAGTAACATATTTTGTGAGCTACGCTTTTCTTTGGTATGTCAGAAGACGTGTGCCTAACGCCGATTCAGACGTGCTGCACGAAGTATCCCTACGATCAAATGTAAATCGCATGGACGCACACAATCTTGCTATTGTCATTTGTCCCAACCTAGTCAAAAGCTCGGACCCGATGCAAGATGTACTCCTATGTTCTATACCAAGTGGACCATCGATGACCAGCACAATTGCAGCGGCCACACAGGCGGCATCAACATCCTCCACTGAAACTTCAAATGGCGATACTACTTTGGGATCTATCGTCAAGCTCTGCATCCAGCGCTATTATGAAATATTTGACGAAGTCCATGATCGCGCGGAGGCGGTGCCCCCGTCCATTCGAAGGTCACCTTCTCCACCATCATTGGAGGGTCCATCAGGCTCACAACTCAAGCAGGCCCGGCCATTGAGTTTACGGAGCGATGACGAAGACATTGATGATGCGATGTTGGTCATGCCGATTGGGCCCAGTGGGTCGGGAACTGCTTCCACGAACGAGACTTTCTCCAGCGCATGGAGCGGTGGCGGTGCAGATGCAGAACCAAATGCAAATGTCTTCCCATACCAACCCCGGCGACGAAAGTTCCTTGCACGTGGAGCCGGAAATGGAGGCGGGGGCAATGAAAACGGCGTAAGCTCTCTTAGTGACGAGAGCCACAATGGTGCAGGGCACTCCCATCGAAGTCCAGCGCGTTCGACAATCAGCATAGAGCGTGTGGGGAGTGTGTTGGGTTCTGGGAAAGGTTCGATATCCATTGGTCGTGGGGCGCTTCGCAAGGCTAGTGGATCGGGGGTGGAAGCAATGGGAATCACTGCTGGCGGGTTTTTCACTCCACCGAGCACTGCTACTGCACCCACACCGAGTAAGCGTCGAGCATGGGTATAATGACCAATGCTTGATACAGGTTTTTTATTAGAGTTTCGCTATACATCACCATCCGCTGTTTATTCACCGGCTACCTAAGCTTGAAGATTGTGTGTTCAAATATATATCTCATGCTCATATCATATATTTACAATGTCCATGTATACTATGTACGACAGTCTTGTAAATTCGATACTGTACCGACGATTCGGGGTTCAGATATCAGTTTGTCCTTACGAGGGAACATCAGTCTATTGGTGTTTGACTGAATATTATGACTTGTTCGGCGCTCAGCAAATAAGTACTTGAGACGGAGATGTAACATCGACGGAGCCGGCTGCCACAATGACAGCTCAACATAAAGACTTCATAATGTCACTACTAGTAGCTAGTACTATACTGGAGGAACCTCCATAGGCATCAAGGGAGGGCCAACAATTGTAACCTACGATAACAGATAACTACGACAACAGGTGACCACGGTTGTACTTTTACCACTTATCTTACGTAAACTAAATTTCAAAACCGGTAACTTCCGCTGTTGTCATAATCGGGATTCCAATCTTCTTTGCTATCATTTCTCTTTTTTCCCTTTCATGATGTGCACCCCCTACTACGCCCAGGTCTTCCGCTCGTGTTCCATGATCAGCCTCGAGTCGGAAGCACGAGGGAGTGGCAAGTAAGCCCTCTTATCGGCTTCCTCTGTGAATCCATATTTCGCAGCGAGGCAGAGATCCAGATAGGCAAATAGCCTCCCGGCAATACTTTGCCGTTTCACTCATTGTGCAGGACTATGTCAAAGCGCCAAAGCGATATTTCACGATACTTGACCCCATGTCGATGGCTATCACAAACTTGACACACAGAACCTTGACCAATTGTTACTATGACAATGATACCAGGGCCAAGTGGCTTTGTATCGTGCATACGAGGACTATACGCTTCGATACCTCGGGCGTGGTCTATCGGTGCATCCGTGCGTTTACGTGCGGCATTGCCCTCCTTGACTCGCCAAACTAGAAAGCATTTGACAAACGCATACCATGCACTCATTTTTGACCAGATTCGTGCCTACTCGCACAGAAACGCGCATCCCACGCAGTCATACCGTTGGCCAGATCAGTGCTTACTCGCATAGAAAACGCACATACCGTGCAGTCATTGTTGACCAGACCAGTGCTTCCCGCACAGAAACGCATATACCACGCAGTCATATTATTGACCAGTGCACGATAGCCGCGTTGAATTGCGCATACCACGCAATCATACCATGAACCACGCAGACATACACGATGCGTTGCTCACGGGGCAAGTCATGGACAAAGCATACGAGGACGACCTTGGAATCTATCGGTGCTTCCGTGCTTGGTGCGGCATGACTCAAGTCTCCCTGGGCTTTTGAATATTACCAGGACATGGCCATAACTGGAACATGAACCTATGACATATGATTCACAGACCGTTGCCATATCAACCTCTGTCGTGATGTCAGGCTGCAGCTGCACCCTATCGATCCAGCGAGGCTAGCTTCGAGTCGGACTCACTACACCTTGAGTTATTTCGGGTTTATGTGGGCCTCTGTGTGTACGCACGCAGCGAAGTGGAAGCCCGTTGAAAATATATCCTGCCGAATTTGGTTTCGGTGGCGGAATTTGTGAAAAACTCGTTCTTCCGCTGGGAAGAGTGTCATTGCCGTTCCACGGAACTGGTTGTCCAAAATCTACACGTGTCTGTTGGAGCTCTTCATGGCTATTCATAGTCGTAAGTTGCTATGGATCTATACCGTATCTTGACGCTCACGATAGGATTTCACAGGGGCTTGCTGCCTTGACTTTATATGACGGTTATTTCCGTCGATGCGGGGCAAATCCCATGGTTTATGCCAGGGTCTGTTATCTTCAACTGGAGCCCTCGGGCCTGTTGAGGATTACCGCATAATTTTTTACTCCTTCCCTTCTTCGTGAAGGGTCCTTGTTTCGACTACGTTCCGTGTATGTGGATAGAAGCTATATCGTGTTGTACCCTGTATCCTTTTAGTCATATATGTACGACACTCGCCTTAGTGATGCGGCGTGTCGGGTCCCTGACTCTGCCTTTGTCTTCCGTTTATGATTATAAATGATATCTCATGGCGCTTGACTTGTTATGGTACAGACACTCAACACCCGCACAGACGGTATCTATGTATACACCTTTGTTGAGATGTGATGAATTAAAATTGATGCGATTTCCGGGTTTCTGCGCACGGCACAACGTACGAGCTCCCTGGCCTCGACAGCGCGCTCAAATACTTGCCGAATCCTTCGACCTTTCCCTGGTTCTTTTTGTGCGACATAAATTTATGATAAATGCGTGCGCGTGTGTCACATCATAGTTGAACGGATCAAGCACCATCATATCTTGTTGAAGTTATCTTGTTGAAGTTAGTACTTAATTGAGTTCAGGTACGTACTAGAAGCGTGCAAAAAGCGTCCCCGTGTTTTAGATCTTAATGGACCTTATAATCATATCAAACTATCTGGCAAGTGACCTGCTGTGCCACATAAATGTAATAGACCATATACCTTGTTTACCTGAATCTTGCGACTTGCTGTTGTATCCATCTCGTCCGCTTCCTAAATGTTGAATTTTTGAAGTGTCTCATCATCAGATAAAGAACATATTCAACACTGCGGATGTCTCGTGATCATCTGTTGGGCAGTCTGTTTACACGATTTGGTTGTTTTATATGCAGGGATAGTCCGAAAACAAAAGAATTTGCTGGCACCTTCAGGCGCCAATCCAGTCTCTCCACGCTGAAAGCATCATCAATCCAAATGCTTGTGCCTCTGTACTCAGCAGTCCTGTTTGATTCCAATATGGAAAGGGATCTGGTAAAGGATCCACTATGGGCTGCAAGGTACCAAGGTTCGTGATATTGCATATAACAGTGTCTCGTATTTTCGCAGCCACATGCGTGTAGTGCTTGCCGAATTGCTGGGGGAAGATATATGCAACCCGATACGCTACAGAGGCTAGGGCAGTGGAGGAGGCTGCATCAGGAAAAGACGGACCCCCGGTGATATAGTTCGGGACCAGATTGTCTGTTGTCTGTCGAGAAGGTGGTGTTAGTCACGAAGGGGTCAGCAAGGTTCGTCCCTACCAAAGCAGCAAACTCGCCGTCCAGAATTTCCTTGATCCATGAGGTAAGACAAGCAATTTGAGAAGCCATATGTGAAGAGTGCTCAGTTTTCTGAATCGTCACAGCAACACGTAGCATGCCAAGTGCTGCCCATGCATTACCTGCGTAAGTTTTGCGCGATTGTAAGTTGCCTGTTGCGCTCATGCAAAATCCGAACCATGGGAGTACTCACCAGTTCCCCAGATACCTTCATCTATCCACGTTTTATTATCGTCGGAGTAAATATGTCCCCAGAGCTTTCCAGTGGGACCGTCTAGAATAAGAGCATCACGGTACAACCGACATTGATCGTATGCGATCTGAAGGAGAGTCGCGTTGTTGGTAACTGCCCCAAAGTATGCAATAAAGGGGAACCCCATGTAGACGCCATCAGCCCTGTTTGGTCACGTTGAGTATTTTAAAACATATCCCAGATAATATACATCGAACCAATATTGACGTGAGTCAACACGATGGGAAATAGCTCCAGTAGAGGTACGAGGAGCTACGTTGAGTAACTAGCAGACACCGGTCAGTTCGAGGAGCTGGAAGTAACTGCAGAACACACAAAATTCAGTTGGGCGTTAGCCGCGTCCAGCCAATAGTTGTACCGAGATGGGTCAGTCAAACTGCCTGTTTCGGTAGTTGAAAATTTGAAATTTCCGGCACAACAAAGTGGTATTCACCCAGAAGAACCGCAGAGCCAGCGGAGGCGCCATCTAACGCAGCGCCATCGAGTGCATCACCGATTTCTTGGCTGAGGCGACCGTCGGGAGTTTGCCGTACAGCAGCGCTATAAGCAAGCTGCAGAGTTGAAAAGGGAAAATTTCCATCGGAAACAAATGGGGAAGATCCAAAGACAGAGTACTCTGGGTTATTGAATTCGAGTATGGCTCCCGCCGCGGTTCCTTGTTCCCAACTAAAGCTGAGCACGATGCGACTGATTTGAGTTATCATACGGTGGCTTACCTAGTCCTGATAGAAGCCAGCATAGCTGATCGAATGTTGCCTGCTACCCATAGCTTGCTCTGGTACAGTGATGCATCTGAGGGATGAGCTGCACATGCACCAAGGCACAGGAGGGACCATACACTGACTGCCAGTCTCGTCTCACGCATTATCAAGCAAGGGAGGAGATGAAGATGTAAAATTGCTATATAAATCAGGATCAATCATCTACCATTGGCAGAATGAACGTCAACAAATGTAAAGGATATATGCCATAAGACCTCATTGTAGATGGATTACGCCGAGTGTGCAATCACCCACCATCATCAATATCGGCGATGGCAACAATCGTCGCCGGGGTTGCAAGCGCTTGAGCAATTGGGTCTAGCTCTTCCGCAGTTAATGGCGCCTTTCGGTTTCGTTCGGCGATCGTCCTGACTGTGGAGTATAGGAGGAGTGATGACTTAGATGGCATTAGTCCGGAGATGGGCTGCAGAATATGATGCGTTATACATGAGCACATGAACATAGATAAATACTGACGCAACTGTAACAATGGATAGTTTTGTCGAAGCGAGGTAACTTTTGTTCAGTTCAGATTGTGAAGTACTTCGATCTACCGCGGTTTTGACGTCTCGTTCAGGACAGGCAGCGAAGCAGTGACTGTCATTATAATAGCAACTTACTCAAAAGCACCTTATTCAGTGGGATCTGATGGGACATGTAAAGGTATTTGTATTGTAACGGCGTCTACGCACCAAGTCTTTGGCTCTGTTTTGCGCACCCAAATTTACAGATCAGCTCCTACACTTTTGGACATGACTTGAGATATTTTCTGTAGTATTTCAACAGACATCGACTATTGCTGAGATACTAGGTCTGCGCCAAAATCTTGTTTTAGTCGAGAGCTCAGAATGGAATGAAGAAAGTGCCAACCTTCAAACCTTGCTAAGGCCAGCACAGTCTTTTATCCACCAGCTGCTGGAGAGGTCAAGGCGGTCTGTTATAACCTTTTTAAAGCTAGTTCGGTAAGTTCAAGTAACCCAAGGGTGAGTCATGCACAACCAGACCTGTGACGCCTTGTGACACCATGTGATCCGGTGTGACCGATGGCACCTGGGTTGCGCACCTGACCTTCCCAATAAGTCAGCCTTACTATGCTGAGCGATCACGTGTATGGTTCAGTTTTATTTGGCTTAGTTACGATAATTCTCGACACCAGCAATAAATCATGTCCTAAATCATCTCATACCTTCAGGTATACTACGGTAGGAGGCTCGGCAACACATTCGGCAGTGTATCCCACTCAAAGTCGCCCTCCCACGCCCTCTGCGCTTTCGGCAAAGGTGCGCATTTTCCGGTAGCGGGCTTCTCACGCCCCTTACTTTTGCTCACCGTCATCACCAGTGCCCTCCTCAACCCTCATCTTGGCCTTCTCAACATCTGGGCGCCCTCCTTAGCTTCTGGACACCTCTCACCCTCCTCAAACCATCTTCCTTCTGCCCTCCTCAGCCTCTGTGGCATCTCTCCGGCCATTCCTTCCTTCCATCTGGCATTGTTTTCGCCCGGCTGGTGCCCTTCTACCTTCATCGCCCTCTGTGGCATTTCTCCGGCCATCCTTCCTTCCTTCTTGCATTGTTTTCGCCTGGCTGGTGCCATTCTACCTTCATCGCCCTCTGTGGCATCTCTCCGGCCATTCCTTCCTTCCGTCTGGCATTGTTTTCGCCTGGCTGGTGCCCTTCTACCTTCATCGCCCTCTGTGGCATCTCTCCGGCCATCCTTCCTTCCTTCTTGCATTGTTTTCGCCTGGCTGGTGCCCTTCTACCTTCATCGCCCTCTGTGGCATCTCTCCGGCCATCCTTCCTTCCTTCTTGCATTGTTTTCGCCTGGCTGGTGCCCTTCTACCTTCATCGCCCTCTGTGGCATCTCTCCGGCCATTCCTTCCTTCCGTCTGGCATTGTTTTCGCCTGGCTGGTGCCCTTCTACCTTCATCGCCCTCTGTGGCATCTCTCCGGCCATCCTTCCTTCCTTCTTGCATTGTTTTCGCCTGGCTGGTGCCCTTCTACCTTCATCGCCCTCTGTGGCATCTCTCCGGCCATTCCTTCCTTCCGTCTGGCATTGTTTTCGCCTGGCTGGTGCCCTTCTACCTTCATCGCCCTCTGTGGCATCTCTCCGGCCATTCCTTCCTTCCGTCTGGCATTGTTTTCGCCCGGCTGGTGCCTGCCTCTACCTGTAATCGTCAATTCACCACCGTCTTACTGCCCATTATAATTTCATGTGCGCGTATTACTTATTGTTCGTTCTCTCGCTAACATGCACGATAGAACCTACTACTAACTAGTCGTTGAAGATACCCTTGGACTTGGTTCAATGTGCTACCCATCTCGTATGACATGTCGCTGAGGATGCTCTCGGACTTTGTTTGTTGTCCTGATGTGTCAAATTACTCAATGTCATACATTTAATGTATTTTTCTCTTACTTCATATGAATATAATTACATCCCTTGTCCCTATATTTGATTGGCCAACAGAAAGGACGTAGTGCATATTTGAAAGACAAGGTAAGTAAAGTCTAATCAAAGCTCATGAATTCTAGAAAATTAAATTCGGATGACCTCGTGCCAATAGATGGACCAGCACCAGGGCTGCCTGCAGGCAAGTAATTGGACATGCCAAACATATCGTCGTCGGGGGGGAACAGACTTGGGATAGCGGGCGGAGTAGGTGATCTAATCTCAGGGAGGAACAGACTTGGGATAGCGGGCGGAGTGGGTGATCTAATGTGGGGGAGGAACAGGCTTGGGATAGCGGGCGGAGTAGGTGATCTGATCTCGGGGAACGGGCTTGGGATAGTGGGCGGAGTGGATGGTGTGGGCCCAGGGTTTGTTATACGGCCAGAAGGGGCATTAACGGTAGGTGTATGCTCATGGGTGGCCGTATTGCCAGGTGCATCCGACTCATCATCACTTACAACAGTTTCAGCACTCTTATACATTTTCCTGCGGTGACCAGAATTGTCCAAAGGCTGGTTGCGCTTCTTTCCTTTGTCAGAGCGAGTCCGGCGGCGTTTTTCAATGACCTCACCGCTGCTGACCTTCTCACAATGTTCTTGACGAAGTTTCTCGTACTCATCTTCTTCCAGGTCCCTCCAATGGATTTCTCCGGTTTCCCATTTATTCAAAAGCATCTCCAAGTCAGGGAGGGCACTGGATACGGTGCTAAGGTTGACAAAAGGAATATTTTCGGGCCAGCCTTCGATGACGACAAGGTAGCGTTGGACGACATTGCGCCAGTAGTGCGCCCAATGCATCCGTGCTTTCGGATCCTGTGTGATTCCCTCTAGAAAAATTGTCGTAGTCAGTAACATAGAAAATGGTTCAAATACGAAGCACTTACGAAGTGTCTTGTTGATCTCAAGTCGGATTGTGCTCCGAATATCTGATACGCGTTTTTTGTGATTTCTTGCAGCGCCTGATAGATACAGTCAGCAAAGAGCGAGTTTTTGAGAAAAAATGATCCCTATACCTTTCATGCCCTGGACAGCAAACCCCTCCATCTTACTCACGAGATCCTGGTTATCGATATTCATCACAGAGCTCATGAACTCGTCAACTCCTTCGGTTGCAAAAGAAATACCACGGAGGGGGAGATCTGTGGAGCAGCGTGTCGTGTAGAGAATAGTCTCGGCACCCGTCCGCATCTTCAGATTGCTGAGCTAGTAGCTGTGTCAATAAGGAGCATCAGAATATATATATAATGACTCACCTCATTCTCGACAGCCTTGAGTGTCTGTGTTACGTCGTTGACTTTCGATTTTGTTGAGATACGGATGCCAGTAGCCTTCGTCTCCCTGTGTTCCTGGTACTCCTGCAAAAGCTGTGCCTTCTCGTCGTCCGTGAGACTGCGATATTCAGTGCGGTTCTCGTCCCTAACGAGATCTTGCAATACAGTCTTGCCCGTGGCCCCTTGATGTGATGTCAGTTTGTATATGCTAAGGACAGAGACACTGTTACCGTTGTCCTTCTCTTCATGGCGCTTCTTCCAGCAGAACGCGTTCCATGCACTCAACTTTGAACGTTGGTAGCGTAACATCCCGCGGCCCATGCACAAGTCATTCTGGACGCGACGAAAACTCTTATGATGCGAGGACGCGATGGCCTTCACAGTATCGTCAAGCTCGCTCCAAGCATTGTGAAGAGCTGTCTTAAATTGACGTGATTTATTGCGACGTTGGGCAGTTAGAGCTGCACGAGCCTCCTTGCTAAGGGTCACCTTTGGACGGCGATGAGGTTGGGCTTGGACACGTCTGCAGCTGTTTGTCGCCGTGAAGGTATGCGAAACCATTGGGGTAGCAAAGTTCATGCTGTCAGTGAACAGCGTTTATAAGTCAATGGTGAACACGATTTATGATACCAAAAATATCGAACAATCTATGAAAAGAACAAATAAAACAAATAAATTGCGCACAGGAAACTTAGGCTGCCAACCACCCTGAAAATGTATGAAAGTAACGAGAGAGGCGGCTGTGGATGACCACATAATCAACAAACTAAAATGTGGTCAAGGAGACTAAACAAACCTTTTGATGCACTCCCTGAACGTCCATGAGAAGGGCTCTAGCTAAATTTGAAGCCTGTTTGTACGTTAGATCCCATTTGGGGGATCGGAGCACCACTTCCCAACGGCTGCTGCGAACGGACCCGACGAGTGCACGAAGCTTCAGGAGTACCGCATCATCCATTTTGAAACAATCAAGTACGGCATCTGTGTGCAGGCCAAGGCTAATTAGTGGTGTAAAGGATGCTGCTTCTCGCATCCCTTGTATTTCGTGTCCGGGAACCGTCAAACCCTTAGTGAAAAACGCATCAGCAGGCCGGCGCTGTCGGATCTTGTTAGGTGGCGTGTTGGAGTCCAAAAGTGCCATAGCTCTACCCTCCCGAACAGCAGAGGAGGTCACTGTGTTGGACTTGGCGTTGGCTTGAAGATCGTGCTGGAACTGACGAGAAGGACATGCCGAACAACGAATGTGGGAGCCTGTGGCAGTTGTTGGTGCCGGCAAGTGCGGGACTGCAGATAGATTGACCTGACTCGCTGGGTCTTGTAAGAACATAGAAAAGCGAATTAATTTCAGAGTGCAAGAGAAAGAAGGTGCTGACTTACAGTGGAAAGGAGGAACAATACCCTCAATGCGGCAGCGCTCTGTGAAGCGCTGCAAATGTGGAATTGCAAACTCTTCTGCAAAAGCCTGCACCAAGACAGATATATCTCCTCCAATGCGGTCAGGAGATGCATGTAATTCACGTGGCGTAATATAAAGATCAAGAGAGAGATGCTCCGGTGAAAGAGTCGGTGTACCTTCGGACCCAGGACAACGAATAATGAGAGAGATCCCACCATCGAGACGGTCTTGCATTGCGGCCTATTGTTCCCCATGCTATTAGCATCCTGCTAGATACTAGATAGGACTAGTTATACATACTGCATCAAAGAGGTCCTGCAACGCTGCCTCAACAAATCCCTCGTGTGTGATTGAGTTCTCATCCAACGTTGTATATGAGTTGAAACTGATGTATGAAGGATGAAGGCCAGCGGGTTTCCTGGTATGAAAATGAGTGCCATCTTGATGGGCATCATGTCTGAGCAGCGCGCGTGCAGCCGCCTGGCGTTCGCTCTCGCTAAATTCCTGAGTATTGGATATATTCGAGCGTAAGGCAGCAATGCTGGCCAGCAAAAACTGAGGTCAGATGGCGCTGGGCATATCATTTGCGATGGCAGGTGACATCCGAGACATAGACAGTGGTACACCACGGAGTCGTGAAGATGCTGGTTTGACTTTCGAGGGGGAGGATATGTTTGAGTCCATGGTGGATGTTGGAATAGACCAAAGAGTACTGAAAGCGATTAGTGAACTGGCAGTCCAATTAAGTACTAGTATGGCGCTCACCAGTTAATCATGATGCAAGCCCACATTTTGAACAACTGCACAAGGATTGGGTTCAATAGACGTGACAGTGATGAGAATCGTGTACATTCAGAGTGAGACTCGGAACTAGTGGTGCTTACTGTTGGCAGCCACGCATGACACAGCCAACCACAACCCAATTCATCAGATCTACGGTACACCATTTGCGACACAGCCAACCACAACCCAATTTATCAGATCTACCACTATCTGCGACACGGCCAACCACAACCCAATTTATCAGATCTACCGCTATCTGCAACACGGCCAACCACAACCCAATTTATCAGATCTACCACCTAATTTCATTGTCTCTACCTGCTCGCTCATCTCTGATCGCCCGAGACAGCCAACCACAACCCAATTTATCAGATCTACCACCTAATTTCATTGTCTCTACCTGCTCGCTCATCTCTGATCGCCCGAGACAGCCAACCACAACCCAATTTATCAGATCTACCACCTAATTTCATTGTCTCTACCTGCTTGCTCATCTCTGATCGCCTGAGACAGCCAACCACAACCCAATTTATCAGATCTACCACCTAATTTCATTCTCTGTCCACTTGATATTTTCATTCTTACCAGACCGCCTTGTAGATTAATTCAATGAAACATATTATCATCATTCACAACATGAGTATGGGCATGGTAAATAAACGCTAGTCTGCAACTGAGAGTAGATAGTTGGCAAAGTCGTCCGTGACCTGTGCTTGATCCTCGTCCTCGAAAGCATCTCCACCGTCAGATTCAAAAGAGATAACATAATTTAAATCAAGTCTCTCCTCAGAGCGCTCTCCGTTAATACCAGTCACGGAAATGCCTACAAATCATTAATAGCAGGTAGAACAACAAAGTCCGCACGCACCAGCATTTGGAGATGAAACTGTTACTGACACTGACGGACTTGCAACTCGGACACCAACACCATGCCTGCCTGAAAATGCAGGCTGTGACTCAATTCGATTTAACCGGTAGAGATGGACAGCGTTAACAGCGGCATGAGCCTGCCACTGTCTTCTCAACTCTACGGCAAGTGGGGGATTTGTGATGATGAGTTGGTCTATAGTTGCATTGGTCTTGATTTCTTCGTCATGTATTGCTGTGCGTAGACGTCAGACTTCTATATTGAGACGCTGTACTTCTTCCCGAGCACGTTGGAGCTTGAAGTATTTCACTGTGGCCTCGCGATGAACAGGTGTGGTCCAGTCAGCATCTCGAATGTCAGTACGTGAGTTGCGCAATAGGTCAAATTCGCCTAGGAAGCTGTACTCGACAATGTCTTTCCATGCTAGTTTTGGCCTAGGTGGGACCAAAGCGGCAGCCTGAGTGTTGTAACGATTTATAGTGTTCCGAATAGCATCTGAACGTCGTTGAAGGGCTTTGCTGATCTGTTGACGTAACTTGTAACCTAAACACCCTGCAATTAAATTCTAAAATACATCAAAGACAGCGTACTTACCTGTTCCTGATAATGAAAGTTTGGACAGTTCAAATAGACGCATGACTACGAGGCGCTCAAGTTCATCGAGCGTTGAACGATACTTCAGAAGTAAGGCTTCTTCTCGAAACCGACTATAACATTCGCTTCCGATTTCCCAGCGTTTGTCGATTCCAAGTTGAACCTCCAAATGTCCAGCTAACTGTTCCGTGTTCTGGAGTTTTGAATATGCCGTATCGACACGGACGCGAGCTTGGTTTAAAGCGAGGTGCATGTCACTTAGGCTGCCGACATGAATTTCAACTAGTGAGCGATTGGCTGCTTCTCGGGCTTGGTTCCATTCCGACCTCGGTCAAACATAATGAATAAAGTAATTAGTACGAAATGTTATCAAAACTCACTGGCGCTCAGCAAGCTCATCAAGCACATTGATGTATCGGATACTGAGAAGATCCTTGACCGGCGTCTGTTTTAAAGCATCAAGATATTCATGCTCTTGTGCATGAAAACGAATGAAGTCAGTATCAGCGAGATTGAGAGTTTCCCGAATGACCGAGAGCTCTGCTGTGAGAGTTCGGATATCTTCCTGGGCTTCGCGATAATGATTCTGTATAAAAACACCTGGGCAGGGATGTCGTGTTTGGCTATTGAGTAGATATTAATAAAAACTTACTTAAGGCTGCATACTTATCCTCGTCCCAAAATGCAAAATGTTGCTCGATCGATTGATGTCGATGAAAAGTTGTAGCATGCCGAGTACTTCGTGCAAGCTCATTTGACGAAGAAAAAATGTGTTCGCATCCTTCACCCTCCGTGTGTCCTGTGCCTTCAATGTACATAGGATGCCAATCTATCTGGCATCTTCGATTGTGCGCATGGCCGTGAAATGCTCCTACCATCATCCGGAAGTTGAGGGCAGAAGCTCGTGGTGTTACAGTAACATTTTAACCCCTATAACCATTTCTTTCTTTGTCCTACAAACGGGCCGTCCGTACCTTGCTTATCGCTTATCATGCTTATCTCCTGTCTCCACCAAAGCGGGCTGTCCGCCTTATCTCCACCCCTTATCACGCTTCTATCTTGATAACACATTTACAAGCTCCGCTTGAACACTTGTATATAAACCTAGCTACCTACGGTTGTATTCTTTACTTTAATCTACTGGGTTTTACCTGGAACATTGTCCTTCAGCAAGGTCTCCAACCTTGCTGCCTAAGAACCACTATTCTAAGGGAGTCAGCGACACTCGCCTTAGCCAGAAACACTTGATCTCTCAATCGAGAGCAGACTTACGTCTATCTAGGCATCCTACCGATTGTCTACTCAGACAGAGATAGCTCGACTCATCCCAGTCGTAACAAAAGATTAAAGTCTTATTACCTGAACCATTGCCATCTGCAACGAAACCGACACCACGACTTCGTTAACTCCTTTGATCGGAGCCTTGAACTTAGGAGCGCTACCAAACATTCCTCCTTTGAACGCCATGACGACCCAGAACAAAGAAATAGAACTAAAGATCGGTTCCCCTCCCGAATTCGATGGAGACAGAGAAGAATTGAAGAGATTCATGATGAAATGTCATGCATACCTCGACATTAACGACAAAGTCTACGTTGATGATAAGAAGAAGATCATTCTTGTGTTATCCTACATGACGAAAGGAAACGCAGCAGCCTGGGCAGAAGACTTCATGGAAGCAGCCCTAGACCCCAAGAGGAAAGACACCTCTGGACAAATGATCGGCTACAGTACCTGGGCCAAATTCAAAAAGGACTTCGACGAAGCCTTTAAACCCATGGACCCCGCCGGAACTGCCATGATGAAGATACGAGGATTAGAGATGAAAGGAGACCTCCACACCTACATCTCCAACTACAAACTCCTCGCACACCGAGCGGGAATGACCGAACAAGCCCCCCTCATCGAATTCTTTCGACAAGGCCTAGACTACGGGCTTCAGGACAACCTGCACCGAACAGGTGAAACTCTCGATAACTTCAACACCGTTGTCAACTCTTGTATCAATCTCGATAACGCCTTCCAAAGATGGAAAGCCATCAAGAAGAAAGAAAGACCCCAGCAACAAAAGAAGAAGAACTTCGGAAATAGACACTACGTTCCAAAGAGGGACGACGACATGGAAGTCGACCGCATAAGCCGCCTCTCAGACGCAGAATTAAAGAAGCACCTCAAAGAAGGAAGATGTTTCAAATGTCACCAAGTAGGACACCGTGCCAACGACACCTCCTTCCACCCCAGGGAAAGAGGACAGATCCAAAGAAACAAAGAAGAGGAAAGTAGCAGCGACGACGAAGTCGAAAGTCGCGCTTCCTCCTCCAGAACCCTCATCAGAAGAAAGAAGGAGAGGAACGAAGAAGAAACTCCGAAAAGGAAAGCACCAGTCCGAAGGAAGACTATGAAAGAAAAGGCCAAAGAAGTCGAAGAAGAGGAAGACAGCGACTTCACTGAAGTAGAACATCGCTTCGTGGAAATGGATTTTTAGAAAGGGACGCTGCCTCGACGTCAGTAACTCCCACTCATGTACGACTAATATGTTCTATCGGAACCAGAAATGAATTAAGAATTCCTGCATCCATTTTTTCCGATAAACGCGTACAAACCGTCGAAACATCCATGGTCATCGATTCCGGAGCATCCGGCACCTTTATCAGCGATACCTTCTGTAAAAGGCACAAGATAAGAACCCATAAACTCTCACGACCCTTCCCTGTTATCACCGCTGATGGATCAGACGCCCAAGGAGGACTTATCTCCCATTATTGCGTACTCACGGTCAAAATCGATCAACGAACTATGATCGGGAAATTCAATGTGGCAAGACTAGCCAAACAGGACAAAATCCTCCTAGGATTCCCCTGGCTTGCTGCGCTGAAACCCCAGATCGATTGGGAAGCCAAAACCGTATCGCTCCCACCAACGAAAAGATCACTCGCCATAGAAAAAAACATCGACAGAAAGAGACGTAAAAAATCGCTCCCGCCGCTTTTCAGAAAAGAAAAAGAAGTCAGAAAAGAAACGACCCGAACTTGGACAAATTCCAAACTACGGAAGCCGATACAGGTGAAGGTGGCAACTAAGGAAACCACCTCCCCCTATACCGCTTCTGTGGAAGAAATAGTTGATGAAGAAATACCCAACTATGACACGAAGGAAGACGTCTGGTCAGAAAACTTCAAATCTCCAGTCATTGATCCACTAGCCTATCAATTGGCCAATGATGAAGTACTCGTCGAATATGCCACTGATGGATCCACCGTACGCATCATAGAAGATATAACTTTCGATACCCCACTCGTTCGAGACGGGACATCAAAAAGGGAACAGAACTACGGAAAAACAAGTAATAAAGCCCAGGAATTCGCGGTCGCAGGAAAAATAGAAAAACAGAAAAAGACTTTCGAGGAACTCGTCCCTCACTTCCTCCACCAGTATCAAGACGTCTTCGCCAAGGATGGTCTTAACAAACTCCCACCGGAAAGGCCTGGGGTAGATCATCGCATCGACCTCAAACCAGGATTCGTGCCCAAGACGTCAAAAGTCTATCCGTTATCGGGAAAAGAACGAGAAGCTGTCAAAACGTTTATCGAAGAAAACACCAGAAAAGGTTTTATTGTCCCCTCCAAGTCACCTCAAGCCAGTGGATTCTTTTTCGTAGGAAAGAAGAGCGGGGAACTGCGTCCCTGTCAAGATTATCGGTATCTCAACGATTGGACCGTACAAAATCAATATCCCCTCCCCTTGCCAAAATCCCTCATTGAACAACTCTATGACGCCAAGTACTTCACGAAGATCGACATAAGATCGGGGTACAATAACGTGAGGATCCACCCAGAAGATCGATGGAAAGCAGCGTTTACCACTCAAGAAGGGCTGTTCGAGCCAACAGTCATGTTTTTTGGATTAACAAACTCCCCCGCAACCTTTCAGGCGTTCATGACCAATCTCTGCCAGAAACAGATAAACCAAGGATGGTTAGTCATATACATGGACGATCTTCTGATCTTCTCGAAGGATCTTCGGCAGCACCAAGCACGAACCATCGAAATCCTCGACATCCTTCGAAAAGAAAAACTATTCGTTAAACCAGAAAAATGTACCTTCGATGCACGAGAAGTAGAATATCTTGGAATGATGATCCGACCAGGAGAAGTAGGGATGGAACCCGCCAAAGTAGACGGGATTAAACATTGGCCAACCCCGGAAAACCTAAAAGACACGCGGTCCTTCCTGGGATTCTGCAATTTCTACCGGACATTCATCGCTCATTACTCGGATATCGCTCGACCCCTTATCGACCTCACGAAGAAAGACCACCCTTTCGTCTGGACTGACAAATGCCAGAACGCTTTTGACCGCCTTAAAAACGCCTTTTTATCGCAACCAGTACTAAGAAACCCGGACCCGACTCGTCAGTTCGCAATTGCTACCGATGCGTCGTTAGCAGCAACCGGAGCAGTATTGCTGCAGACTGATGAAAACGGAATGTACCACCCATGCGGTTACCTATCCCAATCACTCAACCCCGCAGAACGAAACTATGAAATCTTTGACAGAGAACTGCTGGCAGTCATTCGAGCACTCTCGGAATGGCGCCACTATTTGGAAGGAAGCCCCCACACCGTGATAGTATTCACGGATCATATGAACCTCCTATACTTCCGCTCCGCCCAAAAGCTGACACGAAGACAGGCACGTTGGCAGCTCGTCCTTTCCAATTATCAGTTAGAATTGCACCACGTTGCAGGGACCAAATTAGCCGCCCCGGATGCCCTTTCTCGACGCCCGGACCATTCACTCGGAAAAGACGATAACGAAAATCGTGTTCTCCTCCCTGATACCATGTTCGTACGACTAATTGACAATGACTTGTCAGAGAGTATTGCACGCGACTCCGCCGAAGACCCCGTGTACCAGAAAGCCCTAGACGCATTGAACGGAGTATGCCTTCCCCCAATGAAATCCGCCCTCTCCGACTGGACGTCCGTCAATGGCGTCCTCTTTTATAAAAATAGAGCTTACGTGCCAGCAGCCCAACGGCATGATGTGTTATTTAAACACCATGATCATCCCACGGCGGGACATCCCGGCCGATTCAAGACGGAAGAACTCGTCAAACGAGATTTTTGGTGGCCAGCCATGGGAACTTACATCCGTAAATACGTCGACGGATGCGCCTTATGTCAGCAGATGAAGGCTGACACACACCCTGTTACCCCGCCATTGCGCCCGATCCCCTCCATCGCCACTCGCCCCTTCTCCCAAGTCTCTGTCGACCTCATCACCGACCTGCCTGTGTCGGGAGGTTTTGACTCTATCATGATCGTGGTAGACCATGGGCTTACGAAGGGGATAATTATTTCACCCTGTAACAAAAACATCACCTCTGAAGGAGTGGCTAAACTATTTCTCAAAAACGTATTCAAGAGATTCAGTCTCCACGAGAAAGTGATCTCAGATAGAGGACCGCAGTTCATTTCGAAGTTCTCCCGAGAACTCGCCCGACTTCTCGGATATCAAATCGCCGCATCAACTGCCTACCACCCCCAAACGGACGGACAAACGGAACGTCTTAACCAAGAACTAGAAACCTACCTATGGATCTATTGCAGGAATAACCCGTTAGAATGGTCTAATCATCTTCCTATTGCCGAATTCGTCCACAATCATCGGAAACATGATGCCAGGAACACGTCCCCATTCTTCCTCATGATGGGCTACGAACCACGTGGGATCCCTCACATCTTATCAGTATCAGACACGCCAGCAGCAGAAGAAAGACTCAGAAACCTCCAAAAGATACGTGAAGAAGCACTTGCCTGCCATAACATCGCTATGCAACGAATGGCGGAAAGATCTCGCCATGAGAAGTACCGACCATGGAAGATAGGAGATAAGGTATGGCTCACAGCCACCAATCTCCTGACATCTTTACCTTCTAGGAAACTTGCGCCCAAACGATACGGCCCATTCGTTATTACCGCAGTCTTATCTCCCATCACGTTTACCCTGAAACTCCCAGATCAGTGGAAAGTTCACCCCACGTTCCATGCTTCTGAACTATCGTCCTATCGCGAAACAGAGATACACGGACCGAACTACACCGAACCTCCACCTGACATTATCAATGGCGAAGAAGAATATGAAATAGAAGCTATTCTTAGCCATAAGGGCGCGGGTAAACGAAGACGCTATCTCGTATCATGGATAGGCTACTCTTCCGGAAGCAACGAATGGATACCCGAGGAGAACTTGCGGAGTTCGAAAGAACTTCTGACAACATATAAGAAGAGGCACAAGCTGAACTAAACGAACCATTCCCCTGCAAACGAAACCCAAATAACATGACTCCCCCATTGACACCTTCCCCTACTGGATCCTCTTCATCCTCGCACTCTCTCGGAAACTCCACGTACAAAAAGAACATCCTTAACCTAGACGACGACGCCATCGTCGAGACCACCCTGTTATCCCTTCCCCACGCAGTTGAGCTCGAAAAACAGCTCGCTGAAGCACCCGCGTCCGCTGCCGCCCCCGTCATATCCCAGATTCACATCATACGCGCCACCGCCGCCCTTGAACTCAGGTTCAAAGAAATTGAAAACGATGCCCTCAGACTCGCCTGCCAGCACCTCCAAAGACAAATACGCAGCCTTGAGATTCAGCTGCTTCCTTCTGCTTTTAGCACTATCTGCAAGTCAGTTATACGGACTGTTGAAGAGCGAAACCAGACCGAAGTCGGTCGCCCGCCAAGCCCTTTTACTAGCGCTCCCCCCAGCAACGTACCTACTGCAGTTACGGCTGGAGAAGAAACTCAGCCTGTTGCTCAACCGACACCAGTTGAAGAACCACTCCCCATCCCCGAACCCACCGTCGTCTTTAAACGAAAGACCCGTAGAGGGGCTACCGTGCACGGAGTGTCGAAGACTAGAGCTTCTAAGGGAAAGAAGCGTGAAGTCATTGACCTCACCGAAACCCCCGACGTCATCACAGTAAAACAACCCCAGTTTTCCGCAGACAACTTCGTTTGCCGAGTTTGCAAGAAACTCGGGCATCGCCACAAGAACTGCCCCGAATACTATTGCCGTGTATGCCAGGCCCAAAAGCCTGGCCATCTCTCTATCTACTGTCCCTACGCCGCCACAAAGGAATTATTCCCATTGGTTTACACTGATGAAGGCTTCTACGAAGCGCTAGCGGCATGGGAGGCCAGAAAAGACGAAGAACTCCAGGAGGAAATAGAAAGGGCGAATCGAGACTACGCCACCAGGTATAATGAACCGGAGTTCTGTAACGCTGACGCAGACCCCATTCACTACGAATACATGGACGAATACTGCAACACCGAAGAATATTGAAGCCGGAGACTTCAACCGTAACAGAGGGGTAATGTTACAGTAACATTTTAACCCCTATAACCATTTCTTTCTTTGTCCTACAAACGGGCCGTCCGTACCTTGCTTATCGCTTATCATGCTTATCTCCTGTCTCCACCAAAGCGGGCTGTCCGCCTTATCTCCACCCCTTATCACGCTTCTATCTTGATAACACATTTACAAGCTCCGCTTGAACACTTGTATATAAACCTAGCTACCTACGGTTGTATTCTTTACTTTAATCTACTGGGTTTTACCTGGAACATTGTCCTTCAGCAAGGTCTCCAACCTTGCTGCCTAAGAACCACTATTCTAAGGGAGTCAGCGACACTCGCCTTAGCCAGAAACACTTGATCTCTCAATCGAGAGCAGACTTACGTCTATCTAGGCATCCTACCGATTGTCTACTCAGACAGAGATAGCTCGACTCATCCCAGTCGTAACACGTGGTCCCAAAGTACTGTTCCCGAGCGTCTTGGCAAACGCACAACCAATGTCATACGCACAACCTCCATTTTTGCCGTAAACTGTTAGCAATCGATCAACAATCGCAAGGGGATATTTTGCCCTAACAATGATCAAATATGATTTGAACGGAGAACAAAAATAACTTACAGTTCACCGCTCTTAACCATATCGCAAGCGAGAAGGATAAACCGGTGTCGACATGCAGCAATAAATATCCCGGATTCATCGAACACTGAAAACATCCTTTTACGTTGTTCTGGACCGGCATTTCGCCACCGGTCAACACAAGTAAATGAGGGCGCTGTGTCAGTTTGCTCAACATCTTGCCAGTTGTCAATATCCGCAGTCGGGTGCTAGTCAGGTTGAGTTGCAGTCTCATAGAGTGGCAATGAGAAGACCTACTGTTTGTCCTCGCACTTCATCCTTAAATCTATCAACTGTCGAGCGATCGAGCCAGTAGTCAGAACGAAACCTGCGTGAATCTTTTCGGGCGGTGCCATCAGCTGTTGACGATGTCCATCGTTTCAAGCTATTGTTGCCATCCATAGTCACCAGCCAGTCCAGAGCCAAATTTTCTTCATCCTCTAGCTTGTAGAAGCAGCATGGGCAGCAGTTCAGAAGACGCCAGTTGGGTGAGCTGCGGTTAAGCGCTTGATTGATGAGGACGTCAACGCGATGTAAGATTTCAAGATAAATGTCATAAGCATCTGAAAACTGCGCATTTAAATATGGTCGATATGGAATCTAGAAGAGTTCGGAATGAGGAAATGATGACGACACATGCTAGGGAGCTTACATTATGGAGGTGACATAAGGCTTTGCATTGCGCCTGAATGCTGAATCGGGGACAAGTTCGGTGAGCCTGTCGGTATGCTGCAAGTGTGCAGATGGAGATGGCAACAGTGGGAAATAATGGCGAGCAGCCCAAATAACCATGATGGATGAGTGTTTCATTCGGATACTGGTGAGATGGATGAGGCTGCAAAGACACGCGCTTTCGACCTGGACAACATTAACAATGAAGCCAGCCAATGTGCGCTGAACCTTACTAAAAATATCAACTAGTTCAATATTCTTGAGAGATAGGCAGTCGCCATCGAGGGTGGGTTCATCTGAAGGCGGAAAGCTTGGCATGCCATCACCACCGTCATGGGTGCGATAGTCAAGATACACAGTGACCAACTGTTCAATTTGAACACCCCAATGTTCATTTTGAACTTCTATACGATTGGTACGAGTGCGTGAGTCCACGTAGCGGCTATCAATGCCAACAATGCTTCAGATGAATCAATAGGATAATAAATATAATTGCATACCATCCTGAGAGATCCGCCATCTGTCGAGCCAATCCTTCAAAAGCTTCATACTCTCCACCCTCATGGCTGAAGTCAAGTCCTTCCTCGCCAGGTGGTACGGTGTGAGGTATACTATCTATGTCGATGTTAGTGTCAGCCAACATAGATTCAACGAGATCCCGATCTTTGCTGGACATTTCTAAAAACAAAGGTCAGGAGAATACAATAGTTCAACATAGGCCTCGCACCCTGGACGTGTGATCGGCGCTTCACATCAGTTGCCTGCCGTCGTTGTTGCTGTTTCCCCGCAGTGAGTACCTCAGAAGCGTGAATGGAGCGCCGGAATCCATGTCTAGTTGTGGCCTTTGAGAGCCCTGTAATTTTCCTGGAAGTTCCAAGCGACATAACAGAGAAGAGGTGGAGGTAAGGGATAGCTAGAGAGATGCCACAGAGGGCGATGAAGGTAGAAGGGCACCAGCCAGGTGAAAACAATGCCAGACGGAAGGAAGGAATGGCCAGAGAGATGCCACAGAGGGCGATGAAGGTAGAAGGGCACCAGCCAGGCGAAAACAATGCAAGAAGGAAGGATGGATGGCCGGAGAGATGCCACAGAGGGCGATGAAGGTAGAAGGGCACCAGCCGGGCGAAAACAATGCCAGATGGAAGGAAGGAATGGCCGGAGAGATGCCACAGAGGCTGAGGAGGGCAGAAGGAAGATGGTTTGAGGAGGGTGAGAGGTGTCCAGAAGCTAAGGAGGGCGCCCAGATGTTGAGAAGGCCAAGATGAGGGTTGAGGAGGGCACTGGTGATGACGGTGAGCAAAAGTAAGGGGCGTGAGAAGCCCGCTACCGGAAAATGCGCACCTTTGCCGAAAGCGCAGAGGGCGTGGGAGGGCGACTTTGAGCGGGATACACTGCCGAATGTGTTGCCGAGCCTCCTACCGTAGTATACCTGAAGGTATGAGATGATTTAGGACATGATTTATTGCTGGTGTCGAGAATTATCGTAACTAAGCCAAATAAAACTGAACCATACACGTGATCGCTCAGCATAGTAAGGCTGACTTATTGGGAAGGTCAGGTGGGGTTGCGACCAGACATTGTCAACAAGTTGGAAGTTGGCGTGTGACACGTGACTGTCGAATCGAGTGAAATACTACAGTATCGTAACGGCGCCTGTGCGCCAATCCCCGACTCCGAATGGACAGTATCACGTAGAAGACATATATTCTCACGAATATTAGAGTACAAATTTCGAGCAAGAATATCAAGAAAAGGTACAATTCGCGGACTGATTATACAAGTGTCGAGCGCAGAACACCCAGTCATGGAGTCTATTCTTCCATGTACTCAAGCTCATCTCCAACTCCAGCAGAGAAAGACCCTTTTTTGGCCGGCGACTGACCCATTGCCTCTGATGCCTCATCGGTAGCCTTCCTTTTCTCCCTACCATCTTTGATCGAGTTGACGAAGGCAGCCTGCATGTACTTCTCACATGGCAGCAGCTGCATATGCTGTAGCATCATCTGATAAACGCGGGAGCCATTTGCATCGCGAGGGTTGGAAGCATTGTTGCTACGGGGTTTAATGGTCCAGCTGCGAAATATTATAATGACGGAAACCGAAAAACGAATCAGGACTTACAGCTTCAGAATGACCTCCAACTCCACAATTGCGCCCTCCGTAAGCTTTGTCTTATATTCACTGACATGAATTCGGACACCGTGCTCGTCACAGACGTCAGGTAGGGATCTGCACGGGTACGGGTAACCCGCGCGGGTCACAGGTACGGGTACTACTGGGGTACGGGTACGGGTCGGGATTCTAAGACCCGCGCTCTTACCCGTACCCCAGCTATACCCGTGCCTTCCATAAACGCCATACTTCCCGTGTGCACGCTACAACCGGCACCACCACCAAGCACTCAGACTTCCTGCCGGCAACGCATCAGCTCTCGTTTTTCGCATCGAAACTCAAAGGTCCCGCGCTCATTTGGTATCAGGACTTACCGCATCCCAGACGACACGACTGGCCCACCCTGCAAGCTGCCGGCCAGACACAGAACTCGCACCCGCCACCACATCGCTACCAACACCTTCACATTCGGCGGTACTCGCCGTATCCCCCACGCCACGTTCGACAACACCCACTACGTCGCTGTGCAGCACGCTGACGGATGCCACCAGCAAGCACCATCCAGCACCTACGCGACACGCTGACTCGCCAGCATCGAGCGTACACGCTCAGACCACGCCAGCAAATGCTGGCGTGGCTCAAATGCACACGGAAGACACCAGGACGAAGAGAGAAGGAAAAGATGAGGAACGAGAGGAGGAAGGAATGATCTTGTCAGTAAGTCGCCGTCCTGACTCTGCCCCCATTTTCTGCAATGAGGACGCGACGCCCGACACGTCACACTCTCGCGCCACCACACCACCATCTCCCATTTCGACATGCTCACCTTCGACTTCGATCGTATGCGACACCACCTGCCACGACATCAGCGTCTATTTCGACGCGTCCGTCATTCGTGCCGTGCCTCCACTCCTCCTTCTTGTGCCATCCACATATGTTCGAGTCACATCAGCATTTGCTGACGTGTGCTGGACATATGTGCTAAGCACTGGCGGTGATACCTATTGCGATACAGGCTATAAGACTTATAGTTGGCGTTATAGTTTTTGATTCGGAGACTGATAGATAGATGTCAAGTAGTAGAGAATTATATTTCGGATATCTCCTGAATCATTATATATCCTTTACTCTCAGACAATCTCAGACACTCCGAAGTTCCGCTACGTTCGGCATATCGACTAAAGGTGAGTTCGGCTTGTTATTCTCAACACTCCCCCTCAAGCCGAAGTCATGCCCAAGTCACTGACAAATTTGCAGTGCTTCGGCTTATGTAACGACTTCGTTAAAATGTCTGCCACCATGTTATCAGTGCGGCAATACTGTTCGTGGATTACTCCATCTTGTGTCTTCTGTCTGATATAATGATCTTTTACATCGAAGTGTTTGGACCTCGAATGATATTGTGGGTCTCTCGCTATTGCCAATGCGGACATGTTATCGCCATGGAGAACGGTTGGAGCATTTTGAGGTATGTTTAATTCCTCAAAAAGGTTCCGAAGCCATACGGCCTCACGTGTTGCGTGGGCCATCGCAGTATATTCCACTTCTGTTGATGAGAGGGATACTGCATTTTGCTTTTTGGAACTCCAGGTAATTGCTCCTCCTCCCAGTTTGAATACATATCCTGATATCGATAGTCGGTCTCTAGGATCGTTTGCATAATCTGCGTCCAACCATCCGACGACTCGAATTTGCCCTTTATCAGGTTTCTCGTTCCCTTGATACTTGATTCCAAGTTCTCGCGTTCCTGCTAAGTATCTTAGTACACGTTTTGCTGCTACCCAATGCGCTAATCCTGGGTTCGCAGTAAACGAGCTAAGTCTCTGTATAGCGTATGCGATATCCGGACGCGTTGCTACGGCCAAATACATCAGCGATCCGATTAGTGATGCATAGGTATTACTCCGGTTGCCTTCCTGGTCTGTCGCTTCTTTCTCGAGCATAATTTTCGGATCTAACGGCATACCTACTGAATTACTCGACTCTAGACCTTGTTTTTGTAGAATTGATTCGATATATCTTGTTTGCGAGAGTTTAATCGACCTGTTCGGTCTATCTCGCGTAATTTCGATTCCTACAATCTTTTTTGGTTCTCCAAGGTCAGTAATATCGAGTATATTCTTCAGTTGCTCTTTTAATCGATCCATTAGACTCGAATGGTCTGCGAATAGCAACAGGTCGTCAACCCAGACGGTTATTATTTCCGTCCCTTCTGCGGATTCTCTGATGTAAGTGCATGGATCCGACTTTAGTCGTCTGAATCCGATTTTTGTTAGGCGTCCATTTAGTTCAAGGTTCCATTCTCTACCCGACTGTTTTAGGCCATAAAGGGTTTTCTTTAATCGGCATACTCGGCCGGTCCCATCGTCATAGCCTTCGGGCTGTTTCATATATACTTCTTCTTTGAGTACGCCATTCAGGTACGCTCCTTTTACGTCCATCTGCTGTATTTCCCAATCGAGGGATGCAGCTGTGGACATTACTGAACGTATTGTTTCTAGACGCACGACTGGTGAAAAAGTATCTGTGAAATCCATACCCGGTATTTGTGAATACCCTTTGGCTACCAACCGCGCCTTGTATTTGACTAATTCCCCTTCTTTGTTCGTTTTCTTTACTAGGACCCATTTATTTCCGACTAAGGTGCGATCTTTTGGGGGGTCAACCAATTCCCATGTACCCATTTGTTCTAATTGAGTGAGTTCAGTTCGTACTGCTTCTTCCCACTTTGGCCATTCATCTGACGCTTGCGCGTCCTTTAGTGATTTTGGCTCATGTGGTTCGAAGCTGCCATTTGCCATATAGGCAGCTAGAACTACTTCTTCTTCATAGAGCTCTTCTTCGAGCTCATGTCTTTCGTGTGCAAGGTACGCCCACTCTGGTTCAGGGTCATTCAATTGGCGATAATCCTGTCTTACCATCTGTCTCTTTGTCCTTCTAGGCGGCTCTATATCATCTGAATCTGTCGGGGGACACTTTCTCTTTAGAGTTGAGTTGTTTTCATCTTTTCCCTTCAGATTTTCACGCTTATTTTGCCCTTCAGGATCTTCTACGGCATCTTTTGGATCCTCTATGGTATCTTTAGGTAATATAGCGCTATTTTGTGTTGTCTGCGCGTCTTTCCCTTCTAACTCCCCCTCGCGCTGCACATCACGTACTTGCGCGATGTTATCTAGGAACCTATAGTTCCGTGATACGCGAATTTGGTGCGTCCGTGTATTATAATATTTTATTGCCTTTGGCCCGTCTGTAAATCCAACAAAGATTTGTTTTACAGATTTTGGGCTCATTTTTGATTGATTTGTGTCCTCTTGGAGCACATATACCGGTGCACCAAATTCCTGTAGGTGAGTTATATTAGGTTTCTTACCATTCCATAGCTGTTCTGGCGTTGCGCCTTGTAGCGCTCGCGTAGGCGCGTGGTTTCTGATATATGCGGCATGTGATACCACTTCCGCCCATAAAGACTCTGGTAAGTCTTTTTCTATTAGCATCGCTCGTGCGAGCTCCGCTAATGTTCTGTTTAGTCTTTCAGACACGCCATTTTGCTCTGGTGAGTAAGGCGCTGTTGTCTGAAGTTCTATCCCCTCATTTTTACACCATGTTATTAGATCATTATTGATATATTCCGTTCCATTATCAACTCGGAACCTTTTTGGTTGGTCTGTCCAACGCTTCTTTAGGTGTGTCGCATACTGTTTTACTTTGGTGGATGCTTCATTTTTATGCTTCATAAATTCGATGCTGCACCTTCGGGAGCAGTCGTCGGTGAAGGATATATAATACCTTGATCCACCAACAGATTGTACACGTGCTGGTCCCCAGACATCACTATGCGTTAATTCGCCGAGTGATTTGGAACGTTCGTCTTTTGCATGCGGGAACGAATCTCTGGCATGCTTTGCTTGGATACAAGCCTCGCACTGTGGCATAGGTGAGTTATTGTCTAACACTTCCATACCTTCTACTAATCCTTCTTTATATAGGCGTTTCAAGCCACTATAGGCTATGTGACCATATCTCTTATGCCAGGTGAGCCAATCCGTGGGTTTATTTTCTCGAGCGATATTTATTTTTGCCGTTTTATTTAGTTGCGCTCGGGTATTTTTTAATAGATATAACCCGTTTTGTAACTCTCCTTTGGCTATTATGCGTCCTCCAGGCGCTTTAAGAGTTACCTCGCCATTTCCCATGATTGCATGTCCTCCTTCTCTGTCTAGGCGGGTTATAGACACGAGATTATTTGTTGCACTCGGTACATACAATACATTTCTCAATTTGCACCTCATTTTCATTTTTCCTACACTACTCACAAGTTCAACCGTCCCTTGCCCTTCAGCCTTAATAGACTGGTTACTAATACCTGTAACCTTATGGGATTTTAATGGAACGTAGTCCGTTAATGCAGACTTAATCTTTGTGATGTGTGACGTGGTGCCTGAGTCAGCAAGCCAATCGTTGTTTACCAACTTGACTGCTTTACCTTGGCTATAGTTTGCCTCGGCTTGAGGTTCATTCGCTTCTTCTTCGATGACCTCTTCCATATCGTCGCCGACAAAAGCGACGTCATCCTCCTCGTAATACTGCGCGTCTTCGACAATATCTTCAACGATGTCTTCGACGACATTCGCATTGTCTCTCCTAGCGCGCTTAAGAGGAGGTTTTGACGGTCCTGCGCCCGCCTGTCCGCCACCTTTGCTCCAGCACGTCTCAATAGTGTGCCCGCTCTTATGGCAGTTGGAGCATTTGGTCTGCTTGTCCTTGAACCAACACTCTTTTTCAAGGTGACCGGACTTCTTGCATACTCCGCATCTCTTCATCTCCTTCCTATCTCTTTTCTTTTTCGGATTCTTCTCCTTCATGGTGAGCGCACTCTCTTTTCTTTTCCCTTTGCCATTGAGCTTTTCTTTCCTTCGCGCATTCTCCTCCATAATTAGGGAGATCAGTTCATGCGAAGTAATCGCCGTCGCGTCACCTATCCTGTTTTGATATGTCGTTGTGAAGGTGTCCCAAGACTCGGGCAAAGATGAGATAAGTACTGTGCAGAAGTCATCTTCCGCTACTAAACTTCCCATCATATGCAGGGTCTCTTGGATCTCCCTCATGTGCTTGACATGTGTTGGGATATCTTCGTCATCATCGGCGAAGGTTCTATAGAACTTGCGCCTCCATGTGGTAATCGCTTGTTTGCCTCGCAACTCTTTCACGAGCTTTAGCTGATCCCACATTTGTTTTGCCGTTTTTGCTCCAGACAGATGAATCATTTGGCCATCGGCAACCGACAGCTCTATCACAGTCTGTGCCTTGCGGTCATTGATTTCCCATTTTGTTATGTCGGCCTCTTTTTGTGCTGACGCGGGCAATGGGCCTCGCATAGGCTTAGGGACAGTACCCTCGACATATCCTTCGATCCCTTTTTCAAAGAGGATGGCTTTGACGCGGCGCTTCCAGCCCAACCAGTTCTCATCATTCAAGTGCTCGATACGATACAACGACGATAGGGAGGAACCAGTAGTTTGGTCCGTCATATTAGGGGTTTGTTTCAGTTAGATTTTTTGATCTTTTGTTAATGTTTTTATTTGCGTACGGCAGGGCTCATAACCTATTGCGATACAGGGTATAAGACTTATAGTTGGCGTTATAGTTTTTGATTCGGAGACTGATAGATAGATGTCAAGTAGTAGAGAATTATATTTCGGATATCTCCTGAATCATTATATATCCTTTACTCTCCGACAATCTCAGACACTCCGAAGTTCCGCTACGTTCGGCATATCGACTAAAGGTGAGTTCGGCTTGTTATTCTCAACAATACCTATGGTACCCGCGGGTAAACCCTGCACGGGTGCAGGTACGGGTCTGAGCTTGTTGTACCCGCCGAAAACCCGTACCCGTCAGAGCGGGTACGGGTTTTTGCCAGGTGCGGGTGCGGGTCAGGTCCCCGACACCCCAGGGTATACCCATGCGGATCCCTAACGTCAGGAGACTGAACCCTTGTGCCACGCAGATCGTAAGTGTTCAATAAAGCAGAGTAACGGCCCTTGGAATCCTCAAGGTCACAAATGCGATCCCCATATAAACTGCTGAAATATGTTGCCAGCAGAGGCAAGAGTGGCGAAGTACATTGTGCATGTACAGTGGCACTCGAGAGTATCGCTCGCAGCCGGTCTTCGTCCGATCAGAGTAATGTCATCCTAGTATATGTAAAATGCGATAGCACCACATGCAAGCGACTTTTTTTTGATCGCTCCCTGGGTAAAGAGAGCCGGCATACACAGTCAAGAAGAACTTTATCAAAAAGAGATGACAAATTCACCTCTACAACACCGTCACTGTAGTACATCCATCTAGGAAAGTCGTGTATTCTAGAGTTCAAGCAAGCGTCAACCGTCAGTGAGTCACATGAAGCAAGCTTGCGAAAGACTACACAATGGCAGTAACCAGCCTCTGCAAATTCACTCAGAGACATCGATAATGTAGCATCTCGCCAACTCACAGTAATACAAACACCGTCATATGAGATGCATCCATCAAAGCCGGACGAGTCACAAGTCAGACAAGACAACGAGTGTGAGGCGAGAGAGGCTTTAAGCCACATGCAAAAAATTTCAGGTGTTTCATAATATACGAGATGGTATTCAGGATAATAGAGTGCATCATAATAATTTGGATAGTCTCGAACGGCATGGAGCTCGTCATCAGGAGGGCAGTGGCTTTCCTTCAAGACGCGAGCCGAACGACAAGGCAACTTTTGAATGAAAACCCTGAAAGACGACCAAAATTAATCAACAAATCAGGGAGATGGAAAAATATACACTTACATGTGGTACGGTCCCGCAGACAAAGCAAAGGAATAACGAGAGATATTGAGATACTATACTGACAGCGACAGAATACTGAGAGCGACAACAAGTTTGGGCGATCAACAAAGGATTCAATCCTTTTTCCCCACTGACTAAGCGACATCAAATTCACATACCCACGGGTGCGTTTGCAGGGCTTCGAACGTTTCTGTCCGAGAGAACCCTCTCCACTAACGTGGAGTCGGGGATCAATCATAACCACCTCACACACTTTCTGGATGTCGAAATTTTGCGGTCTGATTATCAGATGAAGTAGATGTTCAGAATTGCTCTTTGAGGTGGACATGTCAAATGTCCCTCATCAATTAAAAGGTTTATTTATTTTGTGCAATTAAGTGTGATAGACAATGAGGGATTAGTCCAAAACAAAAGATTTTGCCGGCACCTTCAGGCGTCAATCCAGTCTCTCCATGCTGAAAGCATCATCAATCCAAATGCTTGCGACTCTGTACTCAGCAGTCCTGTTTGATTCCAATATGGAAAGGGATCTGGTAAAGGATTCACTATGGGCTGCATGGTACCGAGGTTCGTGATATTGCCCACTACAGCACCTCGTATTTTTGCAGCCACATCTGTGTAATTTGTGCCGAATTTCTGGGGGAATAGATGTGCAACCCGATATGCCACAGAAGAAAGAGCAGCGGAAGAAGCTGCGTCAGGAAAAGACGGACCCCCGGTGATATAGTTCGGGACCAAATTATCTGATCTCTGTGTCGAGAAAATGATGTTAGCTATGAATGGAGCCAGAAAGACTTGTCTCTACCAGGGCAGCAAACTCGCCATCCAAAATTTCCTTAATCCACAAGGTAAGATCCGCAATCTGGGGAGCCATTTCTGAAGAGTGCCCAGTCTTCTGAATCGTCACAGCAACGCGCAGCATGCCATGTGCTGCCCACGCATTACCTGCGCAAGTTTCGCGCGATTGTAAGCTGCATATTGTATATGCGGAATCCGAACCACGGAACTACTCACCAGTTCCCCAAATACCTTCATCTATCCACGTCTTGTTATCGTCGGAGTAAATATGTCCCCAGAGCTTTCCAGTGGGACCGTCTAGAATAAGAGCATCACGGTACAACCGACATTGATCATATGCGATTTGGAGGAGAGTTGCGTTGTTGGTAACCGCCCCAAAGTATGCAATAAAGGGGAACCCCATGTAGACGCCATCAGCCCTGTTCAGTCACGTTGAGCATTTTAACACATATCTCAGATACCAAACATCGAACCAATATTGACGTGAGTCAACACGATGGGAAATAGCTCCAGTAGAGGTACGAGGAGCTACGTCGAGTAACTAGCCGTCATCGGTCAGTCGGAGAAGCTGGAAGTAACTGCAGAACACACAAACTTCAGTTGGGCGTTAGCCGCGTCCAGCCAATAGTTGTACCGAGATGGGTCAGTCAAACTGCCTGTTTCGGTAGTTGAAAACTTGAAATTTCCGGCACAACAAAGTGGTGCTTACCCAGCAGAACCGCAGAGCCAGCGGAGGCGCCATCTAACGCAGCGCCATCCAGCGCATCACCGATTTCTTGACTGAGGCGACCGTCAGGACTTTGCCGTACAACAGCGCTATAAGCCAGCTGCAGAGTTGAAAGAGGGAATTGTCCATCGGAAACAAATGGGGAAGATCCAAAGACAGAGTACTCTGGATCATCGAATTCGAGTATGGCTCCCGCCGCGGTTCCTTGTTCCCAACTAAACCTGAGCACGATGCGACTGATTTGAGCTATCATACGACGGCTTACCTAGTCCTGACAGAAGCCAACATAACTGATCGAATGCTGCCTGCTACCCATAGCTTGCTGTGGTACAGTGATGCATCTGAAGAATGAGCTGCATATGCACCAAGGCATAGGAGGGACCATGCACTGACTGCCAGCCTCATCTGACGCATTATGTGATGCGAGTAGGGACGGACGGAAGCTGCGAGAGGCTGCAAGAGACAAACGAGGGACTATGGTAAACGTTGGTGACGGTCGAGTATGATAATGAGTGCGAGTATCTCACCTCAGTCTGAGTAGAATAGACTGAGGTGGAACGACGAGGGATGGGGGATTATATACCTGTCTGCGTTAGCGATGATGTAAAGTACGAGACCGTGTGCGCAGCAAGTGAATGTGAAAGTAAAACGAGATAAGAGTAATAGCGAGACTTGCCGGATATTACGTCCAAATATCCAACATTATGAAGCAAGGGTAGAGACGGAGAATGTAAAATTGATACAAGTCGGGATTATTCGATTGACGACCGCATGAATGTCAAGACCCCATTGTATTAAATGGAATACGCCGACCTTCGAGGTGTGATCATTTAGGATTTTTCCGGCAACGACAACGACCGTCCCTTGGGCTACAAGCGCTTGAGAATTTCGTGGCGTGTCTAGCTAGCTGAGTGCTGAGCAGTGATGGCCCTGTCAATTTCATTCGTTAATCATCCTGGATGGGCTATTGGAAACTTCGAGGGGGATTGAGGGATGGATGACACATGAATAATAAATGAATATGACATACTAGCGCAATTGTAACAGTGGGTAGTTTTGTCGAAGCGAGGTGACTTCCGAATTCGGTTTAGTTCGAATTGTGAAGCAGTTTGATCTACCGGCGACTGTCAGTTATAACAGTAACTTACTCAGTAAGCACTTACTAACTTACTTCAGTGGGATCTAGTGGGACCTAGCTAAGTATGCTACTCTGACATACGCATGCAAAGTTATATGTATCGTGAGGGCGTCTACAAACCAAGTCTCCGGCCCCGTTTTGCGCACCCAAATTTGCAGATCAGCCCCTCCACTCTTGGACGTGACTTTGAATATTTTCTGCAGTATTCCCACAGACATCGACTTTTACTGAGATAGGTCTGCCAAAATCTTGTTTCAGTCGAGAGTTTGAAATGGAATGGAGAAAACACTAACTTTCAAACACCGCAAGGCCGGCCGATATTTCATCTTTCAAAAAGTGCTTTTGAAATGGAAAACCAAGCAACAACTTATATGTCATATGCGTGTGAGGACATACACATGGTATAGCAACGCACGCACTGGGATAAATACTGTTCCGACTGCTTGACTGTCGGACAAGATGACAGCACAGCTGAAGCTTTGCGCATTTGCGTGAATTATGGTTTCGAGGCACGTTGATCTCGAAACAACAATCACACAAATGCCCGCTGGAATTTCTGCCTGACTATTCCGAAGGCTTGCTGCGAGTACGTATGAACTGGCAGCGTGGATATAGATTCTAACAGTGGTCTCACTATTGGCCAGATTCAGTGCTAGCAGCTACCCCATCTCCACGGCGGAAGGTCCCGACGTCTCTGCAGCTCTGCACACAACACTCAACCAGAGTGCTTTGTACAATTCTGCACTTTGGAGGGAGCCGCAACATGCAATAGTCTGTCATCTGTATACATGACATTGTACGTAAGCGTGTACTTTTTCGTGGCGAAAAGACCGGAGCTCGAGCGCTAAAGACGCTAGAGAGTCGGCCACTCTTCAAAAGCGCCTTGGCTGAATCGAAAGAAACTGATGTTACCCGAGTCCACAGCCGCGATGACTATATTCTTTTTGCCAGCCTTGAGTGCTGCAAATGGATGCGGCCGTGGTTGAGATGATATAGGCTGTGGCGTTGATAATGGCAACAACCACGAGAATATATATTTGAATATTGATGTGTTGACGGGCGACGCAACTGCTGCAGGGAATGATTGAACTACCGGAGGTGCTCCGCGCTTTCGTGGGAGAGGTGGGGGAGTTTCCGGAAGAACATTGAATAGCTCCGTTAATTCGTACAGAGAGGGCACCAAAGCGGTTCGCGCACTGTCACGCGAAGTTCAACTGGCATGCCTCGACAATCACTTTGGTCTTACTTGATAATGACAATCTGGAAATCAGGTTGTGGGGGAGTAGTTTTCCGAAAGTTGGTCGAGGGCTTGTACATGTTGTAGAATATCTTGTATGGAGACGAGGGTGTGACAGGAGTCGCACAACTTGAATGAGGCGTGACGGAGTGACCTGCAGGTATGACTCGCAGAGACTTGAGGACCTTGCCTAGACAAGACTCGTTATTGAAGAGCTCTAGCGGAGTAAAGTGGTTCCAACCATATGATTTATTGTAATGTATCAACCGACTTATCCTGAGTGGTTTCCACCAATTGAACGACCCTCTCCAAAATCTCAAAACACTCGTCGTAAACAGCGAGAAGATTGATAATGATCTTCGGCAGAATGAGGGAGTTGCTTCACTCCTTAGGCGAGGTGGGGGTACTGGATAACTGGGACTGGGTGGATCTGTGCGGGTGACGACATACCCCAAGCGCCTCAGGTATGCAAAGACCTATGAGCGATATTGAGTATTATTAATGAAAAATGTCTGGTTTCAATCACCTGATATTTTTCGAGCGTCAGATCTTCCTTCCCAATTATTTCTGCAAAAGCCTGTTGAACAGACATCGGAGCACCTTCAACGTCATCCAATCCAGTCAAATCTGCTTGAATGTCTTTCCAGCAGAACAAAGCACCCCTTTCAATTAGATAAAGTGCCTCTTCTGGCAGTAACTCTAGTCTCTTCTGCAGCTTCGCCGAGCCGTTATCAATTGATGTGGGCCGTGCTGCTGAATGGCCCATGACAGAAAAGTGGATGCCTCTGGCAACGGTGACGTGAACGCGAGATATTTGCGGGAACCAGATGCCATAGCTAGCAGATTTACTATGCGGTGATCAATGTTCGATTCACACAGCTAAAACATAAAAAGTACCTAGATATAGCGCGATCAGCTTTGAGGGCGTCGAACATCGCAGCGCGTGCTCGGTCCAACACATGGACTTGAAGACCCGAACCCCCTCCTGGAGCGGGCTCAAAATCTTTCTCTCCACGTTTTGGGATTACCGGACGCATGGTGCCAATCTTTCTGCTGCGCTTAGTATAATATATGTACATATAATGCTCAAGGCTCACGGTAGCTTTGTCCAATCCAGGCCTCCATCTTCATCCCCCGAAGATTCTTCTTCAGCTGGATCCAAAGTTGATGTCGCAGGCTGAGGTCGCGGCCTTTCTAGTGCATGATCCATGTCAGATAATGGTAGATTAGTGGACTAGAAATTGTCTAGTCAGAACGCTATAATTACGTAATTTTTGGGTAGTCACACAAAAATGTTGAAAGCTTTGGCGAAAGGGTTTCGGAGTGGACCGCGATCATGGTAACAGAACGGAAACCGACGTTCTTCCAGTCTCTCGCTGTGCGCAAAGTTCCTTGCAAGATGAAAATATCTGTGCCGACGTGACATCCCTCATAGGCCGGCGGATTGGCAGGAACAGCGGTCGACATACTGTTCTTCCCGATAGACACCGTCAAGACCCGTCTGCAGTCCGCGCAGGGATTCATCAAGGCTGGCGGCTTTCGCGGGATCTACAAAGGTGTGGGTAGTGTGGTTGTTGGAAGCGCCCCAGGAGGTATGCATGGAGTAGGTTGTCTGGCCATGGTCGTTCTGACGCGGAGATTACAGCTGCTGCATTCTTCTCTACATATGAAGCCATGAAGCGCTCGATTCCTCTCCACGACCAACTTGCGCCTGTGAACCATATGCTATCCGCGTCTATGGGAGAAGTGGCAAGTCCTTGACTTGCAAAATTTATCTTCCGCAAATGAATCTTTTCCCGGTCAGGCTGCGTGTTTGATACGCGTTCCTACAGAAGTCATCAAAACCAGGATGCAAACATCGACGTATGGTGCTTCGGCATCTTCGTTTAAAGCTGCAACGCTTGTCATGCACCATGAGGGCATTCCAGGATTCTATCGTGGTTTTTGGACTACTATCATGCGCGAGGTAAACGAATGGATTCTCACACCCTGTATGAATGTTCAACTGATTTAGTACTTGTACTTCCAAGATACCCTTTACATCACTCCAATTCCCGCTATATGAGTTTCTCAAATCTCGACTATCAATATATCTGGACCGAAAACCCCTATATGCACACGAGGCTGCTGTTTGTGGGAGCATAGCCGGGGGGACTGCAGCAGCACTGACAACACCGCTTGACGTCCTTAAAACACGCGTGATGCTTGACCTTAGAGTAGGTCTCTGCTATGAATCTTGATGACATATTTACGGCGTATCCAGGACCCTTCGAAGCAGCAAGTGCCAACTCTTCCTATGCGGCTTCAGCAGATTTACGTGCAAGAGGGCGCAAAGGCTCTTTTTGCAGGTATAGTGCCGAGAACGATGTGGATATCCGCAGGAGGAGCTGTCTTCCTCGGCGTCTATGAATGGGCCGTTCATGGTTTTATGAGCGCCTAAGCAAGAGCAAACCTACAATTAAAATGCGCATCTAAAACGGCCGGTAGGAACGGTGGACCGGTGCGGGTACGCCCTACACTGGGGCATTTGCGATTTTAGTGATGCGATGCAGGGCACAGGTGTCCATTAGACTAGATGGTATTGTCCAATATATGGTAGATTGCTCCAATGGACATAAAATGGATTCAAAAAAAACTGATTAATTATGCCTATTCGTCAATTCTTCAACATGTCATTTTTTTACAGTCAGCAAGATCAACAACGATAGACTGATCAACTTTGCTGTTTTATGCTACCCAAAATACCTAATGCCCAACCTTTATCGCCATGAAGCTTCTCAGCGAAGAAATTGCCTAAAACATCCTGCAACTGCGCTATAGTCACAGTATCTCCATCGTCCGTTGCATCCAATGACTCAGGCATATCCGATGCGGGATGCAGAACGTTCAAAGCGGTCTGTTGGATACTCAACATGTGTGATCACGCAGAATAAAAGGAATACTGACCATAACGGAATCGACGAGAGGGCCAGTTTCCCCTGGCGTGCATTCACTTCCCACAACTTTTACTCCGCCACCCTCCACGAGTCCCTTCCTTACCGCCTCCTTTCCAATCCCCACCAGGCCGCGGATGGCACCTTCCCGCGTTCCCTTGGATTTGTCTGCTGAAATGAGAGCAACGAGGAGTGTTTTCATAATCCGTGGTGAAAGGGATGGATAAGTCGTAGAGTGTTGGGTAAGCAAACGGGATAGCGTCTGAGCAGCGGACGTGCGCAAGTGGGTGGTATGAGATGGTGGAAGCGTGGAATGAAGAAGAGTCGAAAGGATAGCCGGTAATAATTGGTGGAGCTGTACAATATCAATTTACTGAACAGTGTCGGGTTTTATTTATCACTCACATAAGGCTCGATGAATAGCGTATTGTTCTCGAGAATAGCGCTAACGACATCCAATAAAACCTCTAACGATCGACCATCCGCTTCAGTTTGAGCGCCCTCCTTTAGGGCAGTCACGACACCCTCTCCAACCCAGCGAATAAGGTAAGGCAAGAGCGCTTGTAATCCAGCATCATTGCGCAAACTCGCAAGGGCCGCTGTCCGCTTGGTAGAGTCAGCAGTAGGTGGTAATAATGACGCCGTAAGCCGCGTATAATACAGCTGCAATTCTCGTGATAGCACTTGTTTGACTAGCTGCTGCTGTTGCTGTTGTTGCTTCTTGACAGTAGATCGGCTTTCTGACGGTGGGGTCAATGGGAATGCGCCGTTTGCTTGGGGTGGTGACTTTGTAATTTCTTGATCGACGTCCTTCGGTATTGCCGGCGGATTTTCAGGAATAAGAGGCTGGACACCTTCAACTGCAAGCCAGTGAGCAGTCCAACTGACACCTTTTGGCAGTGTGATTTTCTCCTCTCGAAGCACGCGGTCAAAATCGATCTCTTCGTCCTCCACGAAGTAGACAGGGCCTACATTAGCCGCGTTCGGAAATGGAAGAGCCCGTCTGAACACAGGGGGATTGTGTGGATTGTGACCATAAAGAGGTTCGATATTCAGAACTCGAAGAGCCTGGTCAATGTCTGAAGTCGTGATTGTGGTTCGTCGAGCATGGCGCATGAATCGCGAAGCTTCCTGATATTTCCTTAGCTTCTGACAAGTGGATTTAGACGTAAATCACATACCTCTATGACCTGATGGATGCGATACTCGACATCACTAGCGAGTGAGGATGCTACTGTTTCGGATAAGTTGGCGATGCCTAGCGACTCGGCAACGTCCTGCAAATGTCGGCTTCATTTCGTCGTATAAACTGACACTATCGTAATGCATACTCTGACCGAGTCTGACTTGTATATCCCCGTTTGATGTGTTTGAGCAGCTTTCGCTTTCGGTTTACTCATCGTGATGTTGAATCTTATGCCGCTCCTCCAGGACCGAACATTGTTGAGTCACGTGCACCTCAAGCCTTCTATGTCACCCGCTCAGCTTTTGTGCACACACCCGCCAAGAGTCTGTATAATATAGATGTGCATATGACGTTCTATCACTACTTGTATTAGCTTCCCCTCACTTGCAACAACTGCTCCGCTGTGTTACGTGCACCTCGAGTCTGCATAACCCATTTTCTCAGCACTCGACCAAAATCAGCGATGCCAGAAAACCAATGCAACGTTAACAGCCCTTTGACCTTTAGTTATAAAGAGGTCGACGGGATCCGTGTCCTGCTCGACGTCTATCTTCCACCAGACGATGTCGACCAACAATTTTCCCAACAGGTGATTCAGTATCGTCCAGCAGTCGTCTACTTCCACGGAGGGGGTCTCACCGTAGGAAATAAACGGAGCTGGTTCCCTACTTGGCTGAAAAGTCAGTTTCAGCCGCCGCCTTTCCCTCATGCTGGACACATTGACCTAATGCAATCACCAAGGCCGGTTGCTCGCACGCGGTATCATATTCATCAGTGCAGATCATCGTCTTATTCCTCCAGGGACTGGATACGATGTGCTCGCTGATGTGAAGGACGCCATCGCTTTTGTCGCGGGAGATTTAAATGTTCAGCTCGATCAGGAGCTGGCTGATCTTGGCTCTGGTTCACGTTTCCGCATCGATCCCACGTCGATCGGTGTGGCTGGAACTAGTGCGGGCGGGTTCTGTGCGTATCTATGCGCTATTTATGCAGTCCCGAAACCGAAGGTAGTTCTCAGTTTATATGGTATGGGAGGTGATTTTCTGGTACGCCCCGTCTTTTCGCCTCCGAAAGTCTTTGATCGTACTAATACTACATACTTCAGACAGACCAATATCTCACTCCAAAGACGCAATCTTTCCTCCGGGGGAGAGAAATGCTAGATCCCGCACAGTTCTCTGAATATATACATCCGTTCAACCATCTCCAAAGCACTTCAGACTCACCACTCGTATACCATCCACAGTCATATCACATCCCGGGATATCCTGCGAACCCGCGAATGCTAATCTCACGCTTATACCTGCAACTCGGGGTCGCCTTGGATTATATTACAGGCCAGCATGAACCAAGTCTTAGTGTTGCATTACGCAAGGCTATCCATACTGAGGATCCCTTCGACGAGGCACTCATTTCTGATCACAAGATTATCTTCCCTCAGTTCAACGTCACATCGGATTGGCCGGCAACATATCTCATCCATGGAACCAACGACACTGCTGTTCTCCTGCGGGAGTCTCGTAATTTACATTCCTTGCTCTTGAAAGCTGGCGTAGAAGTCGTATTGGAAGAACTACCAGGTCGAGAACATTCGTTCGATTATCAACCAGGCGCAAAGCTAGAAAATGAAAGATCATTCGATGATATCGTTCAGTTTCTTTATCTCCACCTAACTTAGAAGCAGTACCTAATTTGATGGATGATTCAGACCGACTGACTAGTGCTGACTGTTGGTCTTGGCGGTTAGATAGATAACGGACACGACACAGTACCAAGTACACCATTTGAAAGGTTTCCTCAAATGTGCTCGCTAAATTTATCCGGACGCATGGTACACAATACCAGGACTCATCTGCGTGATCAAGATATTTCAAGTATTGATACGAAGGCTAGCTGTAGCAAGTTGCAACATCGAAGGTGTGTGGTATCAAGTCGTGTTCGGCTCAACGCTTTGATTTTGATTTTCGACGGTAAATGAGGCTGCAAGCACAATTTTGCAAACAGAGCTCAACCGAACGAACCAGTATGATAATGTGAACGCATACAGATTGGATAAGAAGACACCGTGTTGGGGGAGGAATGAAATGACAGTCGTTGGTCCACAAGCAGGCGGTTGAGTCGGGACTCGACGGGACGGGAGTCCTGCACGAGATATGGCCAAGCCTGAACTTATGGAGGTAACTCTAGCCGATAGAAAGATATGGAAGAGTACGTGCTGTGCAATGACACCTGTCATGAAGGGCGCTTGGAGATACACATTCAATTCACGTCATACTGTTGCCCTTACTGCTGTAACATCAATTCAGCGCATCCTTCAACATGACAGGCTCTTCCTGCTCGCACCTGCTATACTGGACAAAGGCACCCATTTGGTTAGGAGAGTCAGACCGGTCAGGGCCAGCCGCTAGACCCATGAGAACACCAGGGTCCAGCGAGTTTCGCCCAGTAACAGAGCTACGTGACACAGTTTTCCGCTTGTGAGCTGCGGACGTTCGACTGCGACCAGGCGCTAGATATTCTGCTCAGTGTGGACCAATCCGAGCATGTTGCTTGGGTTCTTGTGCAAGGACGATGCGAGCTGCTGGGATTGATCTGACTACAAAGTGTGTGAATGAGTTAGCCGACATTTGTATGCCAGTGTAACATGATGTCCTATTCATGCTACATTGGAATACAATTGATTGACGATTCTAGAGCAGTTCTGTATGCTCATTATTTGACGTTCCTTCCTACCTCTTCTTTGTCGATATCAACCCCTTCATCATATCAAAGCTATTCCCATCAGGCTGTAAATCAATGAACTCTCCACCGCCCATCGGCACAGTACGTAACAGCCCGTGGTCGGGAGTAATTCCGACAATGCGGACACTTTGGTGTGGGGTCCGGTTCGTTAGTGTGACGAGCTGGTCCCTGTGGGAACCACGAGTAAGTACGATAGGTAAACTTGACGTAAAGCAAAGCACAACAGAGACGTACGAATGTAACCATGATCGGAGGTATTCATCCATGAACGGATGAAAACCCTGTTCCTGATTCTGCAAAAAAGAATTCCACATGCGCTCAAAGGAGGTGAGAACTGCCGCTGCTACACGTTCTACAGAGAGCCCTGGGGTAGGTGTAGATACGAGTTGGGCGAGTGAGGCGATAGGTGGTGCGTTTAAGACGTTGAGGCCGCTCCCTGTTGACAGTGAGCTTTCATATCACTGAGCCAAAAGAGGGAAGTACCATACCGATTACTACATCTGCCACGCCACCGCCAAAACTAGTGTTTATCAATACCCCGCCGATTTTCCGTGGTTCCGGTGTTGACTTTGAATTTGATACAGGGCTGTGTTGGGAAGATGGGAAGAGGCCATAAATATCATTAGGCCACTTCAGACGGACTTTATGGGCCCATTCGGAGCCGGGGTCGAGGACGTGGCATGCGTCGATGATTGCTAGTGCGTACAGGTATTGGATGAATACGAGGTTGGAGGGGACGATTGTTGGGCCTGGTACTACGCAATATCAATTTTCAGATATCAGACAATTGAATAAAAAGTCGTTAGTCTTACCTGATGAAGACCCTTTGAGCCCGATTCGAATCTTGAGCGACATCTGCAAGCACCCTGCAGGTGAGAGCCACGCGTTACCACCTCTGCCGCGTCCTGCCAATTGTACTGTGGCGAGAGAGACGATGGGAGAGGGGAGTACACGGAGGAAAGATGGGTTTCTGCTCAGAGAGGGTTTCAGCAGTCGGCACGATGGACATGATTGGGCGAGACGCACTTGTCAAACATTGTTTGTGTGCTGGAGACTACTTCGCCGTACATGAGTGCTTCGCCGATGCGCCAGGAATCTTGGTTAGTGCCTTGGCTGGTATCTTTCATTCCAGAGCGAAACTCGTCTATGGCGCGGAAGAAGGCAGAGGGTGAGAATTGTGGGGTGTATATTCGTTCATCCTCGATAGTTAGGGGTCTTGAAGGTACGAGTACGTGCTTGACTTTCGGGTTTGAGAAAAAATTTGGTGGAACGAGTTCGAGTATGGGGTGATCGGTGTTTCTGGCCTCGGGATGGATGGATGGGAAGTGAAAGTGAAAATTGTCGTTGGTATCTTCGAACACAAAAGGCTCCCACTTGGGTTGTGATTCATCGCCGACGGCTGACCGAAAATTTAAATGATCGAGCAGTGCCTCTACGACGCGATACTGTACCTGCCCTGAATCTGGACGAGCAAGAAGAAACTGAGGTAGAATGTGAGGCTCAAGACTGGAATCAGCTCTCTGCGAAGAGAAGTGCAGACCAAGTGCAGATAGCGATTGTGACAGCAGGATATCGGGAAGGGGTGGGGTGCAATTCCACATCGCGGCAAGCCCGCTTTGAGATAAGATACCAGCAGGCGCATTCCCCTCAACATAACGACCGAGGATGCGTGCTTCGAGGTCCAAAGGACACATGGGTAGTCTGGATACAGATAACACGGTGTCGTTGATCAGTACATTCGCATTTGTTCCGGAAGCAGTTGAGAAGGAGATGTAGAAGGATGCGTTTCCATCAGCGACTCTGAGTATAGTCGTGTCCTTTACCATGCCCAGACCAAGACCCGCGGATAGCGATCCAAAGTCATGACTCGGACCAAATAGAGTGCCTTTTGTGACGCCAACGCCAAATGCTAATATCCTGCCTCCCGACTCGATGTATTTGCGGACAGCCGCATGATCTGTAGGAGGGGAGAGGAGTAAGAGGAGGGCACAAGAGGTGTGCCATGGATATTCTTGTACGGAGAGTTGAGATGGTGTTAGCAGCTGTGGTAAATAGTGCGGTGTCAGTATTGAAGCAAGCGTTTCAACGAGAGAGGAAGCGGCTGGGTGTGTGCTGGGATACACTAGCACGTTCATTTAATTATTTGATAGGGGAGCTCAGATCTCAGAGACGGAGAGTATAGCAGCAAAACTCAACCTATTTCCGGCAACTGCAAGTGCGGGAATAAACCAAAGCAGGACTCCAGCCACTCGACCAGGACCTCCAACACTTGTGTCGACGCCCAATCGATACCGTTCTACTTAGTACCTTCCTTCACTCGGTGCTCAATCATGAGTCTCTCATCATTTCTGCTCGGAGGGAAAACTACAAGCAACCAAAAAGTTATTGATACGGAATTAGATGCCCTCTTTCACACTCAGGTGCGTCATGCTGACTTTCATGCTTTTTTGCGGTGGTCCACATTGAATTATATCGCCTCGTAAGGTCCAAGATACTACAGCATCCAATGACAAGAAGCGTAAATCGGAAGGAGAGCAGAGGCATGGTTTGAAAAAGCACAAGTCCACACGCAAAGAGTCGCAACAACACGAGTCCCCTCCTCCAAAACGCGTTAAGCTGCAGGAGAACAAGAAAGAAAAGATCGACAAGAGAAAATTAGAAGCTGAAGAAAAATTAAAGGCGACTCCAGCCGTGGAGAGCAGTAGCGCAGAACACCGAGGGGCTGAACCTGCCGACAATTCCGACTCCGAGGAGGAAAGTGGGCCATCTACGCTTGTACATGAGTCGCTGCTGAGTGACGGTGCGAAGTCCAGTCGACGCACGTCCACGCGCAAGGAGAAATTCGCTCCGCCAGATGAGTCCGAGGAGCAGCGCAACTTGCGCACGATCTTCGTGGGTAACCTCTCATCCGAGGTCGCTCAGAAGCGAGTGAGTCGTTGAATACTGGCTAATAATCGCATGAACACATGCTGAATATGTGACAGCCTTTACAAAAACAACTCCACAGGCACATTCTGTCGCTCGTTCCTACCGCAAAAATTGAATCTACAAGATTCCGCTCCGTTGCATTTCAGAACCCTACCAGTAAACTTCCTGATGACGACGGGAAAGAACAGACTGGCACACGGCAGCATGACCGAGATCGAGCGTCATCGTGGCGTAAAACTAATCCCACAGCGGACGAGCCAAAAAACGACAAGAAGCAGTTTCTCACTCCAAGTCAGAAAAAAAAAGTTGCATTTATCAACCGTGAACTTCACCCTAGCGCCGATTCGGTTAATGCATACGTCGTTTTCGCATACCCCTCTCCTGCGAAAGAGCGGCCTTCGAATTTGCCTCCCCTTCCACCAGTCATGGACCCACACGAGGCAGCTCGTCTAGCTGTCGAAAAGTGCAACGGGACTGTTTTCATGGACCGCACGATCCGTGTAGATTCTTTGGGTAGACCAGCGGATAGCGTTGGGAAGCAGAGTTCCCTTTTAGGCACTTTTGCGGGAGACCCGAAATCGTCGATTTTCGTGGGTAACCTTGACTTTGCGAGCAAAGAGGAAGATCTGCGGGTATTCTTCGAAAGCCTTATCACTGCCGAACGCGGCCCCCCCAGTCAGGCTTCAGATGCACCCAAGCATTGGGTTTCACGAGTGAGAATTGTGCGGGATAAGGAGACCCAGCTTGGGAAGGGCTTCGCATATGTGCAATTTACGGTCAGTGTTTGATTATCACATGTGGGTAACATTCTGAAGGTTCATTTCCAGGATCGTGTTTGTGTGGACGAAACTCTTGCGATGGAAGAGTCGAAACTCAAATTTGCAAAGCGCAAACTACGTGTTCAACGATGCAAAATACTCCCGAAGGGCTCCACGACTGACACTTCGAAGACTCCAAGCACTAATCACAGTGCGGGTGCAGCTCCACCCATCGCCGTACCAAAAGGCGATCCTTCTCTAGGTGAAAAATTATCGACCCTCTCCAAAGAGGAGCGGAAGCAGATTAAAGCAGCGGACGCCAACCGGCTGGCGCGGAGGGTGGCGAAGAAGAAAGCGAGAATGGCGCTTGCGAAGCAGGGTGTGCCTGTACGTGGCAAGGAGAAGGATAGAGAACGAGCAAGAAAGACGGGCGCTGTCAAGAAGGCCGCTATCACGCCTCGTAAACAGAGCAGGATCCGAAGCGAGAAGAGTATGTCAAACCGAAATCTGAAAAAATGATACGTCTTCCTTTGATCTTCAAGGAGGACTGCAATGTCTCATTTCATTGGGCTTGAGGATGTGCTTGATCTTGGGTCGTTAAACTTTCTTAACTTTGGCGTCATGGTACAAGCTGTTCCCCAAACCCATGATCAAATCTAACACCTCGATGGTCTTCTTCATGAACTTATTAACCAACGCCATCGCAACAACATGCACCCGGTGGAGTGGTATTTGTCACACTCTTTGCACTCGCAGAACTGTAGATTCTTAACTCGCCGCAACTCACAGAGCCAGGTCTGCAGACGAACATGATGGATCAGAAGGCATGTTGGCTTCGTTACGTCTCTGCGGATGCCTCCTGTCTCTTGAACTCTGCTCTCGACCGTAGTGCGTGAACGATTCAGGTCCAGATTTCAGACCTCAAGGACTGATTTCAATATGACCTCCACCCAATGGCGTATTCCCATTCGAAATTCACTTAGGACATGAGGAACGGTGTAACAGAGAATCCTGGAAGAGAGCGGGCAGTTCTCGCTATGGTGTATACGAATATAAGACGCCAGTAGCAGAAATCCGATGGCAATATTGATCACACTTCACGTGAATGCGCGGAACGATGCCGCAGTAGGGTTTACCCCTTTCTCAATGATGTGCAAACAAATGATGTGTATAAGCCGCAGGGAGTCTAAATGGAACTTACTGGGTTGATACTGTACGGTGATAGTAGGATTGGAGCGGGAGCACTTGGTGGTAAGCGCCATGATATGATGAAAAGCATTCAGCTGATAAGTCAATGATAAGCCTCCCGCTACTTGCCGTGCGGCGTCTTCAAAATGAACCCCATATTCATAAGCAGCTCCATACCAGATTATATGCAGTCAGTCACGTTGAGACGGTCGCCGGTAATTATCCGGATAACACACCGAAGTAACACGCATAGAGCGCTTTATGTAAAAAACCAAGTGGGGCCAAGGCGAATCCCCCAACAGCCTCACGACGAAGCGGAAAATTTAGCCTAGTGCGGATAAGTGAATATCAGGGTGAGTGAGTAAGATAGTCCCTGGGTACTGAGTTAGGGAACACAGATCACGCTTACTGAGTATGCTTGGCGATGGGGGTGTACTTGTGCAGGGACCTACGGCGACCTCCGAGAAACCGAAATATATCCATTACGATCAAAGATAGCTGCTAACTTGAAATAGTCTGCAGATCTTGAAGGTATAGAGCTTATCTGCACCTGCCAATTATGAGGAGAGTTCGTGGCATCCTGTGGTGAACACGATAGGGTGCAACTGGCCTGTCGGAGGCATGGTCCCTCTGCAGTGGAGATCCGAACTTGCTGCACACTACCACGAGTGATAGCCGTTGACAGGAGAATGTCAGTGAGGTCATGACTGACGAGAGATGTCGAGCGTGCAACGATGTTACCCGAAATATACGTAGGGTGAAGTGGAGATGAGTTCCCATTCCTGGATCTTCCATGAGAGAAAAATTTGACCCACCAAGTCCCGTGGGTGCAGGAAGCCGGTGCTCCCGCGTAACCCCAATGATTGTTATAGTCAAATGTGCCATGGCTAATCTGTATCAAGCTGATTGGTGGGATAGTCGATATCATGATCAACTGACAACGGATGAAGCTTGAAGGGTCGAGGGGTGGTGACCTGAGCCGTTGCTGAGCCGAAAATTAAATAGGGACGTCAACGTTGAACATGCGTTCTCGCGACATCCGACACCTGCCACCAGGTCCCGCGCCGAGCGTCCCTACTATAAAGGGTGGGATGGTTTTCATGACAGGACCAGACAGGTCGCATCTTGGTCAACTCTTGCTTGGCGAGGCTGACATAACCCGGATTAAAGACCGTTCGGTGTATTACTACTAATACCCCGACTTTCCGCATTTCACAGTCCTCTATCTTCTTGTATCTTAACGACCCGTGACCGACCTACCACGTCCTTTTATGAACCCCAGTGGGCACAATCACTACCCAGCTGCACGCGTTATCCAGCTTCTCGGTTGAACATTCTTCGGTGCCGCACGTCATGCTATTCCGGCCGGTAAGCCACTGTTCCCGCACCCAATTGCAGCTGCAGCGCTCATCGATCTTCACAGCTTGCATTAACCATACCGCATATTGCCTATGCATGTCTCGGAGGTTTCGTCGTCGTGGTAAGTACAGCACGCTCTGTCTACTTTTGCAGCATCTCATTATGACATTCGTTGCAGTTTGGCATGTTCTCTTTGTTCATTCGAGAAAAGGTAATGTAGTTTTATCACAATATTAACCTCCATACTCATTGTGTGTAGCTTTACATCGGCGAGGCATGCTGGGCTTTTCTTTTCGGCGTCATTATCGGTGAGCTCGCCGGATCATACTTCTAATCACGTTGCCTTAACATTCTTATTTTTAGGTCCATATGGTGCCGGCATATTTGATCCTCGCAGTTGGGGCAGTGACACTACTACCGAGGATACCGTGAATGAAATCACACTCGAGTTCACTCGCGTTGTCCTCGCAATCGGAGTCTTCGCAATCGGAGTCGAGCTTCCAAAAGCTTATATGAAGCGTCACTGGAAAAGTCTATTATACCTTCTATTTCCTGTCATGACATGGGTGGGTGACGTCCTGAACACGCCTTTGACCCATTCTCTAACCATCACCAGGGTTGGTTTGTGTCGGCAGGCTTGATTTATGCATTAATACCTGACCTCACATTCCTATCAAGCCTTGCTGTCGCTGCATGCTTGACCCCAACTGACCCAATCCTGGCTGCTGCAGTTGTTGGTGGCAAATATGCCGATAAGCACGTCCCTGCTCATCTTCGCCATCTCCTTGCAGCAGAAAGCGGTTGCAACGATGGAGCAGCGTATCCATTCCTGTATATCGCATTGTATCTAATACTGGACTCCAGTACTGGTCGTGCAGTTGAAGATTGGTTCCTTCTTCTCTGGCTTTGTAAGATGAAAATTTAGCGACGGTTCCTCAGCTGATTCCGTTATAACAGATCAAGTCATCCTAGGTGTGGTGGTGGGCGCCTTGATAGGATGGGGCTTCCGACACCTTATGAAATTCTGCCAACGTAACGATTTCGTCGATCGACAGTCCTACGTTGCGCAGTACATATCCTTGGCTTTGCTCACCATCGGTATCATGACTATGCTAGGTTCTGATGATCTCCTGGCAGCATTCTCTTGCGGAACGGCATTCGCTTGGGACGGTTTCTTCAACCGCCAGACAGAGGAATCGGTGTTTAGTTCCGTCATCGACTTATTATTCAATGTCGCTGCCTTCGTTTATGTCGGCGCCTGGATGCCGTTTGATAGTTTCAGCAACGAGACCCTTTCACTCAGCGTGTGGAGGCTCGTTGTTATTGCCATTTTAGTGTTGATGTTAAAAAGGTTGCCAGTTATGATTGGGCTCTACAGGTTCATACCCGACGTAAAGACTTTCCGGGAAGCCATTTTCAGTGGTCATTTCGGGCCCATAGGCATTGGTACGTAGTGTATCTGATATCCCTCCAGCATACTGATATGACGTGTGTTACCATCCTAGGCGCTATATACATTTCCACATTAGCAGCCCAGCAGCTGCCCAAACCTAGCAACCCTCCAGCCAACCAGGCTGAAGTTTTAGCACTTACCATTCAACCCATCGTTGCATTCATGGTACTCTGCAGCGTCGCCATTCATGGCCTGTCCATCCCATTCTCACTCCTAGGCCGCCGCGTGCATTCAGTTGGATCTCGTACGTGGTCCCGCCATGCCACATCCAACGTACCCGACTGGGCAACACATACGCGGCACGTCACGCGTGCGGAAGATGTCATCATTAACCGTGACCCTACTGGCCTTGAGCGTGGTGAGGGCGGACTGACGGAAGAGGAGAAGTCTGCAATGGAGAGCAAGCGCGCAAGCACGGTCACTACATCGCCGCTGTCACCTGATGAGATAGAAGAAATTGGCGAGGCTAGCAGTTCAGAGACGCGTGCGGAAGCTGTGCCTGAAAATGATGTGGAAGAGATGAAGGAGGAAGTGCCACCTGACGGAAAGGAGACGACTGCGGAGTGGAGGGAGGGCCCGCATAAAATTATTGAACGACGTGGTGGTCCTGGTGAAGAGGTAAGCGTGGGTTGATTGCCAATGCTGATGGTTACGTTGACATCGTTTCCAGGTTGACGTGGAAGTCATTTATAACGCATTCAAGCCCTCTGAACGAGTCGTGCACTCCCGGTTTTCTGTAGGAGAAAGTGGCGCCTTACAAGCAGGTCGCGCGTATCTTCGCAAGTTACATCATGCGCCTGAAGATATACATCGGGCAGCTGAACATGTCGAAGAAAATGTTAAGCATGATATACATGCATTAGAATCAAAAGCCCAAGAAGTTTTTACAGCTGCTGGCTCAAGTGATGAAAACAGTGGGGCACGTGCTGAAGGTGACGAAGACGAAGAAGGATGGGCATCAGACAAAAGCGGAGATGGCAATGGAACTGCGTGGTTGTCTGGGGATCATAGGAAGCGTCCAAGATCATGGAAAACGAAGAGCGGAACCCATCTTGCGGCTGCCAGAAGTACGAGGAGCCATCGACGCAGACAATCAACGGGAGATGGCGGAACGTTCTCGAGCCATGCCAGGCAGCTTCTGGAGCAGGACCCACCGTTCGCCTTTACGGCTGAGCCGGGTGAGATCGCACCGTCTGAGGATGAGGACCAACGTGGGAGAAGCCATGCACCTCACCGCCAGGGATCAGGGCACACTTACCGTCGCTCCATCCAGCACCGACGGTTGGAGTCTCTGAAGACCAGCGAACATAACTCACGTGATGTCTCGCCTACTCGGTCGGTCCGGTTCGTCGATGAAGAGCGCCGGAGTGGTACCACTACTCCTAGAATGACGCTTGACCAGACGCCCCAGGGCAGTTTTATCGAACCGTTTACCACTGATGACTCGGAGTCGAGAGGGAAGGTCACGTTCGGACCCGCTCACATAAGGCGCGCGTCTGAAGATTAACATATTGTATATATCTCGTCTGGTGCGTTCTTAATATTGTCTAGCCATGGCGTCGAAATTACTCGGATATCACTTTCGCATTACACCACATGCACTCTCATAACTTGTCGTCAATGTAGCATTAATGGCTTGAACATCATGTATAGATATATCGACTCTAAATTGCTATTGTATATGACGGAGCTTTTGACACGACTGTACGATAAACTTGATAAGGAGAACTAATGTCAAAGCTGTGTCAACTACAGCACGTATACCAGTGACTTTCAAGAACCCAAAGAACGGAACAAGAGAGACAACACGAGGTTCGCGATCAGCGCCAGCTATCTCGAATGGAAGCTGAACGCCGTCGATACGCTCTACGACGGCGCCTAAACCGGACGTAAACCTGTTCTCATGAAATCCGTACCTAAGCCACGCTTCTGCGGACAGGACACCGCTGTGGCCCTTAATGTTCGGCATTGCCTTTTGAGCGATGATCGTCTGCAAATAGGGGGATGCGCGTATGCTGATGTATGGGCAATGGGCATGAAGACGTAACGAAACGCACCTTGGTGTCGAGGATGGAGTGGTCGTAAGCGAACCGTGTAGCAGTTTTAGTGACGTCTGGATCTGCAGATGGGTTTAGGGTAACCAATACTGGGTAGTGGAGATCCTCTGGCGGATGCTGCAACTCGTTCGTGCACGCACGAAGTCCCAGAGATGCCGTTCATTAGTACAATATTGAAGATGACGATGTGATATTCCATCAGCTTACATGTGTTGTAACTTGTAATGTAAATTTTACAATGCGGTCTTTGCTTGTCGAGTGTACTTACGACCTAAAATTACAATATGATACAAGTTCTTCTGATTACCCCAAACACTACATTCGTTCCTTACTCCGGATGTATATCGGCACCTCTGTGCCATCCTCACCAAGAGGCACCCACGGGACGGGAGTGACTAGCCATCTTGCACGCTCCTCGATTAGTCAACATATCCATCATAGCAGTAATGAGTGGACTCACAACATTTCACCTGTGCGTACTGGGGATGGTGTCGCTCGCCTATGACGAGGGCGCCTCGCATGCAAAAGTTCATATAAAGGGGAGTAGAGAAACTTTCACCGCCTTCCCATATGAGTGTATTTGTTTCTGATAAGATAACGCACTCACTTGTATCTGAAAGGTACATGGAGAAGGCAGGGCAATAGACGGCTTTGGTAACGAGGCACGTGGATTGAAAGAGCCGGAGTGTCGCGAGCTTCCCCAGGACGTCTGAAGTAATGCGTTTCATGCGAGGCTTATTCATGAGCAGGACAGCGCCAGTGGTGCCTTTCTTAACTTGCCATGTCCCTTTGATTGCAGCTGTGGCAATCTCAGGAATACCTCTGGTAGAACCAATGGAATGAGATATTAGGAGATGATCGAAAGCTAAGAACCTGGCAACTCACGTTTGAGAATCGACATTCAATTTGATTTTTTTCACATTTTCAGACCAAGTTATGAATTCAGACTCCTCTGGACATTCTTCGGGAAGGTGCTCGCCAGACTCAATGTTGATACCTGCATCGAGAAGATGATGCTTGAAATCATCTGATATATAGAACCTTGGATGATCAAATTGCCCGTGGCTTTGTCGATACTTCCGTATGACCCAACCTGCTAAACATCAGCATGAAAGGCGATGTGGGCCGCTGATAACACGCACTGGAATCTCCGAGAGCGGGTCCTAGTTTGGATACATTCCAGTATAAGTTCGATGAACTTGCGTTGGGCATGCGAATTTGGCAGCGTGTCCCAGGACCACATGATGTGTATGATGGATAATTGGTGGCTGATAGTATCTTGAGAGTTATAGGGGACAACTAGAAGGTATGTTCTTCAGGCCTCAGGCCTCAAGGGCCAGGTCTGTGTTGCCAAAATTCTCGACCATGCTAACCCGCCTTCCCGTCTACTCCACCTGGGCTTCCCAATAAGTAAACCTTAGTGGCCAGGTACGGTCCTGCCGCGCCTGTGACGCGGCATACTACTCAGAAGATCTGGCTACTCACAATATATAACAACTCCAAGCAGGGAACAGGGAGTACACTCCTGTCACCTCATAGGCTACAAAAACAATCGATAAACACAATCCAGGAATGCGCTGGAGAAAACACAGAAAAGGACATGTGACATTTTGTTACGGTGTGATACAATAACTTTCCTAGAACTCATCAAGCACGCTTATGATACAAATACAGGTACAATGCCATCTGGAGTAACTCAAAAGCCGGTCTACAAAAACATGAAGCAACACATTCTGTGCAATTATACATCAGGACATACCTTGCGCTGCTCGCCCTTGGCCTGGAGTGAGGGGTCATTCGAAAGTTTGCCAGCCATCTTTTCCGCTTCGCCTATGTACGAATATGAATATAATTGCGAAGCCAGGTAAATAAAGACCAACCCGTAAATTTGGAGCCCATGGAAGACAACTTGCTCTTTGGACCACGACCGGTACCAGCACCAGCAGCTTGACCACTGCCAATGCCAGAGTCATCATACTCATCAGCGTCGCGTTCATACCCACGGCTACGGCCATCGCCGCTGATGCTCTGGTCCTGGGCACTGTCGTATCCGCCACCAGGTTGGCCAGCTCTAGGGACATTCACATCCTGAATGCCCTGGCCGCTGCGATTACCAGCCATTCCGGGGTCTGTGTCGCAGTATTCGTCGCCTTGATCTAAGCCCTGCTGACCTTGTCGACCGGCGTGGCCTTCATATCCACCAGCTTGGCCGGTCCCACTGCCTCCGTATGACCCTGAAAGGGCGGAGTCTCCCCCAGGGACAGTGCGCTGATCATTGATAGGGGGGTCATAGTTTGAGTCGTCGTTGAAGTCTCCTATCAGGATAATAAAGATGTCAAGTTTGTCTAGGATTTATAAACGGTTTTGAACGACGTACGACGTGAACCTTTGTTTCCTTGATCATAAGACATTATTGGTTGTCTGTTGTGGTTAAGAAGATAAAAGACAGTAGGTCGATGGGGCTTTATATATATACGATAAAACGATGATGCAGCGATGACGATGAAGGTTAGTGCTGTTGACGTGTGTGTATTCGCGCGTCCTCCAGCACGATCCTCGACTTTGTACATACTACAGACTTCATGAGGAGTACGTTCTTTTAGAGCCTGGAAAAAATCCTATGTGCACCAGATTAGCGCAATCGTTATATTCCAGCAACTATGATAGCATGAACGCACCTATGTTGCGGCTAAGACAAAAAGGCATTTTTCGCTGATAACTCAAGCTTACCGAGTGTTAGTTGTGTCGGCATTCCATGAGGCATATCCCATTCCGAATGACATTTGCAATCGACCACGTAAGCTTTTTTCACGTCCTGCTAGTCCGCCAGATCTTCAGACTCCGGCGTTCGGGAATGAATTGCGGAGTTATTCACATACCTATCAAACCCACTGGAAGCAATTATTGCGCCGTGACTGACTCGGAGCCTTCTTGCTATCAATCTTCACCAAACTGGACGACAGTGAGACGGAACAATATCTGCATGACCCAATGTCACAAGATCTCAAGCACAACTTTTTTGTGCCTCGCATCCATGTTTTCTTCAAAACTAACGGGGTGGTGGAACACGGGAGGGTTTTGCGGTGTCGTTTGGTATCCGTACACGTCTGATCGTGCATTGCTACGGTTACTGGTCTAACAGTATCCACGTCCTACGATGACCCATTGACTCGGATACTAAGAGCAGGAGGTGACGTTCAATGGAGAACTCTGGATTGGTTCATTCGGGAATGTTATATCGTTTGATTCATCTGCCAGTGTGATTAAAATCTGTCAGCGGAGGAATTGATATGATTCACAGTGGACACTCACTGCAGCCTGCTGCACAGCGTCAGTCTAGTGATCGCAGCGGTCTCGTGCTCGAGCCATTGTCATTGCGTGGTGAGTACCACCGTGACGCAACACCAGCGCTCTTCCCCTGCACGATTTGACCGTGGTAGTAGCTGTGATAAATTTAGCATTTTGCTGATGATACTTCAGTGACAGGCTCACAGCCAGATCCACGGTTCGTTTATCTCATTCTCCGAAGCGAGAACGCTCTAACCAGAGTGTCATTATCAGCCAAGCGGTTCTTTCAAACCCTGGACTCTCGATTTACAGTTCCCGATGGCATTGGATCAGACAGTCGAGGGTGTGAGTGATTTTGCCTCAACTACCCCAATACTGAGGCTGTTTCCGGTGACTATCTGAATGCAAAAGTACAGACATGCTGTTCACCTGACTAGTGGCTAATCGATCGATTTACGCACTCCAAGGACACTGCTCTTCCTGTAAGGGCCCTTGCCTCACTAGGCTCAAAGAATGATGGACGCTCATAGATGAAGTGGGCTGCATATCTGGTTTTATTTTAGGTCGTGATGTTTCGTAACAGGGCCCGGGCGAGGTTGATAACGATTATCGAGTATTTCAAATCACAAGATTGCGAGTTTCGCAGGACCCGAATATTCTATCTGGGTTCTATTAGCAACCACCTGGTTCCGAAGACCCTACATATCCGGTATGCTTCTGATCCATATCGATTACGCAGTTGATGGAGTTTACTTGCCAATTCAGGACGATGGTGCACTATGTACTCGGATATGGTCGATGCCTCCCCTCAACTCCACTTGCTCATCATCGATAAAAAGTCGGTTTCAACGTGGCGGCACCCCCAGCTAGTTACTTCCTGTGTCACTCCGAGTCTAATTGAGGTGGGTGAGCGAGTCTTTCTCCAGCGCGCGTCGATGGTTGATGTTCAGCCATCACCTCAGCAGGTTCATATCTCATATGACCCTGACCTGATTTCTAATTCTTCATTTTACGTCGGAGACAAGTAAGTAGTCCCTTGGCTGCTTTATTTTTTTATCTATCTCACGTTATCGATGAGATAACATGCGGTTATTGAACACCGAGACCAGAAAACTCGAAGAGTTTTTTGGTCAGATCCCACAATATGCAATACTCTCGCATCGATGGCGCGATGGCGAGGTACAGTTCTCCGACATCGACCAGCCTCACGCCCGTAATATGCCAGGCTATTCCAAGATTGAAGGCTGTTGTATCCAGGCTGACGAAGATGGGTATCGCTATGTCTGGATAGACACTTGTTGCATCAATAAGAGCAGCAGCTCTGAACTTTCCGAAGCAATCAACTCGATGTTCATGTGGTACAAGAAAGCCCAGATCTGCTACGCATATCTGGATGACGTGTCCAGATGTGACAATTTGAAAGACGAGTTTTTCAAAAGCCAATGGTTCACAAGAGGGTGGACTCTCCAGGAGCTCGTGGCCCCCAACAATCTCATATTCTTTTCGCGCGATTGGGAGGAGATAGGAAGCAAATCTAGCCTCACTGAGTGGATCGAAGATATCACGGGGATTGTCCGCGGTGTCCTACTTACGAACTACCAGGAAGAGATCAGTGTAGCAACAAGGATGTGCTGGGCTTCAGGAAGGCAGACGACGAGGGTAGAGGATCGGGCATATTCGCTGCTTGGTTTGTTTGGGGTATACATGCCTACGATATACGGAGAGGGGGAGAACGCATTCGCCAGACTTCAGATCGAAATCATGAAGAACTCCAACGATCAAAGCATTTTCGCTTGGAAATCATCTCGCCGAGGAGATAGAAGTGGTCTACTTGCTTCCTCCCCGGATGATTTTGCGGAGTCCCGCGACATCGTTAGGATTCCTCCAGATTCATTCAAAAGTATTTTTTCAAGCACCACCCCATCCATCAGACATCAGTATTCCGTGACGAATCGCGGGTTGAATATCCACATGCCTGTTATGCGTGTGGAAAACTATTATCAGGCGGCCTTGAGCTGCTGCCGTCGAGGAGCACCACACTCTCGTCCAATCGGCTTATACCTTTATCCAAACGAAGGCGAGACGGAACAGTTTCTGAGGTTACACCCCAGCTATTTATACGAAGCAGAGGTACCGGTACCATCCAAATTCACCTTTCAAGAACTTTACGTCCAAGAAGATGACCCATCGCTATTCATGATAATCGATTCCAAGCGCGACCCTATCCCTAAAAAATATCATTTCTTCGTTAAAACCGACGGGGTGGTGGAAAACGGATTTTCTTTGGTTGGCTATACGCCGGCTGAGTGGTGGCAGCAGCAGGAGGAGAATAGGCTCGTCCTGAGCTTGACCCACAGTGGAATATTTAGCACACTGCTCTATCGCCATCAAATAACCGGCGAGAGTTTCGCAGTACCACTCGGTATGCATAATTATCACGTCTGGTCGTACATTGTCACGGCTACGGACAGTGAGACGCCTGACAGCGTTCACGCGTCTTTCCACGAAGGAGAAAGAGGTAATGTTCGATGGAAAAGTTTGGACTGGTTTACTCAGGAGCTGAGTATGGGAAGGGTAGGTGTGAAAATCAGGAAGGGGGGTAAATACTGTTCTGACGACGTCGGCGGATATTCTGTGACCATCTCTGTCACGAGCGTATAGCAATATTTATCAAAGGCATGTACTCACTACATATATAACTACTGCGTACCCACCTACTATGTATGATTTGCAAGTCATGGAGCTCAGAACCTGGTTGACTGCAGGAAAAGTGTGGAGCCAAGCTTAATTAAGTTGATAGTGATCTCGCTAAGGGTAAGACCAACCAGTGTAACGGGAAGGACTGCAAGGGGAACCAAGGCCAAGTCTATATAGCGGGAAGCTACGGCCCTAACGCTACGGGAGAGTCCCCGCCTCTGCTTGGAATGACGCCAGCTCGCCAAACATATCTTTCCTCTATCCGCTACCAGCCAGGACCCCTGGCACTCCCTACTGCACCAGTACCCTTTGAAGTTTGCAATGAGTTTTACCCGGAACAAGTTATTGTATAAATCTTGGTGCCCATCCTCAATAATCCCATCACCTCTCCTAGCATTAGCCTATGATAAACCTATGAGCAACTCAATACAGGTAGTTACATTGAGAGTACTGACATTGAGGCAAGACAATAACGGGGACTCGGGACGTGTCCCATAACGCCGGTGTTGCACACGCATGCCAGAACATCCTTGTGAAAATGCAATGGAATACAGGTAGTTGTCGTGCTGGAAGCGATGGAATAGGGTGCATGAGGTGCCGTCAGACACACTTGCAGAGTTGCCTGAGACACAATAGAGTCTAGTGCCATTCGATAACCACACCAATGATGTCACATGTGTTCCCAGGTTTGGGATGGGGTAGACAACAAGTGTTCGCCAGTCTTCATGTTCCAGAAAGATCGTACGGTTGTGCTCACTTAGTGCAATTCTGTCGCCCGAAGATGAAAATACAACAACATGCATCGCCTCGATCTGGCTAAGCCCAGACTTCCCGCTGTCTGCGATGCGAGTGATGAAAGTTCCATCATCAGACCCGCTTGCGATATGACTTCCGCTGGGGGGCATGCGAGTGAGTGCCAATCTCGATGCTCCATCACATTGTTACCCAACTTTCAATCGATATTCCTTCCCATCCGGCAACAATGTCGGCGCAAATATGCTTCCGCCCTCCATGGTTCCCGACGCGAAATTTAGTGTCATAGTTTCACTTGCACATCATGTCGTCCACAGAACTACTTACGATGTGGACGTTGTCATGCAAGAAGATAAAACTCCGAATAGCCTCCTTGTGACCCTTCAATTTGTGCTTCAGAGGCGGTCCTATGGCATGCGTTGGGGCTGAAGCTTCCTCGATATGGGCAAACAATTCAGATGCCATCGTGATAGCAAGGCATCTGGAGTATCATGACTCTGATGAGGATTATGGGAGCAATTATCGATAGTTGAACAGTACCCACCAGGTTGACTGCTGTCTTGCCTTGCCAGTGGAATGCGATTTACGTCTCGCAGGTATGGATTACACGAGGCAGTTCTGATAGGTTCCAATCGTCATTTGAAATTGATTACAGATTCATTTGGAAAGCTTTTTAAATTTTCACGCAGTCAGACTCCGATGGTCAGCAATGAGTTATTCAGATACCTATCAAACGTACTGGAAACAATTATCGGGCTGTCACTGAGCTTCCTGCCACCAATCTAGACGACAGTCAGTTGGAACAATATCTCAGGTCGTGACCCAATGATACAAGATCTCAGGCGCAACTTTTTTCATGCCTCGCATACATGTTTTCTTCAAAACTAACAGGATGGTATAACGGCCGCACCGGAGAGTTTTGCGGTGTCGCTCGGTATCCGTACGGAATTGACACGTCTGGTCGTACATTTCCACGGTTTCTAGCTTAACAGCTGCGTTCACGTCCTACGAAGGCCCATCGACTCGAACACTGGGAGCAGGAGGTGATGTTCAATGGAGAACTCTGGATTGGTTCACTCGGGATAACATCGTTTGATTCATCTGCCATTGTGATTAAAATTTGTCAGCAGTGGAATTGATATTATTCACAGCGAACACTCGTACTCACTAGTACTCACCGCAGCCTCTGTTGCAGTGTTAGTCTAGTGATTGCATTTGTGGCTAGCAATTGTCGCTGCGTGATGCAGCACCGGCGCTCTTCCGCTGCACGACTCAGTGACCGTGATGCAACCGGGAAGTCCAAATCGAAGTTAAACGTAAAACTTCAGTGGCTACCGGCCCGTATCGAAGCTAATAGATCTCCGATCGAAGAAGGCTCGGTCCCCTCGGTCAGCTGGTTCTGCGTCTATGTAGAGCATTCCATATCCACGTTTTAACCGCATCCAAACTGCATGTCAAAAACGCGCATAGTTATAGAGGTCTAAGCATTGGCACCCCGGATAATCTTACCACTGGGACCAATATCACGGACGGTACATACCGGCGTCAATGGCCTCTCCATCTGAATACTCGTTTCAGCCGTTGGCACCATCCACTGTACGAAGGAAAAGAAGTCCAGCGTTAGTGATTCATTGTTCAAGTATTCAGTGGCACCCTCTCATGAGATTAATACCCTCTATTTCAGTCGAGTGGATCACTCTCATCTTCAGAAAGCACTCCCGGACGTTGTTCAGGATGATCAGTAAGGTCGTGGGTCGACACAAACCCTTTATTCTAATCTAGTATGCTCTATATGCATTGTCTAGACTGTCCGCCGGTTGGACCAGGATGCGACATCCGGATTTTGGCTCTTACTACTTTCATGAGGAGATGGTGAGTACAATGGGCGTCGCTTTGCATGCTAACCCAAAACACAGAGAGCTTGCAGCAACACGAACCATGAAGTGAGCGCCCTACATGGCGCCGCGATCACCCAGCTACTTCGCGATTTGAGGGATAGGGCTCCTTCCGATGCCGACTCCGAGTTGACTGTTGTTCTGGACTTAATTCCTTCTTCCGTCAGCGCAGACCAAAATCCCACTTTCGGGTATTATTTTGCTTCTCATACTCACAAGCGAGTCTTTTGGCTGGAAGATTTCAATCTTGCTTGCTTCTCAGAAGAATGTGACGAATCTATGGAATCATCTCTCAGATGTAAGCTCAATTCCATGCTCAAGCATGTGTGCGAATCATCTTGTCTTTCAGGCGCTGAAGCACAGTACTGGTGAGTAATCGACGACTTGGCAAATAATCAAACAGTGCGACTTCGAACAGGAAGCATTGCGAGCTGTTTCCGAATACCCTCAACGTCACAGAGCTTGTCATCCAGGAACTCAGGAGCATTTTAGTTCAAGCATCTGCAGGTATTTACGTTGCTTGGTGTCAGATACTGCCGATGACGACTCGAAACAGATCGCCTGTCCTCGAAATTCTCCACATCGCCCTATGATGGAGAAAGTATTTTGACCATGTTAAAACTTGTGAATAATATCGAGCGTACGTGACTGTCAGAACTCATTTATTATGCTCAACTGCTTGGAACTTAGCTCTGGGCAAGAGCAAGGATGGACGCTCAGCTTGGACAATAGGTATGAATCTACACAATTTCGACTCGCTTCGTTGACTTATAACATGCTGTAGCGAAATTCATGGTGCTATCTCGTTCGTGTCTTTCTGGTATCGATCATTCTGTTGAGTTCTCACTGATGTATCAGATATCGGCATATTACGAAGCTCATATGGTCAAAACGACGACTATTTCGACATCGAGTACTCCGAGTCAAATTCTGAACCTTACAAACGCTCGATGCTGATGGCGCTTATGTCTCCAATAATGCTGAAGTCTGCGGAAGTCTACGCAGAAGAATTATACAGCTTTCGAGACAATTTCTCACTTGTGCGGTGGAGGAAGTTTGTGAATAAGGTGGATATCAGCATCCGCGATTCCAATCTACTGGTACGATTTACAGAGTCGCCATCGTTTACACTGCTCATCTATATATCAGGCAACCGTCTTGCTTAGCACGAGCATCGGCTTTTTGGCAATTGGAACCGTGGATTCAAGTGGTGCGGATGGTTCAAGGTCAGGGGCACAGATTGTCATATATTGCTCCGTCATCTGCAGCATTGGAAGTATCATTATCGGTCTCATTATTTTCAAACAATACCGTGCAAAGGGTGCTGATACTCCTCTGAAAGCGGTAAGAGGTTTACATCGTTTCTTCTTTAAAGTGCTCATAATGGTGTAGATCATAATCTTGAAGCGGATATTCCGTGAACGATATGGTCTTGAGAGGCTTGCTGTTATCTGCAGCCTGCCGTATATCTTGCTGATGTGGAGGTGATAGTGTTTGCTCTGATTTATCGATACCTGGTATTCATTCCACCCGCTAGTCTGATTCTGTTTTCGATTGCAGTTTTCGAGATTGCTTTTGATAGGACAGATGCCGAGACTCGCACGCCTGTCGCAGTCGCGATCTCCCTACTTTTGTTATCTGTGTTTGGGTCTTTGTATACTGCTGGACCACGAGATAAGGAGGAGAATGTCGTGGACCCACACAAGGTCACGAGCTGGAGAACTCTAGGTCGGCAGATCACAGGGTTCATTCCGGCTGCGTGCAAGCAATTGCGGAAGCCAGTCCGGGACGACTCAGTACAGTGCGCAGACAATCAGGGTGATGGGGATATGGAGAGAGCTCTCAAGACGTGTTGATTCTGCTTTTTCTCGGCTTCAAGTTGGATGACCCGAAGAGTTACGACTATTATGAATTCCCCCTAGCATTGTTGTATACCACCCTCTGTAAATTACACGGTTTATGGAAGTTCATGATATTCTGCCATCATTCGGTTCTTTTTCGGTTCTTTCGAACAGCGTCTGCGTCCTGTTGGGCACAAACTCATTGGACAACATAGGAGCTGTCCTCTTCGCCCGTTTCAACCAACGTGGTGATATTAATGACATCACCAGAACCCAGAACTACCAGCCTCCATCGCGAGGCGTTGATGTTGAGTAAGTCAAGATCTCTCACAATGATCGTGCCAGAGACAGCGCGTCAATGAGTCGGAGTGGAAGACCTCGATGTTCGAATAGCTGGTGCGAATATAAATTGAAAGGCCGGTAATGCCAAACCGATCCAGAAGTCTACAGAGGCGTTGCCCGATGCATACAAGCATTTTACTACACTCGCTTTTTTGCTTTGGAATACAAGGGTTTTTGTCTTTGTCAGTTACGAATAAAACTATGAAGAAGGATTAAAATACTCAAAAATCGCAAGTCGAAGCAGACTGACATATCGTATGACCAGACCCATAGCCCCATTCACCGACATCTGAGTACACTTCAATGCCTCGGTATTGCGTCTTGCATCATCTAATCAGCGACTTGCATGGTGAGAAGTACTTGCACCGCACTCGTTCAGACTGGCTCAAGGCTACGGAACGCAGGATCAATTTGATGATATCGTACACACCAGCTTCAGACTGTTCACGATGTCTGATGTAGCGATGATATATAAAGGATTTTCACTGCAGAACTCACATGAAGATCAGTCCTCGGCTGGCAAAGCCTTAGGTTCTTCCAACCCTGAGGCATCTTTTTTCTGGTCCTCATCTTCGACAGCCATCATATCAACTGGTGCGTCATCTTCCACTTCTTCCTCCACTTCTTCCTCATCCTCCTCGATTTCTTCGTCTTCTCCTTCTCCTTCCCCTTCCCCTTCGCCTGGCTCGCCCATCTCATCATCAACTTCCTGTTCGACCCTAGCGCTGTGCATGTCTGATTGGGACGCAGAGGATGCTACTGCTACTCGCGGGGCAAACGTGAATGGCGGTGGCAGATTCGTCGCCTTGTCCTTTCCTTTTGATTTTGAGACGACTGATGCAGTTTCACTTTCTCTGGCCTTGCCCTTGTGCGAGGAACTTGCCGTTCCGGATTTACGACTCTTGTCTCCCTTCGTGTTGTCTCTATAAACTGCGCCACCTCAGCACAAGTCGGAAACGAGAGGGTGATGTCTTACTTTGAAGCTCATTCTGTAGATTCTCGACGAGATCTCCAAACTCGATCATCTCTAGAGCTTTGAGGACATCGGACGCGGAGATGCTTTTGTGCTGTTTGGACATAGCCACGTCATGAGCTCTGAGGAGATATATCAGAAGGCATTGTATAAAGCCAGCAGTAACACAAACGTCGCCACTAATACAGAAACCAGCAATTCAGTAAAGCACGACTATAAGACGTCTTCACATACCAAGGTAGTTGATGAATACTGTCGAACCCTTCACCAGAGACAATACGGTCTCTTTTTGCAATTTAGCATTGTCTGGCATCTGAAGAAATGATCAGCGCGAGATATTGTGCTACGCATGATGCAAGTCTTACTGCTGACTTTGCTATCTTCGTGACAAGACTCTTAGGAAGCTCAAAGTTTTCGATACCCTCTGAGACTAGATCTTGCTGAGCCTGAGCAGAAATTGGTCCACCGCCAGCATCTTTACGCGGCATTTCTTCGTACTAGCGACGGTCGTGGTTGGTGTTGTGAAAGCGTCTACGGTAGTAGGGGGTCCTTGTATGGCAACTTGTATGACGTACGGGCAGTGCCAATACAACTTGGTCTGCAACCGCGATGAGTCCAAACTGGCGTCGAAGAGTGTTCTACGTAAGTGGCTCTCAGGCTAGACCCCGCCGTGTTACTGACTCGTATGATAGATTTCTGGACCTACAGAATGCTACAGTATGTTCCCTCACTTCACTGGTACATACGACATACACTCATAACATCCAAAACTTCGAATACGCAATTCAACGGGCTCATATTCGGACAGAAGATCACTGAAGAACAAGAACTTAGAAGTTAGGCTTCCCACGTGATCGTATGTTTTTTTCGCATGCTTGATTCTCCCGGCAAAACTGGACACCGCTAAGTCTATAAGTTCGATATGTCCAAATGCTTATAATCTCTCTGAATCGATATTTAAGAAAGCGGCAGAGAGCAGATTTGAAGGTGTCTGTGATACCTGATATTGCCTGTTCATAAACGGTGCGTCCTTATCCTTGTTGAATAAATACTCAGGATTTAGGATCTTTTTGAACGTTATCTCGCCATGGCAAATCAGGTATGTAACGTTAACAGAAGGCAAGCTACTTATAATTAAATTATGAACGGGGTTATGGTGTGTTTAATGCCTTCTATGGATGGTATCAGGTGGTTGATAAGGCAAATATAATATCGATGCAACTAATAAATATCGACAGTAAACACGTTGGTGCTTGCTCGAATCCCCAGTCGTCCTCGAGCCTATTGATCTGAGTGTTTTTAACTAGTCCTTTTCTTCAAAACTACATCCATTAACTAGTCGCGTTTGATGTCATTTGGCGTCAATGTCGCCTGCCACAGTCGTTCAAGCCCGAGGTGGGGAGCAAAAGTACGAATATCAGTTTTGAACCTCATCTATGATTGGACACGTGCTTATTCTGTTGGTATCAGACCATTCAACGACCTCACCCAGTATCTCCGTAAGCAATCCAACTATCCAATTGCTCATGGAGGCTTCGGAGATATCTGGAAATGTAGCTTACCTGACGAGGTCCGCCGATGCTGACTTTCAACATATAGCCTTCAGTCACTAACCTGCAGAAACCTTCCTCACCGTCAGAATGTGGCAGTTAAAGCCATCAGATCTTACTTCATTGATGAGAATGATAGGATCAAGAAAGATAAGGCAAGTACTTTTGTTTTACGTAAAATAAATACATGATGTTGGTTTCATCAGAGATTGCGTCGGGAATTAATCATATGGCAAAAACTTATCCATGACAACATCCTTCCATTGTATGGCATTGCTCTCGGATTCGGTCCGTTTACTGCCATGGTATGTCCATGGGCGAAAAATGGATCCTTGATTATGTATCTTGAGTCCCATCGAGACCTTCTGATAGCCGAACGATTCAAGCTTGTGAGTTTATTTTCGATTTGTCCAAAGCTGATTGAGACGATCCTGTTGCTAGTTGTCTGATGTCGCAAGTGGTCTACATTATCGTCAGTATTTGTCCGGAATGTTAATATTCAGTGTGTTGATCACATTGTTTGTTCCCTTAGTTCATTCAAATCAAGTTGTACATGGGGACCTCAGTGGGGTTCGTTGAGCCCATCTCTTCCAATATAACATGCTGAAAATATTCCAGTCCAATGTTCTGGTGATGGAGAATGGCACCGCTTGTCTTTCGGATTTTGGGCTTTCCGGTGTTGTATCCGATTTTTTTGGTTCATCAACTTTCTCTTCTACTATTTCCGGCAACATTCGGTGGGGGGCCCCAGAGCTGTTCGCTTTACCGGAAAACCAAGACGGCTCAATCAATCACCCTAGTAAAGAAGCTGATGTCTACTCATTCGGCAGCATCATGTTACAGGTGCGTATTGTCCTTTACTCCTTTGCATAGCTGCTTACTGGAGTATTTCTTTATTTCAGGTTCTCTCTGGGAAGGTCCCTTACTATTACATCAAACAGCAGATGCAGATTATTATGATGGTAGTGAACGGCAAAAAGCCCAGACGCCCGGAGGAGCCGATGATCACGGAAGAACATTGGAGCATGATAGAACGCTGCTGGAGTCCCTGCGATGCCCGACCAACCATTGAAGATATTCTAATTTTCATCACGGCACAACGAAGTAAGCACAAAATTTAATTAGTCGAACGCATGTCGGTGACTGAAGTGGGGCTTTAGAATACCTGTGAGCAACTTGGCATACGTTAGATAACACTCGACACGCCTATAATGCCTGTATTAAGCCTTTTAAATACTTCTCTACGTTCCCTAAGTACGAATTCTATGTGCTGTGACGGGACTGACTGCAAGGGGAACCAAGGCCAGACCTCTATAGCGGGAGGCTACGGCTCTCTACTATCCAGGACCGACTACGACACGCTGCAGGACTACCGACTACGAGCCAGGACTCTTGCTCCTGTGCCAGGACCCCTGCCACTCCCGACATGATCTGTCCTGCCAGAGCGCCCCGCTCCAGTGCTAGTAGGGTGATTTCTTTTGTATGCGAGTTGGTGTGGAAATTGCTGATAGGGGTTGTGAAAGCCTTGTCACTGATTCAAGCACTGGCTGACTGTGTATTAATATTAAGCTGAGCATTGGCTGAGCACATCGTGTGAAGAACGTAATCACGTGATGGTATTCTTTTCTCTCTCAAGTCAGAACACCACAACTGGTCAAGCAAGGTTTCTACCGATGCAGGCGGTAATTCTCAAATACTGGGATGAGGTGTCTTAATGCCACTTACCCATAGAGAGTATCAACGAATGTACCAGTGCCGGACGATGTATAGGCCGGTCACTGTTGTTCATTTTGTTGTGACTGTCCCGATACCCCCAAGGATGTCACCGAAATCATCCACCACCGTCTCCGAGTCCAAATACCCCTCCGAGTGAAATGACAGTCTGAACGAGAATGGAAGAACATGCGATGGCGCGCGAACAATTGGTTGAGCCGTCTTAGTTTTCCGGTAGAGCGAACCGCTCTGGGGTCCTCACGAATATTGTCGGAGATGATAGAGGAGAAAGTTTATCTGGAAGTAAGCAAAGCTCAAGCCTATGCAAAACCCTGAGGAGCCCATTTTCGTTAGTTCCAACAGTCATTCTTTCGCTGACGCCACGTCTCTTGCCTCCCAACACTGCACCCGCTGCTCACTAGCATCACTGGTGCTCCCTCTGCGCGTGTTTTACTTTTACCGGTGCCATCACGATCCACAATATCTGCATCATTGTGATAGCCGATTCTCGAACATAGTTGTCGCGCAGTCGACTGGGATACCGAGCTCGTATTCTTCCGTCCGTGCAACATTGGTACAATAATACAGAAATCTATCGTGAACTGGATTGCGCTTTCTTCGATTGCACATGCACATTTAATCGCTAGCTTCTTCAATCTCCTGTCTCCATCGCTTCTGGATATCAATTGTCTCTCGGAATATCTTGTATTTGGCATCTAACAGTTTCTTCACTTTCGATGAAGCACCAGGAGCCACGAGGGTACCAGCAGGTGTCATTTCGACCTGAATGACAAATCAGCATTTACTACGCTCAGTAGATTACATGGGACGTCTTACCATGATCTTCCACATATCTTCTCCGGCCTTGACACCCTCCGCGGCAATCCTTCCCAACATTGCGGCACCGAGAACCACCGCCTCAGAATGTGACTTGGGCAGGATGACGGGGATGTTACACGTGTCCGCAAAGAGTTGCATCATCACCACATTCTTTGCTTGTCCACCGGACATATACAGAGACGTGATATCATGGCCTGCCGTGTTGAGAGCCTCGACAATGTGGCGTGTTTGAAGTGCGATAGCCTCAAGGGTAAGGTAGTACTTGCGAGCGAGGTCAGCGATAGATGATTCCTGACGACCACTTTAGCCAAAGTTCAGTTCTTAATCGAAGCGGTGACTTACCAGCTCAAGACCGACAATGGAACCTCTCATTCGAGGGTCGGCAATCGGAGACCTATTTCCTGCGATGAAGGTCAATAAGATAGTAAAATCAAACTGTAGCTCATCTCACCATGGAAATCGGGATAGAAGTGTATATGCTTCGTAAGCTCCGTGTAGGTATCAACATGATTCTCGTGGCGCAATTTTTCGAGGACGTCCAGCAAGACTATAGACAGACATGAGAACGGAGTTCGTCGATCCAGCATGAAGAGCTACACGAACCAGTATGAATAGCCTTTCCCTCTTGCTTTGCACGTTCTTTGAGGTCAGGATACGCATGATGAGTGGTGATGATGAAGTCAATAAGCTGTCCCGTGGACGACTGGCCCCCTTCATTCATCCACCAGCCAGGGAAAGTTGCATCCTGTGGGAATGTGCCATTAGGACATCGATTGATATGCGGGATGGCAGTGAAATACTTTATATGGGCCCCATACACCCTTAACAAAGACACCTTCTCGACTCTGAAACGATGTTTTCATCAGGATAGAGACGATATGTGTATGTAACTTACCTGAACAAGATGACAAGTGCTAGTTCCAGCAACAGCGGCCAAACGGTGCCGAGACTCGTCGAGAGAGGGAAGTACGGTTGAGAGCTGACCGTTCTCAGTGTATCGAGCGGCAACTGTGCCCATCCAGCCAGCATACCTAGTACGACGCATGAGCATCCACATCGAAGTAGACACATGGATGTAATATGACATACGCGTCGATCAGACCACTTCCGACAGCAGTGCCCTCCACAAGTCCGAGTTCTTCAGCCGCCTGTCGAGTCAAGCCTTGACCGACTGGACTTCCGGCAGCCTGCACTTGGCCGTGGGCGGTGCCCATTTGCCTCCAGTTACCATCATCAATGAGTTCACCGAGACCAATGCGTTCAAAGAAGTCCGGCTGCCAGCCTTTGTCGGGAACAAAAGAGCATTTGCACGTAGTCGAACAATATGAGCGTGTGCTATCTCCGGTTGCTTTATATGTGAAGAAATCGGGAAGGTCAAAGAATTGGCATCGGGCGAACAGGGCAGGATCCATGTGCTTCTTGAGCCAAAGAATTTTGGGCACCTCCATCTCAAGCTGCTCGCAAAGTAAAATTAGTGAGGTACACTGGATTAGTAGTTGATGCATACACTCATGGTTCCGCCGACATAATTCAAGACAATCGACCCAGTGGAGTTGATAAGTTCAGCCTCCTTTTCAGCGCGATGGTCTGCCCACAGAATGATGTTCCGATGGCCATTCTTTCCGATATCGTGGCCTTTGGTCACTGTTATCGGATTCGCATTAAAATCAGACACAGCGAGCGAGCAGGTAGCATCGAAGCCAAGTCCCTTGACTGCGGTCGCAGGAATGTTAGACTCCTTTAACACTTCTTTCACTGCGGTACAGATCTGCTCCCAAATATTGTTCGTTGATTGCTCGAAGATGCGATGATCATGATGATCGCGCCAGGTGATGGTGTCCTTTGTGGAGGATGCTTTGATCTCGCCATTTTGTGCGACGAGAGAGGCACGAGCAGAACCAGTGCCGACATCGATACCGATGAAGTAGAATGCGTCGCTTCCCATTGCAACGGGTGGGGCTATGGCAATATTAATGGTGGCGGTCAGAGAGGAAATCGAATGATTGAATCAAAGCGCTAATAATACATATGTAGTACGACAAATGGAGTCCACGCTCGGTAGCCGGCACGGGACATCATGCCATTACAGGTCACATGTTTGACGCGGCCGAGTCGTTTCGGTCAAGGGAGAAGCTGTAATCTGTATCTCATCATGATCTAGATGCACGGCTTGGCTTTCACAATCATCGTTATACAACATATTCGATTTACCTGTGGACAGCAAAAGACTGGTTAACAAAAAACATAGTACGTGCGCGATCATGATCAAGCCTCATATCGTGCCCATTCATGGAATCTCAGACTCCATATCTCCGTCTCCTAGCTGCTCTCCAATGCTCGCAGTCAGCTTGTCGATGGTTCTGATGCAACATATTTTCAAAGAGTGCCGTTTATCGGGATCTTGCACCTTACGACTTGAGCAAACCACAAGGACATGCAGGAAAATGTATGAAGTCTGCGCACACTCTGCGCCAAAGTCTGGGGGCACGTCTGAGCAACGTCTGCGGTCTGTGATTGGAAAGTTCCGGGCGATCAAAGGTCTGTCTGCATCATCGCAACCACCGTGCCGTCGACGTCAAGCCACTATCACGAATCCCGCTATCTATGTCAACCGTCATGCCAATCTCGCCATCCTTGTCGGCTTGCCGTCACGGTTCTAGGGAAGACACGGTAACCATATAGCGTGGACTGGGAGCTGCAGACAATGACATAGTGTTGGCAGGCGGGTAGGAAATAAGCCAACATAGAGGAAGTAGTAGACAGACAGGCAAGCGTGAGAGACTCGCAGGGATTAGAAGAGATTGAGGCGAAGATCCTAATGGCAGGCAGGCGAGATGATAGTGACATCGTGCGGCGGCCTTTACAGACTTCCCGGCACTTTCGGGATCCGAGTAACCTACTGAAAGGACACAAGTCTGCATTCAGTTTACCTAAACCCATACCGGCCAAATACCGCGCTTTCTGCAAACCACAATCCCATTGTTGAAGTTTGGTGACGGCCGAAGGCAGCTTTGTGGGTGTAGAGACACAAGCAAAGGGCAGCTGGGTCCTGAGTATTGAATACATGGACATCATGCCGATTATTATATCCTTGTACAAAACTTACGCTTCCCAAGGATATACCTGTTGTCTCATAGTTGCCGCTTGGGAGACATCATATCTTGCTTTGAAATTGCTTCCCCGACCAGCGGCGACGTGGTCATCTCGATGGGTATGAATGACTTTTGGGCTTGGTGTGGGCAGAAAACAAGCTACAGCAACTCCGATAGTCGTTTTTTTTGATAACCTCGTCAATGGACGCTCCATCAATCTCGGGGAGCTCGTTGCCGAGTCCGTTGTTACAGGACCTCATCATGCCGTGCTGTGCGAGCTGTTCTCGGTAATAAACACACGCTCGTTGGCTGGACCATACAGATATTGTGCCGAAGCCCATCAAGACCTGGCCAGTAGGAGGATATGCGTTGGATGGAAGAATTGCTCGAGTATGGCTGGAAATGGGACCAGTTGGATATTGTTACAAACATAATATACAGCTGAACACGATGTATGCGCAACAGAAAAAAACAGCCAGCTATTGAAGATGCAGGGCAGGGTAGAGGCGGAGCAGATGTCACTGGTCATCCATGAGGTCCATATCGTGATGGATTTGCCGGACGGTGGTTTCCTTCGAAGCGGCGAGCTGTAACAACACATGAGCATATCCTAAAAGCAGTAGAGGACCTCGTAGAGTTTGATACCCTTCCTATCAATAACTTTGATGCAGAGCATTAGCTTGGAGGATATGATAAAGGACAGAACATGGAAGCCAAACCTGAGTAGCGTCCTTGGCTTCATTATAGCGGTGCAACAGGTTTATGTGTTTTGATACGATAGCCTCGGCGCTCTCATCCTCACTATATATTAATTCAAAAGATCAGCGCATTCCGTCAGAGTCAATGATCATCTGTTCCAACCCTATCCTCTTCTGTAAGACATCAATTTCTGCCTGAAGTTTGTCGATGTATTCCTTTTGTTTCTATACATGAATTTGAACACACTTGTTATACGAGTCTGGCCTGAAATTTGACATACCTTGGCGGACGTCACGGCATGCATGATTGTCTGTCTGTTCTCCTGTGAAATGATGAGTATGTAGAAATTCAAAAGTGACGGCGCGAATGCAACAGCGGTGTTATTGTGTTATTGACTGTTTGTGCTTGGTTTGTGCCATTCCTCGAAATTTCAAAGTTCACTCAGACTGAGTCGCGCTATCGTTCAGATTACTCTAGTCGATTAACTTCCTCCTCAACCTCTCTGTCAAGGCAAATTTTCTGTTTCTGGAGGGCGTACTAGGCGCCGTTCTCGCGATACGCAAGCCCAAACAGGAATACATCCCTCAGGGGAAGGTTTCTGATGTCACCTTCGAGGCAAACCAGCTGAAGGACACTGAATGCCCTGTCGCCAGCACGTGCATGTGAAATATATGCTTTACTCAAACAGCTCCCAGATTTACCTTTATCTTTGTCGAAAACACCAGCGACAAAAGAACAAACCATTGGTACCAGGTTCTGCATCGGATGAAGCTCCAGAAGATCTTACCAACCGGAGCCCAGTTGGACTGTTAAGGTATGTCTACAGCATCTATAATGAATTATCCTGAACGTGGTGTAGGTGGCAGTGAAGAGCATTCATTCATTCGAGTTGGATAGTAATGCTGTTAGGTGGAATAAGGCGCAGGCAGTGCCCTTTTCTATGGTATGTCAATATATGTAATCATGAACTCCACTCGGAGAGTGCATTATGAGCTCAGAGTGTGGGGCCGTCTTAGACATGATGGTATCCTTCCACTCTTGGGAGTGGCAAATAACTTGGGCACTACCCCGCAGTGGTTTGCACATGGGCTGACAATCTATCTCGAGCGCTAGCACGACCTCTTGTCATTTCAAGATAAATTCTTGTAAACTCTTTTTCGTGTCTGCAGAAACGTGCTGAGTTTACTGACCTTGTCAGCCAAGAGAAATTGTCCTTGCAGGGGTGCATATGACCACATACAGAAAGTATACTCGTCGCTCACGTCCTGATTCTTAGGAAAATGTCTTGATTTATGGCAACATGCTATTCCAGCATTGGTGAGACTTTCGCCTTGCATAGCAGTACAGGCGAGTAAATTGCACATTCTCAACTTTCAGTATACATTTATCACAGGTCATGTGTGTGGAGGGTATGTGGGAGGTATAACCTAAACGTGTATCGGAGGGCTATCGATATATCATCCTTCACCTTGTTGAGAGTTACATGCAAAGGAAATCCGGTTATAGGAGAACTTGATTTATATAGATATCATTAGTTGGTTCACCTCGGAACCAGTCAGCGTTCCAAAGCGCTTTGCATTTGCCGCCAGCCTGTAAGTCATCCGACATATTATTATTTAGCAGGCAATCTTCTTCCTGACCACCACCCCGAGCTGAATCGTATTCTTTCAAGTTACAGAGGGGTACCAACTGTTTGCCTTCAGAGCCTAACCAACGTCTCCAGAACGGATTCCACTGCAGCCCTTGCCATCCTTACCCCTGACTCCCAAGACTACCACTTTAATCCGGGTCAGTGATATTCTTCCACAACCTCACTATCGGGTATGTCACTCGCGCGGTTTCCAATTGAATCACTCCATCAGCAGTTTCTCAAAAACCGACTCTACAGATGAGAAATTGTCCTTGAAGTACCCTGGTACTAAGTACACAAAATTCATATTTTGGGACCTGGAAAAGTATGTAAGGCATTAATACTCAGTCTATTACCTATGAGGTGCATTTTGTAACGTCTTGGATGAGTACCAACTTAAGAGCACCGACAAAATATCGCGTGTCAGAATGAGCCTCGCGCTTGGTTGGTACACGAGAGTTTTGTCATAAGCCACGGGTTGTTGCGCACCAGCTAAAATATGCGGCGGAACAAAATGCCCCCAAGGTTGCACGGGACAATGGACTAAACAATGTGGTACTCATATTTCTATGCTTCTGCACATGGTTGCGACGCATCTCTAGGCGAGAACACCGAGAATTGTACGTACAACGCTGGTCCTAGGACGAACAGACTTATGACAGAAGAAGTTTAACTTCTAAGTCACATACAGGTGCCTCACACTGAAACCCTCCCCACTTCACGGAGTCGGGGATATATGGAAGGATTCCCATATGTTGAGTACGCTATCGAAAGTAACCAGTCGACATCTCCTTCAAGGCAAAGCCAGTAAGTCATCAAAAAGACTGAAGTTTGTCCATCAAAATCGCCCACTCAAGCACAGTCACACCTTTCTTCAACACCTCCTCCTTCATCTCCCTGTCTCTTGTTTCCTCTCGCAACCGGGCAAATGCACGGAGGTGTTCCTCGCGCCGAATTCCGAGACTAGCAAGTATAGGTGCTATATGAAGCAACGTCGGTTCGCAAGACGAAAGCACCGTTTCAACCGATGACGTAGAGGTTGAACGAACGCCCATTGCGGGCGCAGAAGGCCAGCTTCTACTAGGATGGCTACGTGGAGGTGAGTTGCTGTTGCTATTGGTACTCCTGGTTGCTGTTCGTTCTTGCGAAAAAGTGGTTGGCTGCGGTTGTAGTGGTGAGGTTTTGACATGCTTGGATAGAGCTTTGAGTTCAGCCATTGTGTATATCCGTTCAGAACGTGTCGGGCTTGGAGGAGAACACTGTTTGTCGCGTTTTGCTTTCTTCCCCTGAGGTGACCAGTTCGCGTTGAGATCAGACGGTGTGTATAATCTCTCCGAGCGATATGTCTGAGAAGCACTGGAGCGGCTTCTTCTGAGTCCTGATTTCAGATTCTGGAGGTTTTGGTGGTCAACGTATATTCGATTCGATTATGTATTGAGGCACAGACCTCTATATCTCTGGGCACTGGCGGCGACTTGCTTCGCCACTCCTGGGTTCGTTGGAGAACATCAGCGGCATTGTTCGCAACCACGTTCCCAAATTCATCCTTCTCGTTTCTCGCAACATCTTCCCTCCACATGGAGACCTTCGTTCCACGTTCAACGACTTTCGATCTTGCCTCGGGCCCATGACGCTTTATAGTGCCTACATGTTGTTGCCGCTTGTCCGATGAATGTACAGTCTCTTGATCGTTAAGCCCCGCATCAAGCACGCGCCTCGCAAGCTCCTCGGCATAAAGGTAATCTTCTTGTTGCAGATCAGAAGCCCGCCCATAGTCGACTTCATGTTTCTCTGCCCACTCCCCATAAACTCCATACACGCCACTATATCGTGTGGCATCTTCCATCTCCTCTTTGTGGACATGCACCTGCGTGACACCATCAAATCCCCGCATCTCCGACGCAGTCTCAAAGTCGACGTCCTGGGTCACAGCGTCAAAGTCATCGTTTACGATCTGGACCGTCGTTGGTGCTCGGGGGTGTCTGTGTCTGCGAGCCACGGGGGCTTGAACGGATACAATCTCATGAGATGAATCTTGATGCCCATCGATGAGTTCAAATCAGTTGATCAATTACTCACAGGTGATACTCACCACTATCTGTCCGTCGATACCGCATTTTCCGCGATGGGTAGCGGCCTTGGGTGCTGCTTGTATACCCTGATGCGATGATCCTTTGTCGATGTCAAGGGTAAAGTCAGGAGCCAGGCATGTGCCACTCTCTCGGTCTGTTTCCGAACCTGAGGTAAACACGAGGCCTTATGCGTTCGAACCTTTGAATGCGGTGCCTGGTTTACTCCACCTTTCGCAATCTGATCACGCAGAATGAAGTGGTCGAGCTGAAACGCGTCCTACACGTGTTTTTTGGAGTGTGGGACACCGTTCATGTCTGATTGATAGAAGGATGGTGTTTTGGATTGAACGGCTAATCATATAAGTATTGGGCAGTAATATACAATGCGGAGAAATACATGCCGTGATACAACATTAATAAGATAGTGCAGACATCGAAAAACACCTAGCAAATAAAGAAAGAGGAAGGGGAATGTGCTACGTGGTTGACCAGTTATTTCTTCGTCTTGCTCTTTTTGCTGCTTGATGCTCCTGCTTTCTCTTCTGCCTGATATGATGTTAGCAATGATCGTCGTGCTTCGAACAGATACTCACCTTCCGTTTTGTTCCCTTTCCGTCTTTAACAGTTTTGCTTTTTGATTTTACGTCGTCGACCTTCGACTTCTTCGGCGAGGTTTTGGTTTTTACTGAGAAGAAGCCATCAAGACGACCTTGCTGCTTTGCGTTTAAGAATTTTTGTAGCTTTTCGGCACCTTTGCGGACTCTTTCCTCACTTGTATCCGTGTCAGTCCGTGGCTGTGTCGGTGGAAGACCGTGCTTACTTGAATCCTTTCTCAGTGACCAGGAACTGCACAAGACCATCGATATCTGGGTCTTTCCACTCGAGCTGACAAGAATGTAAGTGGTCATGCTGATGGAACAGCAGCGAATAGATTTCATACCTCCACCTCAGAAGCCGGGACTACGTCTGGTTTTTCAAATAATTTCTTTGCCTCTTCCCAAGGCCAATCTTCGGGGACTTGTACGCCTCCCTTTTTCTTCTTGGGGCCATCTTCGGCATCAGCGGCTTTCTCCTCCTTCTCCGCCTGCCTAAGGTGACCACGTGAGAGACATGAAGTTGCGTAGGGCTAGAATCGCGTACTTCTCGCGCAGATGCTCGACGACACCTGCAAGCCCACCATGCTCTCGTATCAGCTTTAAAGCACTCTTCGGGCCAACTCCTCTTATTGGCTCAAGATAGTCGCAACCAAGTAGTATACAGAGGTCGATGAACTTGTAAAACTTCAGTTTCAGGATAAATCAGGGGCCATATATAGAACGGACCTGTGACATGTCCATCTCAAGACCTTCGAGTGCCTTCTGGAGGTTTATCTCACTTATAGGTGCTTTCTTTGCCTCGGAGAAGGTCAAGTGCCGGTAGAGAATGGGTGCGTTGAAAGTGAGGGTGTCCATATCTTCTGAACCTGCTGCGTATACCTAAATTTCGGTGAGTACCAACGTCGGCGATATAACGCATCGCAGACCTTGCCTCCCCTGGCGAGCTCTGCACATTGTGCCTCTGCTTCAGATGGCGCCTGAGAGTGTATTAATAATTGAGCTACGGAGCACATTAAAAGACATACTACGATGACGGGGATACCCATAAGTTTCAATAGTTTTCTGCATTCTTCGTTGTGCTC